AACTAGTCACTGGAAAAGAAATTTCCCGAAATTAAAACAAAAAACTTTAAACGGTACAGTCTTCCTTCTTTTCCTCGCCTGCGTTCGGGGTTTTCGGATTAGTTAAAAGAGGTGCCGTGTACGGATGATTAAGAGTTAATGGGAGAGAACTAGTCTCATTGATATAAGAATAAAACTTGGGCACTGTGGTAGAGTGTAATTCCATTATGGGTAAATTTTATTTTGATAGAGTCTCACAGTGTTATACAGTAATATTTACTGATGACGTTTCGAGCACAATTTATTGCTCATAATCATATTGATATGATTATGAGCAATAAATTGTGCTCGAAACGTCATCAGTAAATATTACTGTATAACACTGTGAGACTCTATCAAAATAAAATTTACCCATAATGGAAGAGAACTAGTCTGTTTGATCGACACCGGTGTTTCAGACTGCGTTACAGAGATCGAAGCAAGGAAGATACGATATCCATTCATTGTAACGTCAGATATACGGCGACAGATTTCGGGAGCAGACTTTCTCAGGGAAGAAGAGTTGAAGTCGATATGAAGACTAGGAGAGTGGTAACAAACCATGGGCAATTTGCGATACATGACAGCAGTGAAGTCACTGTGGTAGAAACCATAAAGGCAGTTCCTAAAGAAGCACCAAATCTAGCCATGTTAATGAGCAAATATGCCTGCTTGTTCACTGCAGATGGAAAACACTACGGATATTGTTACAAGGGAAAGCATGACATCCCACTGAAAGACCTGGGGAAGACAGCCTTTTCAGCATGACGAGTTCCCGTGCACCTAGAAGAAGAGTTAACCGACAAGTTGAAGAAATGCAAAGTGACGGAATAATCGAAGAAGCTGACAGCCCATACAGTTTGACTCTCTTTTCTGTAAAAATGACTAATGGAAAGCATAGTTTTCAGACAGCTGGATAGCCTCACCGAAGTAGAACAGTGTGCAATGCCAACCGTAACACAAGCTCCTGATCTCCTTGAGAAAGCCAAGTTATTCACCGTTTCCCACGGGTTACTGGTGGATCCCAATAACAGAAAGCGACCGAAGTAAAACAGCGTTCACGGCTGGACAGAAACAATAACAGTTTGAACGAATGCCATTTGGATTGGTAGGAGCCCAACTTACGTTCAGAAGATTAGTGACTTTATCACTGAAGCGTCTGAAAAACAGAAGTATAGAGCGACGACTTGGCTGTGTATAGTGAGACGGAAGGTGATCATCTAGACCACATCGCTGCCAACTTGAAGAGGATTCACGAGCTCAGACGGCGTGTTAGCAAAAACTAGTCCCAAATAGCCAAAACCACTGTTGTCCTCCTGGGTTACATAGTGGGGTGTGGAGAAATACGACCATTGCCCGAGAAAATTCTGACCACCAAAACCAGTGAAATACCAAATTTGGAACGAAAGCTGAGACAGTGTTTGGGAAGAGCGGCATTCTACACCCGGTTTGTCAAAAATTTCAACGAGATAGCCAGGCCTCTATATAGGTTGCTGAGTAACCTGAGATTCACTCGCACGGCGGAGGCACAGAAAACGTTTGATCAAATTAGAGAGCTGTTAAATGGTCAATAGATGATAGTAAAGTTTTCCAGTGCCTGGGAAGCAGTTCGCATTTTTCACAGATGCCAGTGACTATGGTGCGGACCTATCGAATGTGGTGATACTTGACCGATTTCCAAAAGATGTGCGAATAAAGCATCGGAGATATGGTATACCAAAATTATATACCTACAATCAATTTTTCCTAAAGAACATTCCTTGGATCCTCAATGGTCTTTTTTTCCTTGTGATGCCACTTGTGTTTCTTCGGAGCTTTAATTTCAGTGTCACTTGGTGACCTACGTAAGTTAATGCAATGCTAATATTTTATACATCTGTTGATATGTTTCGTGAGATGTCAATTATATGATAAGACATAAAGGACCAAGTAGTATGGCTACAATAGATATTTTGGCAAAGCCACTGTGTTTCGAATTCTGACAGACTGACTTTCAGCATAGAAACTTGCAGACAAGTGCGCCCGTTTAAGTTATCACATCCTATGTAGCACATGAAAGTAGAGAAAAAATAAATTAAATGGAACTCTAATGAGCATAAATGTGATGGAAAACGAACAGTGATATGGAAAAAATATAAGGGTTGCTCAGATATGTGAGATTATACAGAGTGAATGCATCTGTGTCATTAACAACGTTTAGAGTCACATTTCTACTTAACACTAGGCTTAACCCCAATATTACTCACCATGTTAGACTACTTAACACAGAAGAAAGGGCACAGACACTAAGATCAAAAGACAGTATTCTTTGCATATCTTCCAGTTTCAATGGTCACTTCTCACAGTCTAAGTGGACAATATCATCAGCATGCACTAAGTTGACGAGACTGTTCCACGGTAAGTCCCTAAAGTCACTGACAGATAATTCTGAAAATGAACTAAAATAAGGTCGACAGTTGTAGAAATGAGCCTTGTGTCATATCCTTCTTGGAAATATCAGTTTCCTCATAGTTTAGTTTCAGTATTAAGTGAATGGAATGCAATCTACAGATTCATTCCAGTCACAGAATGCACCTAGGCAATGTGGCCAAAACGTGGGCTAAATGGGTAATTTTGATGGGCAAACAGGTGGGCAAAAGGTGGTGTAAATGCCACATAATTTGCACACTTTAACATATTGGCCACTTTTCCCCACTTTACCCATGTCATTTTCTAAAATAACCCACCTTTTCCCACTTTGCCCAAATTTCAACGGTAAACCACCCACGTTTTTACCCACATATCCCAGGTCGAAAAAAAATTTACAGACTGGGACGAAATTCACATACTGACGTACTTCTCTTCCAGAACCCTAGTTAATGTCTCCTCAGTAAAGTGAGAAATGAGTATTGTACTTGTGTAAATTCAATAGGCTGCGAACTGCTGCCAATGAAAATGACAACAATTCTTGAAATTACCAGTTATAATTTTAGCTTGATCGCATGCAACACTCGGTAGTTGTTAAATGGCCACTTGATGAACATCGAATCCATACAGAAAGCGCAGAAGATTTAGTACAATATGCACGCTCCTGATTTCACTATGAAGCATCCATGCCAAATGCATTACTTAAGGGGACCTACACAGTTCACTAACTAACTCAAAACACTTAAGTGAAAAAATTTACCTTTTTCCTACTGAGCTTAATATAGCAAATCTTATGAAGCAACTTTCTGATGCAAAAGAGAAGAGCTTGGTATTCATAATCTTTTGTTACATGTGGAATCGTAGTGCAACCCGATGCGCCACAGTATATAGACGAATAAACTAAAAAATAATGTCCTCCTTACCTTCTGAACAGCTTGTCCTTATTCCAGCATAATAACTTTCTTTCACCTATAAGCCTAAGTTATCTCCATGAAATCGCAATATCACTTAGATCTTCCCCAAAATCAAGGCCACTTGAAGCCCATAGCAACATAGCAACGGACATCGTAGCGGGGATATGCAGTAAAGTCACTCGTCTTACCAGCACTTTAGTCAAGACACTGGAAAGAATCACCAAAAAATGTATCATGGCATATCTGGAAAACAACAATTTGTTATCCAGAGAACAGCAAGGCTTCCGAGGAATCCTCTCATGCACGTCAAATTACCTCACTTCAAGAGAAGGCCGGGTCAAATCAGGGGAAAACTGAAGACCCGTTGACGTCGTCTTAATTGACTTCAGTAAAAGACTCACAAAAGACTACTCATGAAGTTGGAAAGCTTTGTTATCAAAGGCAGGTTACTAAACAGGCTTAGAGAACTCCTCATGGATAGGAGGCAGAGAGTTAGGATCAACTCGAAACTCTCCTTCTGGACGGCAGTGCGTAGCGGAGTGTCACAAGGCACGGTACTCAGACCTCTCCTATTTATTTCGTATGTCGATGCGTTATCTATGCTCACTGATTCCCCTGTGGTCCTGTATGCGTATGACTTAAAAATTTGGAGAAAGCTGCAGGGCAACAGTGATAAGCTCGCGTTGCAAGAGGACCTCAACAAATTGTCAGAGTGGTCCAGATAATGGATGCTCTTGATCAATGCAGCGAAATGTGCGACCATGCTCATCGGACAGACAGGCGTTAGCTCTTGCAAACTAGAGAGAACAACATTCGCATCAGTTAAGACTCATTTGGATTTAGATGTCATGGTAAGTCACGATTTAAAGACTACAACACCCTGTCGCGCGTTGGTTGCACGTAGTTTCAGATCCTTATGGGAAATTCGTACAGCCAAACTAGAATCACCAGAGATATGCTTACCACCTTATTTACATTTCTGGTGAGATCGAGACTGGAAAACTGCATCCAAGCCGCCAGTCCTCGTCTAAAAGGAGACTCACACATTCTAGAAAGGGTTCAGAGGAAGGCGACACGTATGATCCTAGGCATGACTAACACATCATACAAGGAAGGACTAGACAGTTTATATCTCTTCTCCCTGTCATACCTCAGGCAGAGAGGAGATCTAATCAAAGTGTTTAAAATTTTAAGCAATCACTACGGACCTGACCTATTATCTCATTACCTTTCCACCAGGTCGGAACACTTTAGAGGGTATAGCAGGAGAGTTCAAAAGCCAAGAAGAAATCATATTGCTGCTGAGTATTGGTTCTCACAATGAGTCATAGACTCTTGGAACCAACTCCCGGAAGACGTGGCGTCTGCAACCTCAACTGATCCATTCAAGAAGGGTTTGGACAACCACAGAAATTTACTAGAAGAGGACTAACATAGGCTCCAAGCCTTCTATCCTCAACCAATAAACATGAATCTGAATCATATCTGAACAAGACTACTCTTTAATATGACAAATACAAAGTCCATCTCACTAACTTCGATGAACAAGCTTACATTACGAATTAAATGGCAAATTTTACAATCAGACGTTTACTTTAAGGACTACACTTTAATGAACTTCCAATCTGTTGTTTTTATAGATCAGTGCCTAACCAGTCAAAACTTAATTCAATGTCAAGGTCAGCTCAAGGACAGCTGGGTGCATGAATATCGTTCTAGACGTTTAGTTATTTACATTGTTCCTTATTTGGAATATATGAAGGGTATTTTACTGTTTGAGTTTTCACGCAATTTGTATCTTTTGAGATTTGAATAAAAATACAATGGTAGTATCGTTTAAACAGAATATGCTAGCAGTTACTTGTTAAAAATAAAACGCTTACTATAATGCTGAATTAAATCTCACTAATTCTGACATAATTCTAACATTTTCTAGTGAGTGAATTCTGAATCTGTTGTGAAATGGATTCTTTAATGGCACAGACTAGAACTCAGTTCTGGTTTTCAGCATGAATGGTACTAATTCAGCACCGCGTTCTTTTTCTAGGCATTTTCAGAAGTAGATCAGAACCTACTGGGTTTGCTTATCAGCGTTTTTCTAGCTCTTACAGAACTTATTAAGCACAGACTAACGTTACTTCAGCACCCAGCTCTCTTTTTAAGCACGGCAAGCATTATTTCAGAACATACTGGGTAGATCAAAAATCTTCATATAACATAAAAAGCCATTATCGAAGAATAGGTTAGGATAAGTCTGGGATTGTTATAAGCTTGGGTAAAAATCTCCATGTGGATACATCTTAGTCACTGTATTTGTTAGTCATTATTTTCCTGATGCTTCATGCCTCCTTACTTCCTAGGTGCGTACGTCACAATATTTTACTCATCCTGTTGTTGTCATATTGCCTAGTCGTACAAGAATGGATGAGGGGGGGCTAAATAGAGCTGAAAGTAGACACTTTACACAAATGGTAAGGATGGCGATGTAGTGGAAAAAATCCTAGTTAAATGATGGTACAAAGAGGAGAACATTGCTTAAATAATGGTTAAAATGAGGAAGTAGTGGCTGAAAAATTAAAGGTATCTTTTAAATTTTGGCAAGATATTGGTTGAATAATGGTCAAGATTATCTAACATTGGTCAGATTTTAGTCACAGTAAAAAAAATTACATCACCGATTGTTTTTACCATTTCTAATATCGTCTACGTATAACTGAATCTTAATGGAATTATAACGATATTCTCTATGGTGAGCGTGCTTGTTACTATTTTAAGTTGTCATTCAGCACACTTTGGCAAACCACACAAATGTACTCTCCGTGTATTTGACTTCACTTGCCATACTATGTCTAGTTAGTGTGTTTTTGGTGTGTTGATATCCGACGTTAATTGTATAGTGATCTCTGCGTATGACAATTATGGTCATATACTTCATAGTATGCTAAATAATTTCTACAACTGCAGAGGTATAATTAATTACTCTCGTTAAGTTACTACAGTACTAATTACTCAGATCGTTAGGTACATTTTCTTTTCGAAAGAATTTATGAAGATGGAAGGGGACATTGGGGAATGAGAATTCCATTTTGAAAAGCATCGCTGGTGAAGTTTAATCATAACAACCATCCTTATCGATTTTCACCTAATCTTAATGAGGTAATCAGAATTAAGCAGCAATAAATGTCGCAAAATTGGTAACAAGATGATTAGAGATCATAATGTTTCGACATTCGTTTATATTCAGATTCAGTTCTTTAAGCTATACTGAATTGTCCTGTGAGGTTACATCTTTTTAAACCTTATGTCTGTTATCACGTTTAACTACTGGTTAACGTTTCTAACATTCAAGAAGTGCATTCATTGAGCAACTTGTGTGAATAATAGCCACAATATCTCCATCATGTACGATTGAGAGTTTTTTTTTCAATATGTCGAAGGGGATTTATAGATAGTATGCTCCATTGAAAGTGGAGGATATGAAGAGACTATTCGTATTTAATTCTGAGTGTTAGAGTTCTATTTCTCGTCCTAGGTGATATAATGTCAGTATTGAGTAAAGCATTAGGTATGGAAGAAGAGACAGTTTATGAAGTTTCAAATCTGCATCGACTGTGATGACTGACACGTGTTGCGTTTGGTAAGCCACCGCCTTCCTTGTTGAACCGTGTTAGCTGAAATAGGATTAGGTTGGAAGAGAGTGCTCAAACCATGACATAGCATCAGTCCGTGATATCTGGCTGTTGGTTTTAGCGAAGTAGGTGGGGGTGTAGATTGCCTAGTTAGGGTTCTCGGAATGCTAAAAACCCATGGTTAGAGACTTGGTGACACAGTTCAAAACCGTTGTCAATGGTGAAGATTCACTCACCTCTTATGATCTTATAGGTTCACTGAATCCTCTTTTCCTGTGTACATTTCCCTGTAGTATATTTGCTGTGCATTTTCTATTTCTTAAAGTGTGAATTGGTATACTTCTGTGCAATTCTACGTTGAAAATTCAACTCAGAAGGTCCGTATATCCAGCAATATAACGGATGATAGTTGCAATCATCTTAAAGAAGTGCTGGTAATACACACGACTCTGGGTCACCTACTCTGTTGCAATGCAAATTTTTAACACTTTCTTTCAGAAATTCTGTTAAAATTGGCGAAGTATGTTTGATTGTTATCATCTCATCTTCCTAGAGTTGATGATATTGTGTTAGTAATTTTTAAATTCGACAGGTCGTGTTTGTCTTTTAACAAAAGCCTTTGCTTTAGTAGCTTCATCTGTTACACAAAAGACAAATCAGTTGAGTAGCTCTCAGAGAAGTATCTTGACATTTTTTGGTGCTTATTATTTACTAGATTGGCTTTATTAAGTTAAAATCATTACGTAAAACCACCGAATAGCTTCCATTATGGGTAAATTTTTATTTTGATAGAGTCTCACAGTGTTATACAGTAATATTTACTGATGACGTTTCGAGCACAATTTATTGCTCATAATCATATCAAGTTAATCACACGACTTCCTAAATTCATTTATATAGTTCCATTGTTTTTCACTTGATTTTCACTTGATTTGATTGGTAGTATTATTTTCCATATTTCAGGTATGAGTGATGATTCATTCCTATTGCATGTGTTGGGTGTAGATTCGATGAACAAAGATTCAGTAAATATTACTGTATAACACTGTGAGACTCTATCAAAATAAAATTTTCCCATAATGGAATTACACTCTACCACAGTGCCCGAGTTTTATTCTTATATCACCGAATAGCTTCTTCACATGATTTCCATCAACCCCCAACGGGTTGATCTCCGACGAAATCTCAGCACGAATATAGAGGGCTAGTTTCGCATATGCCAGTTTACGCCGTCTCTACCGTAGACGTGATATCTCACACCTCTGTTTACTGTCTATATTATGCATTTCGCCTACTTTCTTCTCTTGCTTTGTGTGCTACATGGAGTGTGGCGACTTGAACTGCCGCACATATGTGCAAAGTTCTATGTCGGAAACCGACCGACCTTCACATGAATTGAGTTTAATTTTTTGTTGGTATTTTAATGTAAGAATAATCGTCTTCTTGTTTTTTATTTTCTTTTCTACCTAGACGGGCAAAATGACTGGAGTTAGCTTAATGAATTCTTGGGTTGAAGTGAGTTTTGTCTGGTGTCAATCTGACCCTCTATAATGATAGGTAAACAATGACTTCAAAAGGACTGCCAACACTACACAGTTGATGGATGACGATCCAGAAATTTTCGGTACTTTACCAGCTATATTCATACAATAAACTATTTTTCTCTTTTTGTAGATGGATCTAGTCTCTATTCGCATTTTTGTAATGTTTGGCAAAATTCTCAGACATCTCTATCAGAAATCCCTATCCAATATAAAGATGCTTGCTACAAAACTGTCCAACGATTACCCAAGATATTTACAAAACTCTCTCATCGTAGAGGGTAAGAATAGTTTCAGAAAAATAATAATAATTTTATTCTACTAGATTACCTAATATTCGTAGTGTAACAGAAATGATCAATTTGGAAAGAAATACCTGGAGTCTTATTTCCAGTATTTATTTGGACCGTTTTCAATCTGAAATGAAGACTGGAACAACTGAAAGCAGTGATCTATCTGTACGTTTCTTACAATCTTCAAATGAAACATTTTGCATATACATATACATGTTAATAAAATTAATAATATCTAGAAAATGCTGTGACTGGATTCAACGTAGAACTTGGCACCGAAGTGCAACAGTTCTAGTTGCCACGTTCCAAATACCACACAAAGGTAGACAAGAAAATGAGTGAAGAGAATCAATAGAGTTTTGACAAGTATAAGAGTGAAACAGAATGATGAGTAATGGTAGAAAGGAATATGAAAGATTACACAAGAGACTGAATACATCTGCGTAAGCCATTGACAACGACTTTGAGCCATGTCACCTATTATCTGTCTGCAGCCATTGATTCTTAGAGTCCCGAGGGCGGGCCCCAACCCGGAAGTCTGCATCTCCCTCCCTACCTGACTTAGTTTAACTGTCAAGGATTTCATGGATTCATCGATGCCATGTTTTTGTTTGGTCACCACTTACTCTTTTCCAACCTGCACCTATATCAGCTAGTAATGCCCGTCGGGGTGGGGTAGGCGATGGTTGGGCATGCTCAGCACGTGACCTAGCCATCTCAATCTATGTAACTTTATAGCCTCTTCGATTGATTTTCCCTCTTTGCCCAACACTACGCCTAACGTCAACATTACTTACCTTATTATGCTGCATAACGTGAGAAAGAGATCGTAGACATCTATGATCAAAAACAGACAACCTTTTCATGTCTTCAACTCGTATTGGCCATGTTTCAGAGGCATAGAGAAGGACGGAGCGAAGTGCTAAGCAGTACACACGTCTTTTGGTTGATAGCCGGATGTCACGCCTACGCCAGAGATGGCGTAAGTTAGCGAAAGCAGCTTAAGCTTTTTGGATCGGGGCTGAGATTTCGTCGCCAATCAATCCGTTGGTGCTGATATGTGAAGTGGATCTACAAAGTAGATTGTATGAACTGTGACAGACATTACATCGGTGGTCGAAGTGGGCGTCCCCTTTGAATCAGAATTCAGGAACACAAATCAGCTGTGATGAAAAGGCATGATATATATTTCTGTTTCATATCAATGCATATAGATAATTATGGACATCAGTTTGATTGGGTGGGGGATAATGTCGAAATTTTAGACAGAGGAAAAACCACCAAAAGTGCAGTCAGGGAATTCCTAGAAGCCTGGTACTCAAACGAATATGCAATTAACAAACATGTTAATATCGACGAAATATTATTATTGTTGTTCCCTTGGACATTTATAAAATTATATTAGTAAAATCTCAGCGAAATTGAAATGATTAATTCCCTTGGGTTCCTAGTGGAACATAGGGCTTCAACTACACGTCTCCACTTGCTGCTTCTGTCTTCTGCTGTACTTTTCACTTGCATCCATGTTAATCCATACTGTTTCAGCTCCTCTTCACACAATCTCCTCCATGTCACCCTTGGACGTCCCACTACTCACCGCTTCCCTTTCGGGTTCCACTCGACCACTGGCCTGACGCGCGATGTCACCCAGTGGCCTCCTCAGCGAGTGAGTGTCCAATCCATCTCCACTTTCTCCTGCATATTTGTTGGGCGATTGGTTCTTGTTTTGTTTGTTCCCATAGTTTCTTGTTGGTTCTTGTTCTTTCCGGCCATCTGATCTTCAGTATAGAGCGAAGACAGTTGTTGTTGATAAAAGTCTGCAACAGGCTGTTGGAAATATTCTTGGTGACACACTGGCCAAGTTTCTGATCCGTATAGAAGAACCGACTGACTTGACGTTTGTATTGAAAATCCGAATTTTGTTGTTGATACTGGCTGAGTGACGAAGATTTCCAGATTGGTTTCAGGTTGATGAATGTGTTTCTCGCCTTCCGGATTCTCGATTTGACATCCTCGTCCGTTCCTCCTGTAGTTGAGACAATGCTCCCTAGATAAGTGAATGAAGCAGCCAAATATACCAACTAATAAATAGTAGATCATATGACGAGAAAGTTTAAAATCCAAGTCAATAGAAAATGATCAATACATATGTAAATTTGGTTACCGGGAGGAGACACAATTCTATCACTCATGGAAAATTGAGATCAGTTCACTTTATGCTAAAAATTGCTCTGAAGATGTTGTCCATCAGGGAAGACGACGAAAGCTCAGAGAACACTACTAATTGCAAATGTTGATTGTCTGTAATCTGTTTTTGGTTTCAGTACTTATTTCTCACAGGTGTTTTCGGTAACCTTCCCTTGCATGTTTTTATAACCCACCGACCTGAAACACTAGTTTTTTATGGAGATCACGCATTCTGGATAGACTTTTCAGAGAATAAATGAGGCAAAACAGTCATGAATATGATTTAACGTTAAAAGAGAGGGAGTGAGAAAGAGTAGTATGAGTTTGGTGAACACAGATGTGGTCAAATTTTTGGTGAATTTTACATCTATGTACCATTTCTGGTGCATCGGTGGCACAGTGGTTATAACTCTCGCCGATCATGCACGTGGTCCGGGGTTCGATCCCCTACCGACGCACACCTGATGTCAATTGGTCGGCCTGCAAAATTTGGGCTACCGATATCACTTGCTGAAAATTCCATACCTGTACCAAAAAATACGGTGCGGAATCAAGCTGTAATCAAAAAAATAAAAAAAAACTTTACAATGTTTCGTGTTATGCTACAGTGAATGTGTGTACATTTAACTTCTTTACAAGGGGTTGAAGCTTCGTGCACGAGGCAGTCTTACTTTTGAGTAAACCATTATTAGCAATTATTATTATTATTGTTGCCTTGGGTTCTGAGTTGAATATGGGGCTTCAACAGCACATATCTACTTTGTTCTATTTTCTGTTGTCTCTTTACCTGGGCCCACGATTGTTCATAGTCTTCCATCTCCTACAATTCTCACGATCTCCTCCGTGTCACTAAAGGGCGTGTGTACTGCTCACCAGTCCGCTCCGTCCTCCTTTATGACTGTGAGACCTGGCCATTGAGAGTGGAAGACATGAAAAGGTTAGCTGTCTTTGATCATAGGTGCCTGCTTTCTATCTCCCATGTGAAGTGGTATAATAAGGTGAGCAATACTGAGGTTAGGCGTCGAGTGCTAAGTAGGTGGGAGTGGAAATCAGTCGACGAGACTGTGAAATTTCATCCACTAAGATGGTTAGGACATGTGCTACGTATGCCTAGTCATCGCCTTCCTCGATGGGCAATGTTTGCTGACATAGGATCAGGTTGGAAAAGAGTTAGCGGTAGTCAAACGAAAACATGGCGCCAGTCAATGAAATCTACAACAGTTATTGATATAAGAATAAAACTTGGGCACTGTGGTAGAGTGTAATTCCATTATGGGTAATTTTATTTTGATAGAGTCTCACAGTGTTATACAGTAATATTTACTGATGACGTTTCGAGCACAATTTATTGCTCATAATCATATCAAGGTAATCACACGACTTCCTAAATTCATTTATATAGTTCCATTATTTTTCACTTGATTTCCACTTGATTTGATTGGTAGTGTTATTTTCCATATTTCGGGTATTAGTGATGATTCATTCCTATTGCACGTGTTGGGTGTAGATTCGATGAACAAAGATTCAGTAATCAACCTCTCTCTCCACCTACCTAGATTACTTTTTAGAATTTTAACCCTAAAAAGTAATCTAGGTAGGTGGAGAGAGAGGTTGATTACTGAATCTTTGTTCATCGAATCTACACCCAACACGTGCAATAGGAATGAATCATCACTAATACCCGAAATATGGAAAATAACACTACCAATCAAATCAAGTGGAAATCAAGTGAAAAATAATGGAACTATATAAATGAATTTAGGAAGTCGTGTGATTACCTTGATATGATTATGAGCAATAAATTGTGCTCGAAACGTCATCAGTAAATATTACTGTATAACACTGTGAGACTCTATCAAAATAAAATTACCCATAATGGAATCTACAACAGTTAGTCTAAGCCACGTAGGAAGATGTAGACTTCCTGGTTGGGGTCCTCGGGACGGTAAAAACCGATGGTTGGAAACAATTGGTGACATGGCTCAAAATCGTTGTCAGTGGCGCAGATGTATTCAGTCTCTTTAACCTTTCATATTCCTTTCTACCATTACTCATTCTGTTTCACTGTTATACTTGTATAAATTCTACTGATTCTCTTCACTGATTTTCTTGTCTACCTTTGTGTGCTATTTGGAATGTGGCAACTCGAACTGCTGCACTTCGGTGCCAAGTTCTATGTTGAATCCACCACCACCACCAATTGGTGACATGGCTCAAAATCATTCTCAGTGGCGCAGATGCATCCACTCCTTGTGACTTATGATTTCCAATGAAACTGTTTTGTACTTCGTTATTACTATTCCTTTGTCTCACACCTCTGTTTACTGTTTCTAATATGCATTTCTTCTACTTTCTTCTCTTGCTTTGTGTGCTACATGGAGTGGAGTGTGGCGACTTGAACTGCCGCACATATGTGCAAAGTTCTATGTCGAAAACAGACAGACAGATGTCACCCTCGTACCGACTACCCACTCTTCGCTTCCTATTCGGGTTGCACTCAACCGATGGCCTGCATTGTGTGCGGTGTCATTCGATGGTCACCTCAGAGTTTGCCAAATCCATCTCCATTTTCTCCTTCATATCTGTTGAGCGACAGTTTCTTCGGTGGTTTGTTCCACTGTAGAAATTCTTGTTGCTAATTCTTTCTGACTGGCCATTTGACCTTCACAGTATGGGGCCAGCGAAGCGAGGAGCTGTTCTTAGCAGTCTACAACACGTTGAATATGATTTTCGTGACGCAGGTGCCAAGTTTGTGATTCATACAGAAAAACAACTGGCTGACTCAACATTTGTGTTGAATATCGAAATCTGGTTCTGTATGCTGACTGAGTGACAGCAGAAGATTTCCAAAGTGATTTCAGATTGATGAAGGTGCACCATGCCTTAGGTGGAATTTTAGTACCATAGTGTGAATTCGCTTTTCACTACTACTTGCTTTATGTTACACTCACATGCAAAGCAACCGGTTAATAAAATCTATAAATGGAAGGAACCTGAAAGAAACAACCTCTTTTACCTACCTGGGAAGCATCGTTTCAACTACAGGCGGACGGAACTGACGAGGATATCAAAGCAAGGATCGGAAAAGCAAGACAAGCTTTCACTACTCTCAAGTCTGTGTGGAGGTCAACAGAACTCAGCATCAAAAATAAGATCCGGATTTTCAACTCCAATGTGAAGTCAGTGCCACTATATGGATCAGAGACTTGGCGAGTCATAAAGAGCATCTCAAACAAACTACAGACCTTCATCAACACCTGTCTTCGCTCAATACTAAAGATCAAATGGTCGACCAGAAAAGATCAGCAACAGGGATCTCTGGGAGTGAACCAACCAGGAACCAATTGTGAAACAAATACGCAGGAAGAAATGGATTTGGATTGGCCATACTCTGAGGAAACCATCAAGTGACATCACTAGACAAGCCATTGCTCGAGTGGAACCCGAAAGGGAAGCGGCGAGTTGGTCGTCAGTGCGAGGGTGACACGGAGGAGGTCATGTGAAGAGGATATGAAAGCATATGGGCAGACCTGGAGCCAGGTGATGACTCTAGCAGAGAACCGAACGCAATGGAGACGCACGGCTGAAGCCCTATGTTCCTCTAGGAATTAAAGGATACAATAATAATAATAATATAGGTCAAATTGTCAAGGGTTAGATTGTTTGTCGAATGAGTTAGATAAATGGCCCAATTGTTCCTAACCAACAATGGGGTTAGACAGGGTTGCCCAATCTCTCCATTTCTCTTTAACTTTGCTATCAATGACATTGTGGAGTCAGCTCTGAAGGATGTGCGTGAAGGTGATGTAGATCTGCTCCCTGGAGATAGACTTTTCGACCTCGAGTATGCAGACGATATCGTCTTACTGCGCGATAGTATGCAGGCTGCCCAAATCGCACTCAATCAGTTGGCGATCAGTGTCTGTAAGTATGGTATGTGTTTTGCGCCGTCTAAGTGCAAAGTACTGTTACAAGATTGGCAACAGCCAGTATCTGCACTGACTCTTGCAGGTGAACCGCTTGAAGTTGTCGATAAGTTTGTGTATCTGGGTAGTTGTGTGAGTGCTAGCGGAGGGGTGACGGATGAGATTTCCAGTCGTATAATGAAGGCTAGGGTGGCATACATCAACTTGAGCCACCTTTGGCGCCGTCGCGACGTTAGCCTGGCTGTCAAAGGTCGGGTATACAATGCTTTGGTGCGGGCTCTCTTACTCTACACCTGTGAAACCTGGCCTCTCCGAGATGAGGATGTGCGGTGGCTCTACGTATTCGATCATCGCCGTCTCCACAGGATTGCTTGCGTTCGATGGCATCATCGTGTGAGTAATTCTGAGGTTTGGTGGCGTGCGTGTGAACACAGTGGAGGTCACCATTCGTTGAATGTCATTCTGTGGAAACACCGGCTTCGGTGGCTTGGACAAGTGCTGCGAATATCATCCCAGAGGCTTCCGTACAGGTCTCTGTTCGCTAGCCAGACCTGGGACGGGATGGAAAAGGCGGAGGGGTGGTCAGTCCATGGCGTGTTGTCGTGGGATGAAGGATTTTTGTGCTAGATTAGCATCGGTTGGTGCGTCACGACTCCCTGGTTAGTGCCCGCCAGATAGCTCGAATCGATGACTCGAAACGTTATCGGATATGGCCAAGAATCGTAGTCATCCATGGCGAAAGTGTTACAATTTCCTTCTTTCTTCCCTTCCCGATGATAGTTGACGAATACTGTTCGAACTTGTTAAATGTGACTGTTTTCCTTCCAGATGAAGTTCTTTATCCGTTCTCCACCCATATTTTTACTTTTAATCTATGTTGTTTTACTATTATTGTGTGGCCATGGCCATAGATGTTATAGATGTCTACGATCTCTTTCTCACGTTAGGTGGCATAATAAGGTAAGTAATGTTGATGTTAGGCGTAGAGTGTTGGGCAAAGAGGGAAAATCAATCGAAGAGGCTACAAAGTTACATAGATTGAGATGGCTAGGTCACATGCTGCGCATGCCCAACCATCGCCTCCCCCACCCTGACGGGCATTACTAGCTGATATAGGTGCAAGTTGGAAAAGAGTAAGTGGGGGCCAAACAAAAACTTGGCATCAATCAATCGATGAAATCCTTGACAGTTAGACTGAGTCAGGTAGGGAGGGAGATGCAGACTTCCGGGTTGGGGCCCGCCTTCGGGACTCTAAGAATAAATGGCTGGAGACAATAGGTGACATGGCTCAAAGTCGTTGTCAATGGCTTACGCAGATGTATTCAGTCTCTTGTGTAATCTTTCATATTCCTTTCTACCATTACTCATCATTCTGTTTCACTCTTATACTTGTCAAAACTCTATTGATTTTCTTCACTCATTTTCCCCTCTACCTTTGTGTGCTATTTGGAACATGGCAACTAGAACTGTTGCACTTCGGTGCCAAGTTCTATATTGAATCCAGCCAGCCAGCCAGCCATTATTGTGTGGCACATCTTCTTGGTGTCATATTGCACCAAGTTTTTCGGTGTTTAAATAAAAAAATAATATGGCTCAATTGTTTAAACTTTTAGATATTAATTAAAGTGTGTTATGGGATTTGAAATACTTAATCAAATACTATATCCTTAATCATTGTATATACATATTTTTCTCTTTCTTTATTCTGTATATTTGTTAGAATTTTAATCATTCAGAAAAGGAAATAATCCGTCTCCTGTATGAAAAGGATAGTGAACTACGTGAAACACAGGTGAGTTGACTGGTTAGTGTGTGATGTTTTCTCCCCAATTCCCTGTATTCGGAATGATGAAACAGAGGGTTGCACGCCTTAAAGTTTCAGTGACTGTGTGGTATTGTGTTTACGCGGGGTGGGTGGGGCGATTGGTAGCCTCACACATTCAACCTTCTCTCTTTACCGGGCTTTCTACTGATCTGTAAACTAGATAGTCTAGAACCTAGGCATAATTACCGCCGGCGTCCAACAGTCGTCATTTTTTTTGACGTAAAGGCGGCATTCGATTCTGTCGATCGAGAGGTACTATGGCAGTGTTTGGCTGTGAAGGGAGGGAATGCCGTTGAAATACATCGCACTGATGTGAAGGCACTCTACTCGAACCCATTTAGCAGCCAGGTAAGAGTGCCTACATAATGAAATAGTAGAGTGTGTTGACTACTTCACTTATTTGGGAAGTTGCATCAGCCAGCCCTAACGGGTTAGTCGCTGACGAAATCTCAGAACGGATACAGAAGCCTCGTTTGGTATTTATTAGTGGACTTAGGCCATCTCGGATTTAGTAGACGTGATATCCTGCTGGCTGGCTATCGATCAAAGGAAGTATGTACTGCACAGCAGCGGTTCGCTCCATCCCCCTTTATGGTTGCAGATGAAACATGGCCTTTGAAAGTGGAAGACATGAAAAGGCCAGCTGGTTGTCTTTGATCATAGATGCCTGCGTTCTATCTCTCGTGTTAAGTGGTATAACAAGGTGAGTAATATTGATTTTGGGCGTCGATTGCTGGGTAAGGAGAGAAAATCAATCGATGAGGTCATGAAGTTACGTAGACTGAGATGGTTAGGAGATGTGTTGCTCATGCCTAGCCAGCGCCTGCCTTCCTCGATAACATGCAATGTTAGCCGCAGGTACAAGATCGATCAGGTTGGAAAAGAGCTAGCACATGGTGGTCAAACCAAAACATGTCTTCATCAGTCAGTGAAATCCATAACAACAGTTAGTTTAAGTCAGTCAGCCAGCCAGCCCCGTAGGGAGGTGTAGACTGGCTGTCTGACTAACTGTTTGGGGTCCTCAAGATGGTAAGGACTAATAGAGGCTGGAGACAATTGATAGGTGATAGTGCGCATCCCTGACGGACACCACTAGTTGTCATCACTTCAGACGGCAACACGCTGTAAGCTCTCACCTGGCTGACTGCATGGGTTCGAGTAGAGTGCCTTCGCATCAGTGCAATATATTTTCTCGGCATTCCCTCCCTTCACAGCCAAACATCGCCATAGTACCTCTCGGTCGACAGACTCGAATGCCGCCTTTACGTCAAGAAATATAACGATTGTTGGACGCCGGCGGTAAGTATGCCTATGTTCCGTTCCAGAATCTGTCGAAGAGTGAAGATATGATCAATTCACCCTCTTCCTTCCTGGTCTAAAGCCTGCCTGGTTCTCTCGTGTTTGGACTGCTTAGTCTACGCATTATTATTCAGCCTAGAACTTTAGAGTTAGTTTATGTTTTTGTTTCTGTCTATGCCTTCTTCAGCTGTATGTATACTGGCTAAGTGTCTATGCTCCACATTTATTTTCAGATATTGATCGATTGGCTAGAACTGCTGGTTCGTGAACAGATTGAAGAAGTCGCCGAAAGATATGAATGCCTTTTTAATCAAACAACAGCTTGGTAATCCAGTTTTTTTTATATTGTAGAAGTGTTCACTGTTATTCCTCTAGTTAGCGGGTCTCATTTATGCGTTAAAGTTTCTGTAGCAATTTGGTTAAGTTTTGGGGGTGGAGTTGCTAGCACCACGCCCCCCCAACCCTCCCTCTTTATCCGGGCCTGGGACCGGCTAGAAAACTAGCAAGCTAGTAATTTATGAAAATAACCAACCAACCAACAACAACAACAGCAGCAGCAACATCCAGCGCCAATCACCATCAACGGGAGGGATTTAAAAGAGGTTACTTCATTCACTTATCTAGGTAGGGAGCATCGTCTCAACTACAGGAGGAACGGACGACGAGGATGTCAAATCGAGACGAGAATCGGGAAGGCGAGAAACACATTCATCAACCTGAAACCAATCTGGAAATCTTCGTCACTCAGCCAGTATCAACAACAAAATTCGGATTTTCAATACAAACGTCAAGTCAGTCAGTTCTTCTATACGGATCAGAAACTTGGCGGCGGGTCACAAAGAATATTTCCAACAGGCCATTGCAGACCTTTATCAACAAAAACAACTGTCTTCGCTCTATACTGAAGATCAGATATATGGCCGGAAAGAATCACCAACAAGAGACTATGGGAACAAACAAAACAAGAACCAATCGCTCAACAAATATGCAGGAGAAAGTGGAGGCCTCTGGGTGACATTGCGCGTCAGGCCAGTGCTCGAGTGGAACTCGAAAGGGAATCAGCGAGTAGTGGGACGTCCAAGGGTGACATGGAGGAGACCGTGTGAAGAGGAGTTGAAACAGTATGGACTAACATGGATGCAAGTGAAAAGTAAAGGAGAAGACAGAAGCAGCAAGTGGAGACGTGTAGTTGAAGCCCTATGTTCCACTAGGAACCCAAGGGAACAATAATAATAACAATAATAATCAATAAGTGGGTCTCATCATTCTAATCTCTTTTAGGTGATTAGTTTTAGGATGCTGTGCGATCTACATATCCTGGTGAAGATTATTCTATATGCTCTGTGTTATTGAATGGGCCTTTCGATTTTTAATATTAGAACAAGGCACATATAAGCGAACAACATTGTTGTTTTCAATTAGATCTTCTTCTTCAGGCTTTACTCTAATTTACATAACTCTTTATATATAAAAATTTTTACGAGTTGATCACGGATTGCTATCAGTTAGAGAACCATTGAAAACCAGCAAGGAGTACTGGACAGCTGCTGTTTCATCCTAGTTTGGGAATCATCGGCAGTACGCACCCACTGGGATTCGAACCCAGGACCTTCCGGTTACAAGGCAAGCTAGCTCGTATACCATTCAGCCACTGGGACCCGATTCAATGGCTCATGAATTCTAACTTCTACCGATTCGTGATTTAGCGCGACCCCAACCATTGTCGTTGGTGGGCATCCATCCACACACGTGTACGGACCACCGTTGGTGGGGTAAGTCGGGAGGTACAATTGTCGGGGTCGACCTTTTCTAACCTCGTCTCTCCCTCCAGAGAGTGGAGAGACAGCATAGATGGCTGGCATGCTGGTCATCTGACGGAAACACCTTACTGCGGCTGTTACATCCCTGTTCCCCAGTGGCAGAATGACTTCGTCCACAGATTCCCAGCATAGTGTAAAAACGAAAAATTCTTACATTAAGCCGGTAACTGCTTTTAGTCTAATCGCTATCCTAACAACTTTCCTGGCATGGAAGGACCTGTAGTAACAATAGTTCTAGCCAGTGTACCTTGTTGGGTCATTGCGATGTGCAAGCCCGACCACTATGTCAAGGCTGCAACTGTCGGTCGGGATCCAGTAGATCCTCGATTAGAGTCCTTCTCCATCTAAATTAGCCTGGACAGTAGAATTAGTGATCACGTAAGAAATGTGGCTCATAGGATAGCGCTTTTTTGTCTGTCTGTCTGTTTTTGACATAGAACTTTGCACACATGTGCGGCAGTTCAAGTCGCTACACTCCACTCCTTGTAGCACACAAAGCAAGAGAAGAAGGTAGGAGAAATGCATATTAGAGACAGTAAACAGAGATGTGAGACAAAGGAATAGTAATAACGAAGAACAAAACAGTTTAATTGGAAATCATAAGTCACAAGGAGTGGATGCATTTGCACCAGTCATTGAGAACGATTTTGAGCCATGTCACCAATTGTTTCCAACCATTGGTTTTTACCGTCCCGAGGACCCCAACCATTCAGGAAGTTTACATCTTCCTACGTGGCTTAGACTAACTGTTGTAGATTTCATTGAATGGTACACATTTTTGGGACGAGTTTGTTTGAGTAGAATGCTCAGAAAGACAATTACTGTTTCACTGGTTACAATAGGATAAAGAGTCATGATATCTTTGTTCTTTTTTGTGTGTTTTCGCTTGTCTTTCTTGGCGTCTATCAAAGTAATCATCGTACTGTCTATCTATCTTTTTTCTTCTGAAGGGAGAACACGGCACACCTACTGGATTATCTTCCGCAATCAGAACTTACAAAGCGCCGTTTAGTCAAAGAATTGGTATGTCCCTTTATTCACTGACTTTCCCTTTTTGAATTAAACACTATCCTGTTATTTGGGAGTCGTCAGCTGGATGTACTTGCATCTCCAGTGTGAAGGCACCAGCACCTATCATTTCAAACTCCAAAGTGTTATCCATTAAGCCAACGGGCCACCTACGTGGTCTGGGTTTTGATTCCTGGCCGCCGACGGACTTTTAAACCTTGCTTAATTTACTATATATCAGCAAGCCTTGGAGAGAGGGAAGGTTGGGCCTGAGCCTAGCGACCTAACCACGGTAAAAACAAGCCTGAAGACCTGCGGTCCACCCTAGGACGCACTGAGATGGAAACACTGGGTAAATCCGGATGAAGAGTCTCAAAAGGGACGAAACAAGTGTCTAGGATGACATTGGTAGTCACTAACAACCAAAACAACATCATGTTCATGTATGTGTAAAACTTGGGCACTGTGGTAGTAAGTAAATTCCATGTTAGTTTTTGTTTATTAGATGTTTCACACAGTCACAGAAACAGTATTAGTGAAACGTTTAAGTGACAGAGCACAAAAACTGAGGAGTACCAAGGAAAATATAAGACAGGAAGTGATACATATAAGAGAAGCCTTGAAACATAATAATTAGCCTGATAAATTAATCAGGAAATATGTAGGGAAATGTGAAAATAAAATAAATAACGATAGTAGTGATAGTGATAATAATAATAATGATGACATGCGTGTCAAATATGCGCAAGACAACGCCAACAATAAGGAACCTAAATCATCAGTAGTAATTCCATACAATACAATTCCATACATATCACACCTTGATATGATTATGAGCAATAAATTGTGCTCGAAACGTCATCAGTAAACATTACTGTATAACACTGTGAGACTCTATCAAAATAAAAATTTACCCATAATGGAATTACACTCTACCACAGTGCCCAAGTTTTATATCTTATATCATATCTTATATCATTGTTATCTTATTCGCGTCAACTAATCTAGATTTAGCTACATTTTTTGCCCTCCCACTAGTCTAACTGACCCTATTCGACTACCCTACTCTATGTATTTGACCTGACAATCATTGCAGGCAGGGTATTAGATAAACTACATTGTTTTGTGTTAAAGGCTCCACAGGATTCATCCTGTAACCGACAAATCCTGTTTCTAATTGAGTTTGCGGGTGGTTTGAATGCCAGCCACTTTTATTCCTGACTTGTTAAGAATTCTGCGTAAGGTTTCCTAGGTTCCTTCCTTGTATGGAATTACTACTGATAATTTAGATTCCTTATTGTTGGTGTCTTCATTATCTTGAGCATGTTTGACATGTATATCATCATTAATATTATTACTATTATTATAACAATCATTATTATCACTATCACTACTATCATTATTTATTTTATTTTTACATTTCCCTAAATACTTTCTGACTAATTTATCAGAGTAATTATCAATTAAGTTTCAAAGCTTCTCTTATATGCCTCACTTCCTATCTTAGATTTTCCTTGGTACCACTTAGTTTTTGTGCTCTATCACTCAAAACTTAAGTTTATCGAATCAACTGCAAACACGTGTAACAGGAATGATTCAACTCTACTACTACGCCGACGACGACAAACAGGAGAGGACAAAGAAACCCATAAAACTCAAGTTTCGAAGTCGTGTGATTATAATTGATATAATTATGAACAGCCATAAATTGTGTTCGAATTGTCATCCAGTAAATAAAACTGTTACACTGTGTGATCTGTCTAATAAACAAACTAATATGGAATTACTTACTACCACCACAGTGCCCAAATTTTACACATAAATCAAATGAAATCTCTGCAAACCGACACTTGAATAACAGCATTACTGCTCTTTTATTCTCGGCTAATGGCGTTTTCATTTCGTTTTCACTGAATCCTTTTCTGTTTTCATTATACATTAGCATCCAGATGTGGTAACGCTTACTGGCAATGAGCTGGATCAAAAAGATCAAATCGATAATGATCGTTATGTGAATTATTTATTTTTATGCCTTCGTGGTGGAGATCTTCATCGTGTAAGTATGCTGTATATTTGCGTCATACTTTATATTTCAGTGTATAAGTGTTTTTTTTTTGAATTATCGTGTTATTTGATTTTATTTTTTGGCGCCACACTCGCGAATGGAACCCAAATAAGCAGTGACGAGTTCGGCTTGGCTCCGGGGTTGGTGTGGAGAAGATTGTGTGAGGGAGGAATGCAAGCATATGGGCGACTGCATAGAACAGTGTGAAGTAGGGATGTTCTCCCCCCCAGGCTGAAACCATGCATTCCACTTGGAACCCAAGGGAATAATAATTTCTATGGAATTGCTAATTTATGACGCGTATCTTGATGGTTATGTGTTTATAATATTGTCCAGTAAGCTGTGTTGGAAACATTATTCAGTAAGTGATAATAAATGATTATGGTGTGATGTGATTCATCAGCTGAAGCACTGAACTTTTGGACGGTGAGTGTGAATCCTACTCCATCTAGTATAGACCCTAGGAAACTGGATAACATCATCAACCCTGATATAATAACCCCATTATGGATAAGATTTTATTTTGATAAATCACACAGTGTTGTACAGTAAGTAATATTAACTGATGACCACGTTTCGAGCACAGATTATTGCCACTCATAATCATATCAAGTCACTCACTCACACAACTTTCTTGTTTCCTTTATATACATGAGTGGAATTGATGATTAGACATTTGAATAAAAATCAGTATAAGATAATGTACATGCAGAAATAATTATATGAGTGTTATCAATCAAATACAGCCAAATGGGAAATAAGACGAGTGTTTTTTTAGTCAAAATAAGTCAAGTAACTTGTTAGAATGTTATGATGTACGTGAATTGAATTGAAATAGAATTATAAGATCATTTATTATCCTCCTCTGATTTGACTGACTGGTGGCAATAATATCTTCCATCCATATCTCTGGTATTTGCTTTGAGTCACTTCTATTGCAAGTGTCGGATGTGTAGATTCGATGAACAAGGATTCAGTTATCAATCTCTCTCTCCACCTACCTACATTACTTCTTAGAATTTGAACCCTCTCCCACTTTATTGTGTGGTTGTGTGTTAATGCATGCAGTGCAATCGCTGAGCCCTTTTCTAAATTACTTATCTTCACGGGTGGGGTCAGCCATTCTTCCCCTAGCTAAATTCTTATGTTCTGACCATCTGATTATCCCCGACCTACTAGTCTGACTTATGTAGTTGACCTAACTCACAGTCATTGCAAGTTATTTTATAAACTATATTATTTTGTCTAATAATTCTGAATGTACGTTATTCTATATTGATTTTTATTCCAATATCTAATTGATTCCACACATGTATATAAATGAAGGAAAACGTTGTATGACCTGATATGATTATGAGTAGCAATAGTTTGTGCTCGAAACTTTGTCATCAGATAATATTACTTTATGACACTATGTGACACTTTATCAAAATAAAATCTTATCTATAATGGTCGAAGTTAGAATTTATAAGCTGACTATTGGATAGAGTCCTAGTGGTCACATGGTCTACAAGCTAGCTTTATCGAGTCTACACCCAACACATGCAACAGAAATGACTGAATACAAATAACAGAGATGTGCACGGAAGATATTATTACCACAAGTCAGTCAAATCAGAAGAGGATAATAAATAATCTTAAAATTCTATTTCAATTCAATTCACGTACATCACAACATTCTAACAAGTTACTTATTATTTTGACTATAAAAACACTCGTCTTATTTCCCATCTGATTGTATTTGATTGATAACACTCGTATCATTATTTCTGAATGTACATTATCACATATTGATCTTTATTCAAATGTCTAATCATCAATTCTCACTCATGTATATAAATGAAGCGTGAAAGGTGTGTGAGTGAGTGACGTGATATGATTATGAGCAGTAATAATTTGTGCTCTAAACGTGGGCATCAGTTAATATTACTGTGTAACACTGTGACACTTTGTCAAAATAAAATCTTATCTATAATGGAGTTATACTCTACCACCACAGTGACCAAGTTTTATACTCATACCTGATGTAATAAGCGTGGCTTCAATGCCAACTGTATCGGAATGCAAATGGTTGGTGACTTATGCAGATAATACTCAACCTGTCATTTTTCATAGCTGTGTGATGTGGTCATTGAAAGTGGGGAGACTTGAAGATGCTAACTAGCCGACTGACTGGTTTCAACATAGAACTTTACACAGATGTGCAGCGGTTCAACTTGTCATACTCTCTCCATGTTAAACACAAAGCAAGAGAAGAGAGTAAAGAGAAGTGTGAGTGAGGAAAAAAGAATAGTAATTTGGAAGAACAATAGAGTTTTATTGGATATAATAAGTCTGAAAGAGTGAATGCATCTGCGCCAGCCATCACCGAGAACGATGATTTTGAGCCATATAACGCACCAGTTGTCTCTAGCTTCCATTGATTCTTACCATCCCAAGGATACCAACCAGCTAGTTAGACAGCCAGTCGACACCTCCCTACGTGACTGGCTGGCTGACTTAAACTTACTGTTGTTATCGATTTGATTGACTGATGAAGTCATGTTTTGGTTTGATCACTCCTCGTGCTAGCTCTTTTCCAACTTGATCCATCTTGTCCCAGCGGCTAACATTGCATGTTATCGAGGAAGGCAGGTGATAGATAGGCTACCCTGTGGAACACATTTCCTAACCATCGCCTCAATCGATGTAACTTCGTGATCTCGTCCATTGATTTTCCCTCCTTACCTAACACTCGACTGATGCCTCACCTCAATATTACTCACCCTATTATACCACCTAACCTGACACGAGAGGTAGAATGCAGGCACCTATGATCAAAGACAACTAGCCTTTTTTAGTAAATAGATGAGGTTATGTGAATCTACTCCTATTGTTCAACTGGGATGCCTGGGAGACGTGTTACGCATGCCAAGATATCAATCGCCTTCTTCGTCATTGGACTAGTTTGGTCAAATCAAAACCCGGCATCAATTCATAAATTCCCTGACTCTTGTTTTGAGCCATACACGTAGGGTTGGAGGTGTAGACTGCCTCTCCTTGGGAGAGGCTATGAAGCAATGGTTGGAGAATGTTTTGTTAATTTAGCCGAATTTATTTTATACTTTTCAAATTTCATTCCCTTACGCTTTTAGTGGAACATCGGGCTTCAAGCCAGAGAGCTTTAAAGTTCTGGTAGCACTGATGTTTATTTTTACAGGGTGGGGTTGCTAGTCTCATGTTCAACCCTCCGTCCTAACCGGTCATATTACCGGTTTAGCGAGGCTTAGAAGGGAGTCTGCGGCCGTAGATCAAACTCCGGACCATGTGTGGCGTAGTTGGTGGGCATTTTACCTCTATACAACCGACGTCATATGACCGGAAGTTGTTCTTAACTGGTTCAGACGGATTTACATTTCATGATCGTCCATATTCATTAAATCCTAAGGTGTTTATTTCATTTTATTATTTTAGGCTCAACTGTTGTGTACACAACGTCATGAATATTGGCGAGCTATTTCCCTGGAAGGTTGGCGTCCATTTCACTACTCTGGATTTATTGAAAGTGAATCCAAGGAAATGGAGAAAGTATTTAATGAAGATGAAGAACTCGGTGAATCAGGACCATTTTATATGCAGTTAACTGTTGAAGGCAATCCAACAAGAATTTTGTATAAATCTGTATGTTGGTGGAATTCTGAAAATGTAAGCGCTATAGGTCTGTTGATAGCTTATTTCTTATTACAATCACACATACATATATATATATATATATTATTGTTCCCTTGGGTTCCTAGTGGAACACAGGGCTTCAACTGCATGTCTCTACTTGCTGCTTCTGTCTTCTGCTGTACTTTTCACCTGCATCCATGTTAATCCGTACTGTTTCAACTCCTCTTCACACGATCTCCTCCATGTCACCCTTGGACGTCCCACTACTCGCCGCTTCCCTTTCGGGTTCCACTCGAGCACTGGCCTGACGCGCGATGTCACCCAGTGGCCTCCTCAGCGAGTGAGTGTCCAATCCATCTCCACTTCTTTCTCCTGCATATTTGTTGAGCGATTGGTTCTTGTTTTGTTTGTTCCCATAGTTTCTTGTTGGTTCTTGTTCTTTCCGGCCATCTATCTGATCTTCAGTATAGAGCGAAGACAGTTGTTGATAAAAGTCTGCAAGTTGTATTTATATTACAGAAAAAAGGTTATTAAGTGGCACTAAATAATTGCTCAGTCAATATACATATATATGTGATAAGAATAACGATAATTAAAGTGTTATAAGGCATAGAGTTGAGGTGGATAAATTACAAAATTATTAAAGATTGTTTTATAAGTGAATTGATATCAAAAATATTTTTTTTTAATGTCAAGCGTTGTCTAAAAATTTTTGAAAAATTAGGAGTACAATTACGATAAGAATAAAAATGTGAAGTGGAAAGAATTCAAGTGGTAAAATAAAATAAAGTGAAAACTAGAAAGAGCATTACTATGACCAAGGTAAAGAAAAGCGTTAGACAAAATATTTTTGAACACATAATTTAGGTTTCTGTTCATGAATAGCTAATGCTTCGGCTATGCATAAGTGAAGAAAACGTAAACTTTTGGATCGATTCGATTTTGCCATGTAGATAACTTTGAAAGATGAATCACATGGGGCTAAATGACCCGACTCTAACAGGTGATCACAAATAGACGAATTCGCAGTTCTACGTTCGCCTTTCATTAACCAGACTGGATAGTGTTCAGCTACACGTTTTCGGAGATTACGCTTACAACGTCCAATATAAACAGCTCCACAAGAGTAGGTAAAAAATCAATTATTTAGTGCCACTTAATAACCTTTTCTGTAATATAAATACGATTGTACAGCTTGAAAATGAAGTCGTTGAAAGGAAATTTCTTCGCTCAACATATATATATATATATATATATATATAGATTGCACACTAGGAACTAGTATGATGTGTCTAGTCCTTTGTTCAGTGCAGACTGAATTCTGTCAGTCAGGTTTGCAATGTCGTCATCAAATCAGTGTGTACCGTGATGTCGAGCTACCTAGTGGAATGATGGCTACATTGCAAAGCTAACTGAGTGATAAAATTCAGTCTGCATCAAAGAAAGGACTAGATACTTCAGAGTAGTTAGTAATGTCCAATCACAGTATCCAATACAGTCCTACATGAGGTGAAGCACGAGCCCGAATGGCTTAGTGATAACGTCTCTGACTACAACACTCACCCGGTGACGCGGGTTCGAATCTCAGAAGGGGCATGAATTCCTTCAAGGTTACAGATACACCTTGCTGATGAGTGCCAACTAGCACGAAACCTTACTAAATGGATTAGGGAATTATCACTTCTTGGTTTGGACACCTCTAACACGTCCACAACTTAATCTTGTATCATACACTTGGTTCCCTTGAGATTAATCTCTCACTCTTTTGGTAACTGGAATTTGATTTTGATTACATTAGTTATTGATCTAATTCAGTGATCTTAACTCACTGAACAAATCTCAATCTTATAAACTGTAACCACTTTCGTATTTTCAGTTGCTATGTGAAGAGGCTACAAGCTAACACTGTTTGTTAATTTTTTCTGTTTTCTGTTTTACCCCTCGCCCCTCTTTTCTACTTTGAAAGCGTATCAATTGATGATGAAAACTTAAACTAAAAATTGTAATGCTTTCATCTCGGATGCGTCAGTTTTATAGCATTTCTTCTCTATTACCACTTAAACATTAAAGTATATTATTATCTTTCTATAGTTTGGTTTGTAAGGGTTAGTTATGTTTTTACGAGTTGATCACGGATTGATATCAGTTAGAGAACCATTGAAAGAAAACCAGCACTGGAGTACTGGACAGCCAGCTGTTTCATCTTAGTTTGGGAATCATCGGCAGTACGCACCCACCACCACGGTTTGAACCCAGGACCTTCCAGTTACAAGGCAAGCTTACTCGTATACCATTCAGCCACTGGGCCCCGACCTGACTCAATAGCCAGTCCATGAATTCTAACTTCTACCAATTCGTGATTTAGCGCGACCCCAACCAATGTCATCGGTGGGAAATCCATCCTCATACACTTGACTGGATGGACCTCACTGGTCACGACTTCTCACTAGAACTCCAGGAAACTCCGTCCTGTAGCAAGTCACTAATGAGCATCGGGTCCCAGTGGCTGAATGGTATACTAGCTTGCCTTGTAACCGAAGGGTCCTGGATTCGAACCATTGTGGTGTCGATGATTACCAAACTAGGCTGATGAAACAGCTCGCTGTCCAGTACTCCATGTTGGTCTTCAATGGTTCTCTAACTGATATCATTCCGTGATCCACTCGTAAAAATATATTATTATCATCAATATAAACATTGTAATTTCAGGTAGTGGTGTGCAGCTGATGAGAACCTGTGAAATAGAATGACAATATCATTTTATACTGCAAATCTGGTCTTCCTTTCTCTATCGAAATCTTGCATCAGTTAACATGTCTGTCTGCCTGTCTGTCTTAAGAGTGCAATTTCTTCAGGAGGTGCACATGTCACTTATCAATCACTCGTCATAATCTCTTGGGTTATATTTGTTCCCTTGAAGCAGTCGTACCGACTCAATTGTTTTAACTTTCAGTATTACTCGTCGTATCGTTAATTCTACTGTTGATTCCATTTTCTTTTTACTTATATAATATTTAGGTAAACTTACGTTCATTTGAACGGGCTATCTATGCAACACTCTCAGGGAATTTAGATGTACTAACACAAATTTTACCTGCTTCATGGACTGATCAAACTTGGGCACATTGTCGAGCACTAGTTGAAGCACGTGTTGATTCCAGTCTACGCAGTTTGTTGAATACTGGTCCTAGAGCTGATACATTAGTAAGTTAGAATTTTCGGCAGAGATTTTTATGCATGATATTGTTGTGTGGGAACATTTTTTCGCTTCATTTTCAATATATTACTTATTTTGAATTCAGCGTTACTTATTGTGTCGTACTCAACAATTCTGTTCACAATTGTTCTGTAATTAAACATATTGCTTGTAAACTGTATAATATAAATCCATGTGTAGAGCTTTGTTTGACTATAGAAGTGTGTGGGTGGTTTTACTCCCCAACTGCTCACATTGTGGGCGTTGATCTATTCTTCGGGGTGCTGAAAACGGAAGGGGAATTAGTGTTACGCGGCGACATCGCTCGGGGGAAAACTGTTTCAGGTCAGTCACAAGCGACCTGTTTGAGTTGAATTTCTAATTTATGCCTGTATTGTTGAGATCTTACCGCAGGTTGTGGACCACTGCAAGGTAGATCAGAATGGATGTCCGATTTTCTGTCCGACGTTCCGCGATCCCCACTCCAGGGTGGAGATTCAGTGTCGCTTGCTTGGTGGTTATCTACGGGAAATAACTTAGTGCTATTACATCCTCATTCTCCAACAGCACAAATTCGTCCCCAGACCCAAAATATGGTATAAGCGACTTATACTATGGTGGTAACTGTTTTTTTCTAACCTCTATCCAAACGACCTTTGTGACATGGTAGAGCCTTCAGGAACACTTATTCCAGTCAGTGTGTAGTTCGTCTGGCGATTGCAATACGCAATGCTGACCATCATGCTAAAGTAGGGGCTATCGATCGGGGTGTACAAGTAGACGAAGAAGGGATGGATTTTATTGGCTTAAAATCTCCACTTCAGTCGATGAGTTCAGGAATTGAATGGTGACAAGCGATGGAATCCAGGTTGCGCATTTCGTCCTTTTTGGGGTTCGTCATCTGGACGTACCGAGCATTTCGGTCCAATCAATCGACGGGAGAAATCTAAAATTCAATTAAATAATTAATATGATTTGTTGCACAAGAGGCAGTGGCTCTCGTGGCCCAAGTGGTTTAGTGGATAACTTTTTGGCGTTTGAAACTATGGCCACTGGGTTCGAGCCTCAGTGGAAACATCATCATCACTCACTGGGGAATGCAGGTACATCCACTGGCTGACGAGTCTCAAATAGGACGAAATGCGCATCCTAGTGAATTCCACTGCTAGTCGCCATCCATCAATTAACTTCTAATTACATGCCCAGACATCGTTGAAGCATCTGCACAAGAAGCCGACATGTTAACCTGAGACCGAGCACTTGGGTGCAATCAATCGACGAGAAAATCTAAAATTCAATTCTCTCATAACGATTTCCTTCTAGTCTCTACTGACAGCTGTCATATTAACACGTGGTGATCAGGCTTGCATATCACAATGACTGTGAACGAGTTACACTGGCTGGACCGTATGTTCTTTTAGGTCCTATCAATCTACAAAGGTCGCTTGGATAGCGGTCAGGCCAAAAACAGTTAGTATTTCAGTGTAGGTACTGTGTGTGTATGTGAGGGGGAAGTCGTGATACTGGTGAACACCCAGCAATCCAGCTACACTGCTTGTCCTCTCTGGGTAGAGCGGAGGTTAGAGAAGATGGACTCCAGGAATCGTACATCTCGATCTACCTTTCAGCTGTAGATCCGTTGCTGGTGACAAGGTCTCCTTGCAAATACAACTTCAAAAGATATTTTACGAGTTGATCACGGACTGATATCAGTTAGAGAACCATTGAAAACCAGGGAGTACTGGACAGCTGCTGTTTCATCCTAGTTTGGGAATCATCGGCAGTACGCACCCACTGGGATTCGAACCCAGGACCTTCCGGTTACAAGGCAAGCTCGTATACCATTCATGAGCCATTGAATCGGGTCCCAGTGGCTGAATGGTATACGAGCTTGCCTTGTAACCGGAAGGTCCCGGGTTCGAATCCCAGTGGGTGCGTACTGCCGATGATTCCCAAACTAGGATGAAACAGCAGCTGTCCAGTACTCCCTGGTTTTCAATGGTTCTCTAACTGATATCAGTCCGTGATCAACTCGTAAAACATAACTAATCCTTACAAACCAAAACTATTCAAAAGATATGCCAAACAGGCTGCACAAGATCAGTCTCATGCAGCTATTCTCTGTACTTTGCAGTCCTGCAAAACTAATACTTTATCTCTCTCGGTCCAGTTCAGTTTCCTTCCAATGTATTACACGTTTTGTGCATACGACAGTGTTATTCTACAACCACTTGCAATTGTATGCAGTTGACAATGAGCCACATCTATTGTGTGTTGAGGGCTAGTTATACTACCCGGAGTTGTCCAAACTTCAGTGAGTGTAGTGGAGTTCGAACCTGTGACCTTGCTGGTTAGAAGTGGAGAGCCTGAACCAATGGTGCCACACCTTCATTTATCGATATGATGAATTCACAACGTCACTGGCATTCAACTCCATATTAGTTTGTTTATTAGATGTATCACACAGTCACAGAAACAGTATTATTTACTGGACACTGACGTTTCGAACAAAATTTGTCGTTCATATCATATCAATTATAATCACACGACTTCGAAACTTGAGTTTTATAGCTTTCTTAGTCCTCTCCTAATTGTCGTCGTTGGAATAGTAGAAATTTCCAGATATCTGGGTGGACAGGTGTTGAATCATTCCTATTACACGTATTCTCTCTCAGTTGATTCGATAAACAAAGCTTCCGTTATCAATCTCTCCCTATACCCTGTGACATTAGATTTTAAAACTGTCATCCTATCCCATCCTATTGTATGGCTGTATTGTGTGTAATTGCATGTAGTGAGTAGTGTAGCTGAATTATTCTCTATATTTCTTATCTTATTCGAGTCAATATTATAAGATAAGAAATCTAGAGAATAGTTCAGCTATACCATTCACTACATGCAGTTACACGCAACACAGCCATACGCTTGGATGGGATAAGATAACAGATTTAAAATCTAATGTCACAGGGTATAGGGAGAGATTGATAATGGAAGCTTTGTTTATCGAATCAACTGAGAGAGAATACGTGTAATAGGAATGATTCAACACCTGTCCAGTAGGATATCTGGAAAATTCTACTACCCCTACGACGAAAAATAGGAGAGAACAAAGAAAACTATAAAACTGAATTTTCGTGTGATTATAATTGATATGATTATGAACAATAGATAGATTTTGTTCAAGACGTCGTCCAGTGAATAATACTCTTTCATTGTGTGATACATTAAGTAAACAAACTAATGTGGAATTACTTACTACCAGCATAGTGCCCAAGTTTCACACATATATTAATAATGTCACTGGTATTCAAATTGGAGAGTTTCAGTTCACGAGGTGGACGATGAATTAGAAGTCGATAACGGAATATGTTTAGGTGTTATCAATATGAAAAGGGGGCTACAATGCTATCCAATACTACTGCTCAGTTAGTGTTCTATCATCGGTTACGAAGACTTTTATAAAAGCCCACCTAAGTAATGTAAAATCTAGTCTCACTAGTTAGCCACTGGTTGACCTTTATATGTTGCGTATTTAGAGATTTCATTGGTATAATTCACCAGGAATCATTATCAATTGGGTAAATTTATACAGTCAAACCCTGAAATGCCTTTAGAATTGTCTTCTAAAACTCCACTGGTTGTATCATTTATTTATTTATTTGAATTGAAACTTAGAATAGTATGGGCGCCAAGGGATGCGCCACAAAATTGTACGAGACGTTCAACTTGAATTGGGATCCACCGGGTGGTAGAGCAGATTTAGGAGATGCGTTCCAATGGTTGCAGGTGTCCCGGTGTCGCTTTCTTGAGCTCATTTGCATCGTAGGTTCTAAACCAGTGTTTTCTGAATTCCTCCACGCGGCGAATGTGTTCTTCACAAAGTGAAATTGCAAACGCGAACATCTGGCGCTCTTGTTGCTGCTATACTAACTTGTGGATCAGAGAAACGTTCCTTAAGATAACCACCTGCTTCGGTTTTGGCGCCTCAGCAGTATCCCAACCCTAGCACAAATTATCGGATTTTGTATAGAACCCCATCCCTTGCGGGGGACCCTTTTTCTGCTAATCCCGTGATGAGCAGAGAATATTCACAATCGCCCACTCCGTAAGAATAACCCCTACTAATCAAAGGCGGTGAATAGGAAGAGGTTATAAATGCTTAGCCTCATAAGGGCACTTCTAGGGAAACGACCAAAGTGTGGTGAGAGCTGTCTGCTAGCCAAAATTGCTAGACAGCAATTTACATCCCATATCTTGGTCATGAGAAAAAAAAAACACAAAAACAAAGACTAACTCAACAACCAATCACACAGCAGACTTTGCGTGGGTGGATACGATTCGCAGATATATATATATGATCTGACCTTGAAAGAAATGGCCACAAAGAGAGAAAGCAACCAATCAGAAGACGCTGTTTCTCTGCTAACAAAAGCGCTAATAATAATAATGTACATAAAAATCTATAAATATCTGTTGATTTTCTCAATAAACGATCTGTTTGACTGGTCGTTGTCTTCTGTCGTTACAAAGTTTACCAGGCCTCGACTGTGTGCACCTGGTCATTTACAGAGAGTAGGGCACTAGTGTGAATACTCTGAAGTATATTTAAAAAACCATCCATCAAAGATAGTATACTTTACTTCAAAGAAGTAAATATTAAGATGGTGTCAAGAGGGTACTTAGTAGCTTGTACTCATAGTGCGTAACTTTACCCTTGAGAAATGGTATCCAAAGTACTCTTTGTTTTTTGCCTTCTATATGTATATACTACTTATATAATATTTCATCCTTTTATTTATATATTGAATATATTAGGCAGTAACTGGTAGAACAACAAAACGCTGGCCTTTAGATGGTGGTTTAACTCTACCAGATTCAGCATGGGCTCCTGGTGATTGGACTCTTTCGGATGCATTTGCACGTGTTGATGCACGTCTTGGTTGGTCAGCTATTGGTTGTCTAGAAAAGTGCAGTAGTAGTAGTAGTAGTAATCTACGTATGCGAACAGTTATACGGTCTGCAATGAATGATTTCTTAATGGATGATAATTCCTACATGTATGCAAATGATGGTGATGGTTTTCGTAATAATAACAATAATGACGATGATGCACAATCGCCTTCAGTGTACGCAATTGTCTATTGTATATTCTATGCTGTACAACAGACTGTTATGTTAAGAAATTATGATTGTAAGTTTATAACGATTAATTTAGGCGATTTTATATGGTTTAGAGAATTGGTATACATGCTGACGAAATATATATAGTCTTCTGAACACCTTGAGGAGTAGCATTCTGCGAATGTTTGGCGTATGATTTGATTATGTCCTGCGGACTATGTCGACTCACTGTTAGCTTGAAGATTGGCAGGAATGAAGTAGTAGAGCGTGCTGGGAAGGTGTATCAGCCAGTCCCAGTGGGTTGATCACTGACAAAATCTCAGAATGGATACAGAAGGCTTATTTGTTATTTATTAGCAGACTTACTAAACTGTGGTTTAGTAGATGTGATATCCGACTGGCTGTTGGCCGAAGGACGTGTGTACTGCACAGTAGCAGTTCTCCCCGTCCTCCTTTATGACTGGCAATGAGAGAGGCATGGCCACTGAATGTGGAAGACATGAAAAACCTGGTTAGCTGTCTTTGATCATAGGTGCCTACGTTCTATCTCCCGTTTGTGTTAGTTGGTAGCATGATAGGGTGAGGAATATTGAAGTTAGTCTTCGGTCGAGTAGTAGGTAAGGTCTGAAAATCAGTCAATGAGGTTGTGAAGTTACACCGACTGACATGGTCAGGATATGTGTTACGCATGATAGCCTAGCCATTGCCTGCCTTCCTCAACAATGGGCAATGTCAGCCGCTGATATAGGATGGATCAGGTTGGAAAAGATTTAGCTTACTTACTTACTTTACTTCGGCTATCTCCTACGGGAGGATGAGCCGGCTTCATGAACATCTCGAATCATCGCTGCCCAGGCGCGGCGATCTGATGAAGAGAGTTCATGAAGTTTCATGGGAATTTGGTACGAGTGATGTTCCCAGAATCGCTCGGCCTTTTGTTTGAGAGTGCAACTCTAGCCTTTACATAACCAAGTGTGACCTACAAGGCAGTAGGAGTGGAGTAGGGAGTCCACTATCCATTGGCAGCCGGTGACCGGAGTTCGGTTCATACGCCTTTTTGAATGGGGCCAGACATCAAGGACATCCAACAAGCCCTTCGTCCATACGTGTGCCGGTGAGCTCCAGTGAGCTTCATACGCCAGTCGTTGGAGGTTTGGAATCAGGGTTTAGCTATCTCCCCTAGACTGTCATCCAATGGACAGTCAACCCGGTGAAGAGCGCCGGGCATCCGCTTTCGCCCTCTCACTTTGGTGAAAAACACCTCCGCCACGTGAAGGCAGTGAGTAGGACTTCCTCAGGAGAGGCTATGTAAGACGCCCGGTCACATGGGAGCATTTCAAGAGGTGTGCGGAGGAGTGGCCAACCCGCAGCGCAAGGCACCCACTCCCGACCATTTAGCACTTGGTGGACAAACCAAAACATGGCTTCATCAGTCAATGAAATCTATAACAGTTAGTTTAAGCCATTCAGTCGGTTAGAGAGGTGTAGAGTGGCTGTCTGGCCAGCTGGTTAGAATTCTCGGGATGGTAAGAACCAATCACGACTGGAGACAATTGGTGGGTGATAAGGTTCAGAATCGTCGTTCTCGATGATGGCTGACGCAGATGCATTCGCCCTTTGTAATTTATCATATGCAATAAAAAATCTATTGTTAATAATCATAGAGTGATTATTATTATTACTGTATTGTTTTTCCCTCACTCACATTTTTGTGTATTATCTCTGTTTTAAATTTCTCTTTACTCTATTCTGTTGGTTTGACTGCTAAATGGAAGGAGTGTGGTAAGTTGAACTGCTGCACATCTGTGTAAAGTTCTATGTTGAAACCAGTCAGTCAATATGTTAGCACCATGAAAATCATGTGCAAAAGTCTGCTGTAAACTTTTATCAACATATGAATTTTCTGCATACTGAGGATCATCAGCAGAGGCAGCGCGAAACGATAAACGTCAAGAAACTCTAATACTTTAGGGAACTAGATAAGAATTTGTTCCTCAACGAATGTTTAGAAGACAGTAGAGATAGGATTGGAGGTATGCTTAGGGGACAATTGAGTGTCATGACATTCTTTGGCCTCGGGTGGAATCTCGTGATAGGAACTGACGATTCAGCCATGCGTCGGTGAGGTGAAGGCTATTGTGTGAAGAGGTAATGAAATTTTGTGGACAGTTGAGCAGTCAGCTGAAACTGACTGCAAAAGAAGTTGATGCAATGGAGATGTGCTGATGTGAGGCTATATATTTCCCTCGGAACCCAAGAAACGAATAATAGTAATAATCATAACAATAATACTCGGAAGAGATTTCTCTTGTACCGGATTATGAGCCCCACATATCTTGTTTGTGTGGGGGCTCTGAGATGGTTGGGGGGGACCCTAACCCGCAACTCGCTGACCGAAAGTTTAAGGTGGGGGGTTCAGCCAATGAGCCATATCTTCACAGTGAGATTAATTGTGATCTCTCACTTATGAAAAAGAGAAGACGTTCAGCGAAGAGACTCTTTTCGCCGGCGAATTCATTCACATAGCTGTACAATCGCATTTATATACAATTATTTGTGTGTGTGTACATGAGGTTTGTCAAGTTTAGACAATTATTCAGCTAATAGAAGAATGATCTAATATAGAAACAAGGTTAATTAGACAGCAACTAACGTAAGATTGAGTTAGTTAGTCATTTATGTTACGTCATCCAACTTATTTGCTCAATTTCACTTCTAATTTAAATGGTATTATTCTCTACTCCACTTGTACTTAGTCTCTACCTGTAATTACCTTTGTTGCTAACCTGACCTAAGTTGAAACATATTAGTCAATTATATTACATGGCCGGAAAGAATCACAAACAAGAAGCTATGAGAACAAACAAAACAGGAACCAATCGCCCAACAAATATGCAGGAGAAAGTGGAGATGGATTGGACACTCACTCGCTGAGGAGGCCGTTAGGTGACATCGCGCGTCAGGCCAGTGCTCGAGTGGAACCCGAAAGGGAAGCGGTGAGTGGGACGTCGAAGGGTGACATGAAGGAGATCGTGTGAGGAGGAGATGAAACAGTATGGACTAACATGGATGTAGGTGTGAAAAGTACAGCAGAAGACAGAAGCAGCAAGTGGAGACGTGCAGTTGAAGCCCTATGTTCCACTAGGAACCCAAGGGAAGAATAATAAATAATATAATTTAACTAACTAACTCAATCTTACTTTAGTTGCTGTCTGATTAACCTTGTTTCTATATTAGATCACTCTTGCATTACTCCTGATCAATTATCTAAACTTGACAAACCTCATGTACACACACAAATAATTATATATAAATGCGATTGTACAGCTATGTGAATGAATTTTCCGGCGAAAAGAGTCTCTTCGCTGAACGTCTTCTCTCTTTCATATGACTCAATGGGGATTTTCAAGCTAATCTCTCACTTACACTGGTACAAAATTGTGTTTTGAGTTGTTTAGTTTTTATGAGTTGTCATACTACTGATTATTAATGTAAACTCAAATGTATGTTAAAGTGTGCTGTGAATCTGTCAGTGAAGAATTTGAAATCGCTTGTCAACAAATAGTTAACTGTGTATCTTCGAAAATTTGTTATACTATGGCGGTAACTTTGTTAGTGGTTGATCATTATATCATGTCATCACTTTATCGAATTAGACTTTACTAAAAACAGTCGAAAACCGACAATTTGGCAGAAAAGATAAACGGCGCAGGCAGTCGAAACGGATGATGTCGATACCAGAATCGGAAGGGCATGGTACACCTTCATCAATCTGAAATCAGTTTGGAAATCTTCTTCACTCTGCGCCGTAAAGAATAAAATTTAGATTTTCAACACGAATGTCAAGCGAGTGTTAGTTCTTCCAAATGGGTGAGAAACTTGGCGCCCACGTCATGAAAGATATTTTCAACAGCCAGCTGTTGACTTTCATCAACAACTGTCTTCTCTGGCTTCTCACCGAAGATCACATAGCCAACTGGGAAGAATTAGCAAACGATTGCTCAACAAATCTTTTTAAGAAAATGGAGATGGATCTATCGCACACATGTTGAAGAGACCGCTGGTTGACATCTCTTGTCAGGCCATTACTCGAGTATAACCCAAATCGGAAACGACCAGTTGGGTGTGAGTTTGATTGTGACATGAGGGAGGTCGTGTTAGTTGGAGGAGATTCGAGCCTACGGTCAATCGTATGAATCCTATTAAAGACAGTTGAGGAGAACAAGATGGAACCAAACCTCTGAAGGGAGGCCAGGATTTGAAACTGTGACTCAGAGGATGTGGGAAGTTGTGCTGCTGAGGCAGAGTGGGCCACAACTGTACCTAAATTCTTATGGACCCAAACTATTCTTAACGTTTATTAATTCGGAAGACGTCTTCTTTAATATGTGGAGTTTCTAAGGTGGTGTAAAGGAGAAAAGACTGATGAGGCTCGAAGGCAGTGCTTTTTAGGACAGACGCATTGTAGGTACATAAATTTGGTATACCTTATTTTTAAGTTTTCATTTGGACATCATTTGCAAATTGGTCAAATATCACCGCATTCGATACCTTGTTGGATTCTGCACAGTGTTGTAATGTTCATCTCAGAGTTCTCTTCTTCTTCGATTACTTTATTCCACTGCCCAAAACATATTGTTACTTTTTATGAATTCGTTTACTGATATATACTACTCAAATCTGATTATATAAGCGGCACTCACCATAGCAATTTATATTTTGTAGCCTGGTTTTTTCTCAATAACTCACCTAAATTTAAAAAACAGAAATTTCGATATTTTTATTTTCAGCCTTTTTGGCAACTTTAGCAAATATTATGCCAAAATTAGTATGTTATGGCCTGGGTGATGAAGTGGTTCCCGAGATTGGTCCTATACAACCACCAGATTTCAGTCGAGTTGGTAATATCGATCAAGTGATTTGTCATACACTTCGATTTTTAACACATTTTGTCCTATTCTTGAAATCTGCAGAAACCGAAATTCAGGTAAAATGATGATAGTGTTGATTGATTATTTCTTTTAATATTCTGCTTTATATTACTGATTGGCTGAGCTAAGTAGTTGTATATTACTCACAGCAAACAAAAGTGGTATTGGCTAACCAGATTATTAGCTTGACTAATATGGTGGTATCTAAAGTTCTAGGTTCATTAATAATGCGTAGGCTTTAGACCAGGAAGGTAGAGGGTGTATTGACCATGCCTTCAACCTCTGATAGATTCTGGAACGGAACTTAGGCATACTTACCGCCGGCGTCCAACAATCGTTATATTTCTTGACGTAAAGGCGGCATTCGAGTCTGTCGACCGACGGGTACCATGGTGATGTTTGGCTGTGAAGGGAGGGGTGCCGAGAAAATATATTGCACTGATGTGAAGGCACTCTCTACTCGAACCCATGCAGTAAGCCAGGTGACAGCTTACGGTGAGTTGTCATCTGAAATGGTGACAAGTAGTGGTGTCCGTCAGGGAAGCCCACTACCCCCATTTCTGTTTAATTTCATCATAGATATTGTACTAATGGACTCAACCCTAACTCACTTGATCGACTCAGGGATTGACTTGCTACCATCAGGGAATAATCTCCTTGACTTAGAATTTGTAGGCGATATAGTCCTTCTACGTGAAGACGCTGACAAAATACAGCAGAATCTTCTGAACACCTTGAGGAGCAGGAATCTACGAATGTTTGGCATGCGATTCGCTTCTGCCAAATGTATGATGATGTTACAGGACTGGTCTACACTGACTCCTAGTTTAGAAATAGGGAGTGAAGTGATAGAGCACGTTGACCGCCTCACTTATTTGGGAAGTTGCATCGACGAACCCCGAAGGGATGATCGCTGATGAAATCCAAGCATGAATACAGAAAGCTAGTTTCGCATATGCCAGTTTACACCGTCTCTGGCGTGGATGTGCTATCCGGCAGGCTGTCGACCAAAAGGAGGGTGTACTGCTCAGCAGTTCACTCCGTCCTCCTTTATGGCTGTGAAACCTGGTCATTGAGAGTGGAGAACATGAAAACTCTGGCTAGCTAGCCGTCTTTGAACATAGGTGCCTGCGTTCTATCTCCCGTGTGAAGTGGTATAATAAGGTGAGCAATATTGAGGTTAGGCGTTGTTCGAGTACGGAAGGAAAATCAATCAACTAGGTTGTGAAGCTACATCGACTGAGATGGTTAGAACATGTGCTACGCATAGTAGCCTAGTCATCGCGTTCCTCGACGGGCAATATTAGCTGACATAGGGTCAGGTTGGAAAAGAGCTAACACGTGGTGGTCAAACCAAAACATGGCTTCAACAGTCAATGAAATCCACACCAGTTAGTTTAAGCCAACCAGTCAGTCACGTAGGAAGGTGTAGACTTCCTGACTGGTAGGGGTCGTCGGGAAGGTAGACACCAATGAAGGCTGGAGACAATTGCTGGGTGATATGACTCAAAATCGTTGTGGATGATTGCTGGCGCAAATGCATCCACTCCTTGTGACTTAAAATTTCCAATAAAGCTATGTTGTTCTTCCATATTACTTTTCCTTTTGTCTCATATCCGTATCTTCTGTCTCTATTTTGCATTCCTTTTTGCTCTCTTCTCTTGCTTTGTGGGCTACAAGGAGTGCAGTTTGGGGACTTGAACTGCTGCACATCGGTGCAAAGGTGAAAACAGTCAGTCAATCAGTCAGCTAACCAGATTGAAGTGCTCTCATCGCCCGGCGACCGTCTCCCTTGGGTTTTTGACTGAACTAAATCAGCGGTGTATTTATTTTAACTCAGCTCATCAAGGCAAATTAGTTCGAACCAACCTGTTGTTCCTGTCTAGCTAAATTAAGCGCGAACTGGTGGCAACACCATGAGTGAAAATCTCAATTTATAAATCAATATGCAGTTTTCACTGTTTGAGTAGTGAAATTTTATCACTATCCAAAGTTCGTTAGCTGGGATTTGATTGGTTACAAGGTTTGATCACAAGTTGACATCAATCACGGAACCATTGGAAATCCAACTAGGAGTACTGGACAGCTGTTTCATCAGCCTAGTTTGGGATTCTTCATCAGTACGCACACACCGGGGTTCGAATCTAGTACCTTTTAGTTGCAGGAAGTTAACTGTAGTTATACTGATAAGTCGTAACTAGCGGGATCCACCACAAGTTAGGCAAGACGACAGTTAATCTCCTGTGACACACTGGCCGGCGGCTGTTGTGTTAAAATACATATATCACGAATTGGCCGAAGTTGGAATTCACTAGCCGATCATTGGATCGGGTCCCAGTGACTGAGTGGTCTAAGAGTTCACCTCGTAACCGGAAGTTCCTGGGTTCGAACTCTGTTGGTGGGTGCGTACTGATGAAGAGTTCAGAAATAGTACTCCCAGGTTTTCCCATGATCTTCTAACCGGTGTCAGTTCATGATGAAATCCTGAAACCAATCAATCAAATCCTTGCAAACTAACACTTGAATATCAATCTGATGCTCAGTGGTGACTGGCCCTATTCAGATACGTAGGTAGTCTAGAGAGAATTCGTGACCACTGGGAGGGGTTACAGCAGGTCAGGTGTTAGGACAAATACTCGCACCACCGATGATATTCGCTAGTAGTCGCGCTATATCGTGAATTGACAGAAGTTAGAATTCATGGGCTGGTAACTGGATCAGCTCCCAGTGGCTTACTGGGTACGTACTAATGAAGAGGTTCGAACTATAGGACGTAACAGCTGTCCAGTAGTACTAACTCCTTGCTGGTTTTCCAAATGGTTGTCTAACTGATTTTATCTCATGACCACCGACCAATAGTGTAAATAGGAAATCGACAAAAGTGGTATTCCGGTTCAGTTCACTAATTGTTTTTTTCTTCACAATAATTCGTCTAATTTAAATCCATCTATTTTCCTTTTACACCTTCTCTTTTTTAATGTTGGTTTTATTTTTTTAGGATGTTACTTGTTCAGAAATTATCAAAGCTTATTTGTGCTTTCTTATGGTCAATAAAAATGCCGATTTAGTAGCTTATTACACCTCGGCATTGCATAGTGAATCCTTACGAATCCAATGGTATTCATGGTTTTTAGCAGGTGAGTAGTAGTATATCGTGGTAGTGGTGGCGCCCTTAAATTTTTCTTTTTTTGTCGATCACAATATTGTTCATTGTAAGATTTTTGTTTGTTTGTTTGGCGAAGTTAAACTTTAAGCACCACTAATTAACTACCACCAATGGAGTGCGACCGACCGCACCAATGACCTTGAAACGCTGACTGAGCGAGTTAGTGAAACCTAGCAAGTAATATTGTCATCATCAATAAAATATGCTCATCGAAGTGTTATGCTATTAAATGGGATATCTGGGAAGTTTCAGCTTAGGCTTGGGAAAGATTAAGTTACGCTTTAAGCAATGGACAAGTTAGAGTTACGTTAACCTAATAAAGGCGATATTAAGGTTGGTTCGAGTTAGATTACAGTTAGTTTAGGGATATTTTCACTTTAGGGTTAGGTTCAAGAAAGATTAGGGTTATTGTTAGGTTTAGAAGACCTAAATAATTACATGCATAGAATGTAGTTAAATTACTCTGTTGATATAAGAATAGAACTTGTGCACTGTGGTAGTAGAGTATAATTCCATTGTGGGTAAAATTTATTTTGATAAAGTCTCACAGTGTTTGTTTTACAGTAATATTTACTGATGACCACGTTTCGAGTATAGTTTATTGCTGAGTAAATATTACTGCATAACACTAAATAAATTTTACCCACAATGGAATTATACTCTGTTGATACGCCAACCTAAAACTGAGAGCTATTTTTATCACACTTTTCCACAGTTTTTATGTATTTTTTTCATAAATACATGTGTATTTCATACACAAAATGCCTCCTTCACGTGATTGGTGCGTTCAAGGTCATTCGCTGATTGGTGGTAGTTAGTGGTTCTTAATGTTTAACTTTGCCGTTTGTTTGAAATATACTACTATTTCTGGCAGTCGTGGTAGTAGAAGTAGTACATAATGGTTGTATACCACTGAAACTCGGTCTCATTTCACGGCATTTGATGGTTTTGTGAAGAGAGGTCATCTTCAGTGTCAGAATCACATTACATAATCTATTGAATTGTAATAGGTGTTGTGACAGTACTTCTGTGACTGTGAAATAAGTCCTGAGGAAGTGTATTATGGTAATTGAAGCATTCTGAAGGAGTTGACAGCCGTCTAGAAGAGTTTACAAAGAGTTAGTTGCGGTGCCACATGGTGAAGTGATGGCAACTACAGGTGTGCTTCAGGGATGTCACCAACCCTCACCCCCCACACACATGGTCAGGGTTTGATCCCCGGTCGATGCATGGCTAAAACTCGCTTAGCTCTAGCACTAAATCCAGTAAAGAGGAGGAAAAGTTGGGTGTGAGTCTGTGAGGGACCCCACCTAGCACCACTGCTACTGAAAATCCAAAGATGGGAGCTTCAAGTCTCATGTCCAACTCGGAAAGACAAAAGTATTAAAGAAATTGTCACTATTATTATTATTTCTACGAGTTTGACCACGGACTGGTATCAGTTAGAAAACCATTGTAAACCACCAGGGAGTACTGAACAGTTGTTTCATCCTAGTATGGAACTCATCATCATCAGCAGTACGCACCCACCTCCCAGGGTTTCAAACCCACAACCTTCTTGTTACAAAACAAGCGGGGTCGCATACCATTCAGCCACCGAGACCCCGATTCAATGGCCAGCCATGAATTCTAACTTTTTCTAATTCGAGATTTTAGCGCAACCACCAACCAATGTCACTGACGGGAACTCCTTCTTCACTCCTGACTGGATAAATCCCACCGGTTATGAGTTCTCATTAGAAATCCAGGCGACTTCGTCCTGCTGCTAGTCACTAGCTAGCATCAGAAGTTAGAATTCGTGAGCCATTGAATCGGGTCCCAGTAGCTGAGTGGTATACGAGCTTGCCTTGTACCCGGAGGGTCGTGGGTTTGAAGCCCCTGTCAGTGGGTGCGTACTGCTGATGATTCCCAAACTAGGATGAAACAGCTGGCTATCCAGTACTCCAATGCTGGTTTTCAATGGTTCTCTAACTAACATCGATCCGTAGTCCAACCTGAGACAAATACAATACCTACAAAAACCAATTCTTGAGGATAGGGTATCGTTCAGTTTCTGTATATGTATATACATAAACTCTTTTATAATTGCTTCTAGTTCCACCCAAGCAGGTGCAAGGGGAGAGTTGCGAATAAAGAGGATGCTTAGTAGTCGGACAAGATGACTTTCTTCAATTTCTTCCATGAGTTCAAACGTCTTTCGATAGCGATAGCCAATATTAACGAGTTGGCTTTGAGATACACCTGTTACTTTACTGTTATTATTATTATTATCCCCTTAGGTTCCGAGTAGAAAATAAGGCTTCCACAGCACATCCCTCTTCATTCTGTCTTCTTCAGTCTTCTTCAAGCTATCTCCACGACTATTTATGTGATTTCATATTTTCCTCACATGATCTCCTCTGTGTCACCGTCAAACTCACGCCGAACTTGTCATATTCAATTCGGGTTCCATTCGACGACCTGAAGTGCAGTGTCATCCAATGGTTTCTTTAGCCTGTGTCCATTCCATCTCCGTTTTCTTCGGAATATTTGTTGAGCAGTGGGTTTTTTGGTTGGCTCTTTGTTGTCAGACTACTTTGTCGCTTATCTTCTCCAGACGGCCATCTGATCCTCAGTATGGATCGAAGGCAGCTAGCTGTTGATGAAAATCTAAAACCTGTTCGAAATGCTTCTGGTGACGCGCCAAGTCTTTCAGTTATATTTTGAACAACTGACTTACCATTGGTGTTGAAAATCCGAATCTTGTTATTTATGCTTAATGCAATAAATTTCCACACTGATATGAGAATATTGAAGTCTATCTCGCGTTTCCAATCTTGACTGGATCTGACATCGTCATCCGTGGTATTGCCGCCTGTCGTTGAAACGATGCCTCCTAGATAAGTGAAAGTGTTGACCTTCAAATTTCTTCCGATGGTAGTAATCGATACATATTGTTGTTGTTGTTGGTGGTGGTGGTGGTTAGGTTTGTTCATCACCCTTGTCGTCTCTATGTTCATTTGAAGAGTCTTCTCTTCGCTGCTTGCCTTTTCCGTCAGCTTGTCCAGTTTTCTTCTGTAAATCTTGGAGTTTGTGTGACACTAGACATAGATCATCCGCGAAGTCTCTATCTGATAGAGAAGATTTGTAGCTCAGGTGGATGATTTTGGTGTGGTTGTGTTCTCTGAGCTGGATGGTGGTTTATTTGCGAAGCTTTCATCACCCTACTAGGTGACATCTTCAGCGCATACTTCAATTTGAATTGAAGTGAGCTTTTAGATTTCTCCACGAGTTTATTAATCATCTCTCCTGATGGGTGACCTTGGGCGTGATTGGTTGTTTTTGTGTGTTTTCACACCTTCTAGGTTACTTGTATTTGAACTGATTGTTTCTTTGTCTTGAACTTTGACCCTTTGTGTGTGAGGTTTCTTTCTTATCGGTTGATAAATTTTGTCTATTTCGATGTGTCTATTGATTGACGATTCACTGGAATATCAGACAGGCTTCTAAAAATTCTCTAACATTCTTGTTGTTTCCTCTGTCTAATATTTGAACGTTGTCCCAGTCGAATTGATGTCCGTGGTTGTCTGTATGTAGTGATATGAGGAAGTGGATATCATGTCTTTTGACAGCTAGCTTATGTTCGTGGATTCGAAGACGAAGGGGACGTCCACTTTGGCCAATGTAGTGTTTTTCGCAGTTGTTACAACTTATTTTGTATATGATGTTGGTTTTATCTTCTTTCGTTGTTAAGTCTTTTGGTTGACACAGAGCTAAGTGAAGTGATTTTGTTGGTTTGTGTGCGACGTCTTGCAGTGATTTCTGAGATGTCCTTTATATATGGTAGGGCGATTTTCTTTGTGCTTTCCTTGGGGTATTATGGTTTGATAGGTTGGCTTGGGGGTATATGTCTTTTGAAGTCTATATCTTCTACAGTCTTGGTATATCTGTTCAACATATTTCTGTCTTTTTGCTTCCCACAATGAGGAATATCATTGAGGATAGTAGTCAGATAGCGCCTTATCTTAATCGTGTATTCACTTCACGGACATCGTTGAGTTTTACGTGTTGTGAATCATGTGACATATGAACAGCATCATAAAAAGGATTTGGCGGGTGGGGGGGAGGAGGTACCTCTATCTTAGCTTATCTGAGTAAACCAGAAATTACAATATCTTAGCTTATATATGACGGGGCTTAATCATTGACATTAAATGTGGTCGAAAACGTGTTCCGAAAGTATGGACCTCAAAAGTTGTGATGCCATATAGAGCGGAGACGTCAGATGATAGATATCAGAGGGGTACTCAATAAGCACAAAACATCAGAGTTATCTTCAAAACATCAGACACACGCTCTAAAAAGCAACCTTGTCCTTGTAAAAGACCGAGTCCCTAAGGATTGTCTATCTAACTGTGTTTATAAAATAAAATGCTTGCTTGGAATGTGATACGACGTACATCGGACAAACATCTCAAGAGAGAAAACAAAATCAGAAGAAATGAACACCGTTAAGCCGCCTCTGTTTGATCACCGAGAAAGAAATCAAGTTGAACTAGAAAAGCTTGAAAAATCATCAACCGAAGGCTATAGAATCAGGCCACAAAATTGATTTTGACAATATTGAAATCATCATCCAGAAAAAGCATTTCAGAAATCACAAAGAACGTCTAATGTCAATGAGAAGCACTTCATATCAAATGGAATCCAAATTGTCTGAGCTGAATAGGAATGATGGACTAAAACAGAATTTGACCTGGTTACGACACCTCCCTTCTCATGAAGTGACAAAATCAACACGAATGTGATAAGCAATTTCATTGTGTAAACACACACTGTTCTTGTATAATTTAACACACTTATCAAATCCAACAATCTGCACCTGGTTTTGTTATCTTTACCGATTGACCAACTTGACGACCATAAAATGACCCCATGCTGATGAACGATGATTAAGTTGTTATATATAAGCTGAGGAGATTTTGTAAATTCTGCTTTAATAATACTACTTTGATAAAGCTATTAGCAGCAGTATTAAATAGCGAAACGTCAGTAAACACAACAATATCGTTTTGTTTTTCATTCATTCACTGGGAAATACATAAAAACCTTTATTATAATGACATATAACAGCATCGTAAAAAAGATTGGCCGGCGGGATGGACCTCCGCAGTGGTTTGAAATGGTTTTCAATTAACATTGTCTAACTGACAACCAATATTTTATTATTGTCAATTTCATGGAGGATTTCATCATGAGCTGACATCAGTTAGAGAACCACTGGAAAACCAGCTGGGAGTACTGGACAGCTGTTTCGTCAGCCCAGTTTGGGACTCTTCATCAGTACACACCCACTGGGGTTCGAACCCAGGACCTTCTGGTTACAGAGGGAGCTCGTAGGCCATTGAGCCACTGGGACTCGATCCTTGGTTCAAACCCCGGTAGGTGCGTACTGGTGAAGAGCCCTAAACTAGGACGAAACAGCTGTCCAGTATTTCCAGGTTTTCCAGTGGTTCTCTAACTGATGTCAGCTCATGATGAAATCCTCCATGCAATCAATATGACAAATTTCCACTTTGGTCTAATCAGTTGGTTGTGCATACAAAAAGAAAGAAACCCTGCGTTGTACTCAATGGTTTAATACATAAGTTTTTTATTCCTTTGCGTTCCCCGTGGGGAGCCTTGAAGTTTCGGTAGCAGTGGTGATTATTATTTTCACAGGATTGGGTTGCTGCTAGCCTCATGCCCAGCCCAACCTTCCCTCTTTACCAGTCTTATTACTGGCTTAGCGAAGGTGTGAGGTAAAGGAGGAGTGTGTCTGTGGCCGGGGATCGAACGCCGGCCCGTGTGTGGCGTGATTGGCCAGCACTCTACATCTTTTTTAAAAAAATATTTCGGCTGTTATATATTTTCCGATTTTTCTTTGCCGATTTCTGTTTTGCATAGAAACCACCACCCAACCTTCTGAACGTGAACATTGTCTATCATTGGCTGTAACCTATGGATTCGATATAGCCAAATTAACTAGAGCTATTGTTAAACTGTTAAGACAACGTATGAATTTACCAGGGGAACAACAGTACATGCACACAGTCGATTCATTACGTAATATGTCGAGTGAATCGTTCACAGGATTATTAGTAGATGATAATGATAATGGAGATGGTGGTGTAGAAATTGGAAGATTAAGTGAAATCGATAAACAACGAATTGTTTCACTGGATTGGCTATTTTATAATCCATCACAACGTGCAGAAGCTCTATGCGTGGCTAATAGTCTCTTAAGACTGTTTATAGCGTTTCGTTCGCTTAAAGCAGCTGCAAAGGTATGTTTTATATTATTATTATTTGTTATTATTATTATTGTTCCCTTGGGTTCCTAGTGGAACATAGGGCTTCAACTACACGTCTCCACTTGCTGCTTCTGTCTTCTGCTGTACTTTTCACACCTGCATCCATGTTAATCCATACTGTTTCAACTCTTCTTCACACGATCTCCTCCATGTCACCCATGTGCGTCGGTGGCACAGTGGTTAGGACTCTCGCCGACTATGCACATGGTCCGGGGTTCGAACCCCTACCGACGCACACCTGATATCTATGGTCGGCCTGCAAAATTTGGGCTACCGATATCCATGCTGAAAATGTCATACTTGTACTGAAAATACGGTGTGGCATCAAGCTGTTATCAAAATAAAATAAAAAAAAACGTCCCACTACTCGCCGCTTCCCTTTCGGGTTCCACTCGAGCACGCCTGACGCGCGATGTCACCCAGCGGCCTCCTCAGCGAGTGATTCCAATCCATCTCCACTTCCTCCTGCATATTTGTTGGGCGATTGGTTCTTGTTTTGTTTGTTCCCATAGTTTCTTGTTGGTTCTTGTTCTTTCCGGCCATCTATCTGATCTTCAGTATAGAGCGACGAAGACAGTTGTTGTTGATAAAGGTCTGCAACAGGCTGTTGGAAATATTCTTTGTGACACACTGGCCAAGTTTCTGATCCATCGTATAGAAGAACTGACTGACTTGAAGTTTGTATTGAAAATCCGAATTTTGTTGTTGATGCAGGCTGAGTGACGAAGATTTCCAGATTGGTTTCAAGTTGATGAATGTGTTTCTTGCCTTCCCGATTCTCGATTTGACATCCTCGTCCGTTCCACCTGTAGTTGAGACAATGCTCCCTAGATAGGTCAATGAAGTAACCTCTTTCAAATCCCTCCCGTTGATGGTGATTGGTGCTGGCTGTTGTTGTTGTTGTCGTTGTTGTTGGTTGGTTGGTTGGTTATTTTCATAACCTCCGTCTTGTCTATGTTCACCTAGAGTCCTGTCTTTGCTGCTTCTTCGACCAGTTTGTCGGTTTTCGCTTGTAAGTCTTCGATTTTGTGTGACATCAAACATAGATCATCCGCGAAATCCAGGTCTTCTAGGTTCTTCACGTCGGTTCAGGACATCCCTGTCTTCTCGTTTCCCACTGTCTGACGCATAATCCACTCTACCACAATTAGGAATATCATCGGTGGTAATGTGGTGAGAGCAAGCTGCTAGCCAATTGGTAGACATTGGTCTACGCTGATTGGTAGAAATTAATCTAGGCTGATTCAACAACCGATCAAAGCTGACCTAGACGTGGACAAATATGATTCGCAGACAAGTGGCTCGCATTTCCGAGAAATATCGAAAACGAGAAAGCAGAAGACTGCGTTTGTTTGCAAACAACCAATCAGAAGACCGCCTTCTTTCTGCGGGCAGAAGCCTATTAATGTGCGTAAAATACATATAAATACCTGTTGGTTTTCGTAATAAAACTGATCTGTTGCCTGGCCCTTGTCTTCTGTTGTTACAGTAATAGGTAGGCAGGTAGCCTTGTCCTACTCCTGTATGCACTTTGAACACCTCACTGAGTTTTCCGTTGTGGATCACCTGACACGTTGCATTGTCATATAACCATCTGTTGAATGAGGTTGATAAAGACTTGAGCACTGCACGCCGTAGTATTGGAGTGAGTAGTTTCCAAATTACTTCTCGGTCAACACTGTCTGTCGAAGCCGTTTCCGAAGTCGATGAAGCTGTTGAGGTAGAGGTTTGACTAATAATAATAATAATAACACTCATTTATTATTATTTCCGAATGTACTTTATCTTATAATATTGATTTTTATTCAAATGTCTAATCATCAATTTTCACTCATGTATATAAATGAAGGAAAAAAAAGTTGTGTGAGTGAGTGACTTGATATGATTATGAGCAGTAGCAATAATTTGTGCTCAAAACGTCGTCCGTCATCAATAAATATTACTGTACAACAAACATTGTGTGACACTTTATCAAAATAAATTTTTTATCCATAATGGAGTGAGTTATACTCTACCATCACAGTGCCCAAGTTTTATCCTTATATCAACACACACCTTTTACAACTTTGTAGTCTGTACTCTTAACGCCTTTTTATTTTTTCTCATTGTTTTATTTTTTTTACAAAAAAGGTTATCTCCAAATTACCAACTGGTACATTAGAGCATGCTAAAGTGATTTGTGAAAAATTAGGCTCTCCAAATTCACTTGTCAATACAATTCGTGAATTTGAATGTTATGTGTTGTATTTAGAAAGTCGAGTAAGTTGTTTCATCTCTTTTGTTTATGTGATTTCCCTTTACACTTGTATGTTTATATGTGAAATATAATTTTATCTCTCTGCTTAACTCGTATAAACTTGAAGTTTATGCGTAGTAAGCGATAGATAGCCTTTGAGAGTGAAGGACATGAAAAGGCTGGCTAGCTAGCTGTCTTTGATCATAGGTGTCTGCGTTCTATCTCCCGTGTTAGGTGGTAGGTGTAATAGGTTAGGCGTTGGTCGAGTGTTAGGTGAGGAGGGGAAATCAATCGACGAGGCTGTGAAGTTACATCGTCTGAGATGGTTAGGACATGTGTTACGCATGCCTACCTAGCCATCGCCTTCCTCGACAACGGGCAATGTTAGCTGATATAGGGTCAGGCTGGAAAAGAGCTAGCACGTTGTGGTCAAACCAAAACATGGCATCATCAGTCAATGAAATCCACAACAGTTAGTTTACGCCACGTAGGGAGGTGTAGACCTCCTGGTTGGGGTCGTCGGGACGTTAAACACCAATGGCAGCTGGAGACAATTGGTGGGTGATATGACTCAAAATCGTTCTGGATGATGGCTGGTGCAGATGCATCCACTCCTTGTGACTTATGATTAATTTCCAATGAAACTATATTGTTCTTCGTTATTACCATTCCTTTTGTCTCATATCCCTGTCTGGTGTTTCTATTTTGCATTTCTTCTACTTTCTTCTTTCTTGCTTTGTATGCTATAAGGAGTGGAGTGTGGCGACTTGAACTGCTGCACATCGGTGCAAAGTTCTATGTTGAAAACAGACAGACAGACAGATAAACTTGAAGTAATAGGGAAGATTTGTAACTGAGGTCAATGATTTTGGTGTGGTTGGTTTTCTGACCGGGATAACCAAGCTTTCATTGTCATTTTAGGCAATATTTCCATTGGTTTGTGATGCATGCTCTGAATGGTGATATTCTGACCTTTTAACGTTTTGACATTCTCGCGTGTTTGTGAATGACTCTGCGCTGAAAAGGTTATCCAGAAAGAGAGAATGCAACTACACTGAGAGCGTGCGTACTTACTTACTCTCATTGCATTCCAATAAACATTTGTATTCAAAGCATAGAGTAATAACCATGGGAAATATGTTAGTCTTGAACTACACAGATTGAATAACTACATATCGTATCGTATATCTCGTATTATCCCCCAGTATGCCACGCTAGTGGTCCGAGGTTCAATCCCCGGCCACAGACGCACTCCTTTACCTCGCTAAGCCAATAATAAGACTAGTGAAGAGGGAAAGTTGGACATGAGGCTAGCAGCAACCCTATTCCGTAAAACTAAACACCCCTGCTACCGAAACTTCAAGCCTCTCTAGCTTGAAGCAGCCCTATGTTCCACTGGGAACGTGAATCAATAAAAGTATACAAAATATACATTAGAAAGACATGGCAATCAGTTTACCTGTCAATTTTGTTTGTCCCGATCAGCTTTTTATTGATTATCCCTCCAAACTTGATCTGGTACATGCTCCTAGCAGCTGATAGTGACTTCATTAGTTTTCTACGGATGTAACAACAGAAGGCAAGACACGGAAACCAAGGTATATTTTCAAGTGATCAAACAGGGCAAAGTTAAACTTTCGACACCAGTAACAACCAATCTGCAACCGACTTTGAACGAAGCAATCACATGAAGGAGGCGTTTATGATAAGTGGAAACGTATATTTATAGAAAAATGTATAAAAAAGGATAAAGCAGTTACAAGGGGTATCTTCCCCGAACATGGGACAGAAACATCTCCCAATTCAGCATCGGACTGTCAATAGAGAAGTCAAACCACATTCTATACATACATTCATATAAATGAGATCCTTTTGAGATCCATTTATAGCCCTTATCCTATTTTTCAATCGACCCCAAAATCCTTCAATGGAATTTGTATGAGTCCCTGTAACTGGATCCACGAAATCACTGGAGTGGTTCACTCTGTGATGAATGTATCCCAGGGATGACAATGAATTATAACCTTTCCACTCGTCGGTATGTACAATTGATCCCCGTTTGACAAGTCGCGTTATAATAGGTATCAGGGTAGTTGCCTTCCTGTCTGCTATTCTTTCAACAAATCCTTTTCGGAGGGAAGTGTCGTATAAACCAATGACCCAAATGTTGTTCGCTCTCTGACGACCACGGTTGTATATCTTCTTCACCAACACAGTCTCATCCACATGCACTACTACGTCTTTTCCACCCAACAACGAAGTGATCTCCATTTTCCAAGAAGCAATATCTCTGCAGTGCTGGTACTATTGAACTGTTGAGACAAGGCTGTTCTCCGTCTTGACAGCTGCGGCTCTCACTGGCTGTTCCAATACTCAGTAGTTGCAGATATACAAAATCTGGGTTAGGGAGAGATGTGACCTGGCAAAAAAGGTTCTTACGAAATATTAAAATTAGCAGCTTACCCTCTCTAATACTAACTCGCTCCCAGCATTTTCCACAACGATGGACAAATCCATCCGTTGACCTGGAATAGCTTCTCTCCTTTCGAAGCAAGCCTAAGTCCAGGCAATACTGAAAGACACTATCCTCCTGGAATTGCAAACGTAACCTTGTAAAACCACGCATTGGAAATGAATCAAATACTATACAATATTGAACTACGTTCGTGAATCTCATTGGATAATTCGACGTCGTTCGCTGATTGGTAGTTACTGTTGCCTAAAGTTTAATTTGGCCTCAAACAGCTATTTATATCAATACAATTTATACTTTTTAACCAATCACTGAGTGTGTGATTTTGGTTTACATTAAACGACATGAAATACAATGTTCAAATTCATATATAGTATTCTGTTGCTAACGCAGTATTGAACTGTGGGAATATGTGAGAATAATATTCCATTGGAACACACATTGTTCCGTATCACACTACCACACTGATTCTGGAGATGTGTGGCTAATTGCCTTAAAAAAAACTATACTTCCAGCTAACAGGTCGCTAGTTCGAGTCCCCGCTCCCATTGCACCACAGCTGGGCAACTAGATAATATCATCAGCCATCAACACAATGATTGTAGCTCATAGTATACGGGTGGGTACATCCGTTCCGGTGAGGTTTCAAATATCGAAGGGGATATGAATTTCTGCATTGTTCCATATTTACATAGTGAAACAGTGTTGTAGGATAGTCTTCGTAGACAACATCTTCTGACCACCTCCATGTACATATATCTATCTATCAGTTCACCTGCTCTTCTCGTGGAGCAAGGTACATTGGCCGTAGCCAGAGCCAGAGGACGCTGCTTTCCACACAAATACGAGAACATATTCCAGAAGCATGGTTTTACAAGGAAGAAAGGAAGGGTATATGAAGCTCTATTCTACAACACCTGATCAACTCCTGTCACTCTACCTACCCTGAACAGGATTTTAAGATCATTTACCGAATCCATGCTAACTTGCTGGCCACGTTTTCTTCGTTACAGACTTCTGAAAACGGCGGAGGCCTTGGCCATTCGTGAATTTAAGCCAAACTTTTGTGTACAAAAGAGGCAGTATGTACGATGCCTACTTCTACCTTGGCCGTAGAGGGATAGACATTTTCATACATTTGGTTCCCTTGATAAATTTCGATGGAGAAAGAAAGACCAGATTTGCAGTATAAAATGATATCTTTCTATTTCACAGGTTCTCATCAGCTGCAAACCACCTGAAATTACAATGGTTATAAATAATAACATTTCATGCTTCATTGTTTGAAAGGTAATACAGAAAGCATTATAAGATTAACGCATCCGGAATATAAGGAATAAAATTTCGTAGTTTAAGTTACCATCAATTTATATACTATCAACCTATGGGAAAAGGAAAAAAAGGGGGGCATGAGAGAAGACAGAAAACAGAAAAATCTAATAAACAGTGTCAACATGGCAACTCAACAAGGTCAAAGTTCATCAATTTGAAAACTTGCTTAGTGAGTTGAACTCACTAGTGTCTATGAGTAATCACTGTAATGAAAGTGATATGGTTACCAAGGGAGTGAGAGATTGACTACACTCTCTTTCTGTGTGCATAAGTTTGGTCTGAGACGTTTGATTGCAATTGCTTCAGCAAATCGTAGTAGATTCGCTGTCCTTTGTATGTTTAATATTTTGAAGGATTTGGAAATCTCAACAAAATGGCCCGTATCCACAAGGTGTCTGGTAATTGCACTTTGTAAATATTTGCTTCCTTTTAAGCATAAGTTTCTCGGAATATGCTCTGAAAACCGGATAGAAGCCCTTCTTTCTGTCCTTCCGATGTACATAGACATTTATTTATGTATTTTGCTTATTTATTTGTTCTATGTACCTTTCCCTCATTACTATGATTATTATTATTATTACTATTCTCACTCTGAATTGTTTCCGCTTGTCCCACTTGTCATTCTAAATCCAAAATTGTTTTTTTATTTTTACAATATTGAATTCTATCTTATCAAATTTCACCACCATGTTATGTGATATTTCATATTTGCCTACTGATCCTCTAATTATGCCCCCCTTTCCAACATCTATACATCCATCTTATGTATTATTCTATTTATGACATTAATTGTTTTGCTACTTGACATTTAACTATGATTATAATCACAAATATTTTAATTGCATTTCATGAATAGTGTAACTTCCCATCCTGATGACCTGGGTAGTGATTGTTTGTCATCAAAAGGTCTTCTTATCCTTGTGTAATCTGTACGTATTTGTCCATCAACGTAGATCTCTGCATTCCAGTGGTTACAGGTGAATAGAATAGGGTGTATACAACATCTACTCTCCTCTTAGATGCTGTCGCCAATATGCATCGAGCTATCCAACTCCTGCTGGTGGATTCTGCCGCATTTATCCATTCGATGATATCCACTAGAAGTTTTACACTAGTTGTTTCTTTTTCGTCTAAGCATCTGTCCCTTTTATGAATATCCTTAAATAGGTCTCCTCTTGGAGAGAGAGAGAGGTCATGAAACATCGGGAACCGCTTCACCTTCGTTAAGTCTCATCTCTTTATTATTATTCAGTCTCTTGTTTAACATTTTTTTGTTTTTTTTTTCTTGAAGGATGCATTTGCAGACTGGTATAAACAGGTGCACACAAAACGACCGACAAAACCATCTGCATTAACCACAGCTGCCGCGAGCAATTCAACACATACTACTTATGGTCCACGGGGTTTAGCTCAACGTCTTGCACTGGAAGAATCGAAAAAGGAGTATTTGGCTCGCTTAGAACGCTGGCGATATGATACACGTTTAGAAACGCAAGTGAGTAGTTGTTTTGTTGTCATGCTTTTAGTATTTTGGTTTAATATCATTGAGATTTTTAGTGGTTTAGCTTTAGTGTGCTTGACTTTGTTGTCAACCAGTAAGTTGCAAGTCTAAATCCCCCCAGCCCCACCTGTCTGCTTATTTTAACTCGAGTGACTGGGCGGGATAATTTTATCCCTTACACCACAAGAAGTCTGAAAGTTCTTAGTAATGGTGTTCTTGTTGTTTTCTTAGGCAGTTGACTCCCCACGCCAATAGGTCATGTCATATCTTATCTTGTTCCATTATTTGCTGAGGTTTAAGCGATTGGGTTGTCTTTACAGACTTTACCCAATGAACGCAACTCATTTCGGAATGTAATAATATATGTACATTTGGCTATTAAGTAATTATGTAATAATCTGCATTGTTGTTTTAAGAATACAATATTCAGTGAAGTGACTCTCTTCAACGAATTTATTATCAAGCTGTACAGTCGTATATATATATATATATATATATATATATATATATATAGCAGAGACGTCAGACGATATCAGAAGAGTACTCAATAAGCTCGACATCAGAGTTTTCTCCAAAACACCAGACACGCTCTAAAAATCAACCTTGTCCATGTAAAAGACGAAATCCCTAAACATTTTCTAACTAATTGTGTTTATAAAATAAAATGCTTGCTTGGAATGTGATACGACACGCATGGGACAAACCTCCCCAGAGAGAAATCAAAATCAGAAGAAATGAACACCGTAGAGCCGCCTCTGTTCGACCACCGAGAAATCCAGTTGATGAACTAGAAAAGCTTGAAAGATCATTAGCCACGGATTGTCTACACACTATAGAATCAGGCCACAAAATTGATTTTGATAAAACAACGTCCAATATCATCAGAAGCACTTCATATCAAGTGGAATCCGTATTGTCTGAATAGGAATGAATTGTAGACTAAAACAGAATTTGACCTGGTTACAACACCTCCCTCCCATGAAATGACAAATTCAACACGAATGTGATAAGCAATTTCATTATTTAAACACACGCTGCTCTTGTATAATTTTACACACTTATCAAATCCAACAGTAATCTACACCTGGTGTTGTTATCTTTACCAACTGGCCGATTTGACAACGAAAAATGACCCCATGCTGAGGAAGGATGATTAAGTTGTTATATGTATAAGCTGAGTGGGTTTTGTAAATTCTGGTTTAATATAGCTACTTTGATAAAGCTATTAGCAGCAGCATTAAATAGCGAAACGTCAGTGAAAACTACAACAAGATCGTTTTGTTTTTCATTCATTCATTGAGAAATACAAAAGAACAACCTTTATTATAATGAGTATGAAATGCAATTAAAATATTTATGATTATGTAATCTTAGTTAAATATCAAGTAGCAAAACAATCATCTTGTACAGTTAAAATGTTTCATAAATAATAACTCGAACATGATTCATTATCTGACATGCTTCAACACAGATGAAGCTAGTGAATCATCATTTAAACTATCAGAACCTGCTGATGTCTTTAAAAAAACTTTCACCATATGGCTGCATTTTACAATTAGCTCGAACAGAACCAAATTGAATGGTATAAAATATGTGGTTAAGCTATTCAAATGCATTGGAATAATCATGTCTGAACCCCCCCCCGCTACTTTAGATTCAGATTTTCAACACTTATATCAAGGTAACCAATGCTGCTTCTGTGTAGTTCAGAGACTTGACATGCCACCAGATTTTCATCTCAACAGTTGCCTTAGCTTCAATGTTGATCATCATATGGCTAGTCGGAAAGGGGATAAGCAACACATATGAACTCCGGAGGTGGCAGTTTAGCCAGTCAGTGCCAAGAATCTGCTGTTCAAGAGAAATGTGGAAGAAATTGGAGAGTGATTAGGTACACGCTGAGGAAACTATTGCGTGACATCACGCACCAATCTCTAGAGTGAAGGCTTAACGAGAAAAACAGCGAGTTGTTGAGCTTCGCTCTAACGGTGATATGGAAGAGATCGTGTGAGGGGGGAGGGAATGAAAGCTTATGATCAAAAAGACTACTGAGCATAGAATGAAATGGAAATGTGCCCTGTCCGACGTTCTCTGTGTTCCACTGGGAACCTGATCAATAATCTTATGCTTTTAAAATGTTTTCCTAAAATGCCTTATACTCTCAGTCTTTATTTTATTGTATAAGCTGTACAATGCATGTGTAGTGTAGTTACTCCACTCCAGTAAACTACTCTCCATGCATCGGTGTCACAGCGTTTAGAACTGTCGCTGACCATGCACATAGTTTGGGGTTCGATCCTCCTGCCGACATACACTTGATATCAATTGGTCAGTCTGTGAAATTTAGGCTACCGATATCACATGCTGAAAGTTTCCATGCTTGTATGAAAGATACTATGTGGAATCAAGCTATAATCAAACTGAAAATATATTTGAATAGGGAAGGTATTTAGAAGACAAATTTCGCGAGATGATATCTTCATTTCGTAGTTCCTCCGCAACCGCTTTACAACTAGCAACATGGTTCACAATAATAAAATAAAATACAATGCATGACAATTACTCAGTTAAATAAAACAAAAGTACATACTCTGCTAATGACCAGTCATATTTAAATAGGTCAAGTATACTCGTTGTGGTAGACGAAGGTTGAAGTATATTGTTTTTTGTACACACAGTTTATGATGTATGTGTTTCCATCACCTTCAATAACCAACCTTGTGAAGCAGTCATTAATATTGATTTATATGACCTGACATTAATAAGTGCTTTGCAATGATGATGATGATGGATTTCTACTCAGATTATTCACATTGGGATTTTTTATGTGCTTTAATAACCATTTTGGAACATGTTCTTTTCGATGATCACATTGGAACATTCTATTTGTTCTACCTATATAAGTGTGTGTCACCACAACTGCAGGTGAACTTGTAGATACAGTTTGAAGTAGACTGCACAGAATTTCGTCCTTTAATCGTAGGTACCGGGATTGGAAATGTCCGAGATGTGAGGGAAAGAGATGCGGCGTAGAATGTGTGCTTGATGGTTGACCGAAGTCTTTGTGTTAGCTGTCAACTGCATAATTTGATCACCTTTGAATGGCAGGTTAATAAAGTTGGATAGCTTTGTTTTGTACACAAGCTGTCTTTTGTAGATGTGGTCTATCCTTACTGTACCAAGTGATAAAGTTTTCTGGATAACCATTAGCTATTAAAACTGAATTTATGTATCGAAGCTCATCCACCAATGTTTCGCTCATACATATTTTTCGGGCCCTTGAAAACAAACATTTCACACTAGGGAACGCTTATGCTGGATAGGAACAAAACTGGTGAAATGAAGATATTGCCCACTCCATGTCTGCTTACGAAATATATATCGCTTAATCGTTCCAACATCTCTCCTAGTCATTGAAATATCCAAGAAACTGAGTTTGTTATTCGATTCGAATTCCGAAGTCACTCGGATATTTGGATGAATATGATTAAATTGAGTAATAAAGTTTTCAATAGACTTACTATTATTACTACCAGTAATGAGTGTATCCTCCACATAACGATTATATAAGCATACCTTGCATTTGTTTCTCCGATTTCGACATGCATTAATGACTGTTTCACAATTATTTCATCACATAACTCTAATTCAAGGTGATGGAAGCACTTTGGGGATTAATCATCACATACATCCTAAACTATGTGTACAAAAACAACACAATAGACTTCAACCTTCACCTACCATGGCTAGTATACTTGACCTGCGTCGATGGCACAGCGGTTAGGACGCTCGTCGACCATGCAAATGGTCCGGGGTTCGATCCTCCGGTCGACGCACACCTGATATCAATTAGTCGGCCTGGAAAATTTGCGCTACCGATATATCACATGCTGAAAGTTTCCATACTTGTATCAAAAATACTGTGTGGAGTCAAGCTATTTTTTTCTTCCTTCACGTTCCCCAGTGCAACATAGGGCTTCAAGCTTGTGGCTTGAAGTTTCTATAGCAGTGTTTATTATACAGGATGGGATTGCTAGCCTCATGCCTAACCTTTCCTCTTCACCAGCATTATTTCTGGCTTAGTGAGGTAAAGGAGTGCGTTTGTGACCGGGGATGGAACCCCGGACCATGTGCGTGATCGGCGAGCGTCCTAATCGCTATACCACCGACGCACTAGAAAATTATATGTAGTCTATTGATGCAGGTTTTCGGTAGCGTAGGTTTTAAGCAGGGTCTCCGGCTTCATATATAAAGCTACTGCCCAATGAGTGGTTGGTTGATTGATTGTGCTCTCAACTGATACACAATACTTCAGCATTACCGCTTCCAAATACCAAGCTGTATTACACACACAAAGTCGTCTAGTGATTTTTAATTTGATTTCGCTTAATTGTGTTCCTTTATATTGCCATTTTCATGCTTCCATTATTTTGTTTGTTTGTGTGTGCGTGCGTATGTGCATGTATGTGTATGTGTGTGTTTGCCATCCAATAGAATGCAGTTGAGAAATTGACAGCACTGTTAACTTATCCAAAACCTGGTTGGTTGGTTGATATAAGCCAAACTGAAAATAGCCAATCACAAGCATCGACACCACCGACAACTGAGGATAATAATAACAACAATAATATTACAGAAGAACAACCTGATTTATATGAGATGAAGTATACTGGAGTCAAAGTTGAATCTGACGGAGAAGACAAAGCAGCAGCAGCAGATGGAGATGAAGAAGATATTTTCAGTGGACTAGGTGAAAGTTGTGCAACACGTCAGCTACAAATGAGTGTTCTACGAGAGGCATGTTTATCAGAGACACTATTTTTAATTTTACGCGTATATCAAACAGCTGGATTACATCAAAAGTGTATAGAATTGTCTAATTTAATTGCTGATAATGAACATGGGTTATTCAAGGTAAGCTCACTTGATTCCTTTTTTGTTTTTGGTTGTTTAAATAATTTCTTTTTCTTTATTTGAGTATTCTTTTTTTCGGCGGCGAATTCATTTTCTTAGCTGTACAATCGCAAATATTTATGGGTTATTTTGTATGTGTGTGTACATTAAGTTTGTCAAACAAAAATACAATTGGTTATGGTTATTTTAACTAAACAGGTGAAGATTGGTAATTGGAGTTAGGCTCCTCCTTTATGGCTGTAAGATCTGGCCATTAAAAGTGGAAGACATGAAAAGATTAGCTGTCTTTGATCATAGGTGCCTGCGTTTTATCTCCCGTGTGAAGTGGTATAATAAGGCGAGCAATACTGAGGTTAGGCATCGGTCGAGTGCTAGGTAATGAGGGGAAATCAATCGACATGGCTGCGAAGCTACATCGACTGAGATGGTTAGGAGATGTGTTACTCATGGTAGCCTAGCTATCGCCTTCCTCGACGGGTAATGTTAGCTGACATAGGGTCAGGCTGGAAAAGAGCTGGCGGCGGTCAAACGAAAACATAACACCAGTCAATGAAATCCTCAACAGTTAGTCTAAGCCACGTAGGAAGGTGTAGACTTCTTGACTGGTTGGGGTCCTCGTGAAGTTAAAAACCAATGGTTGGAAACAATTGGTGATATGGCTCAAAATCGTTCTCGATGATGGCTGGCTTAGATGCATCCACTCCTCGTGACTTATGATTTCCAATGAAACTATGTTGTTCTTCGTTACTGCTATTCCTTTGTCTCTCACCTATGTTTACTGTCTATATTATGCATTTCTTCTGTTGCTTTGTGTGCTGCATCGAGTGTGGCGACTTAAACTGCCGCACATCGGTGCAAAGTTCTATGTCGAATACAGACAGACAGACAAAATTGGAGTTAGGTAATACAAAGACGGTCAAGAAAATTGGGTGTTAATGAAATTAGGGTAGTAACAAAGGTGATGAGTTGTCACAAACAGTTGTTTCTTGATGTGGAAGTAACAATAAGAATTGATGGGAGCCTAAGAAGATCGATCCATAGAAAAGATACTTAGAATGGTCAACTAACAAGCTTCTACAACTGGATACCCATTCAACAAAAGCGGAATTTAATTAAATCACTTGCCACCCGCATCCGACGCATCTGTAGTTCCGATGTTCTAGAAACAGAATTAGATATTCTGAGAGAAATCTTCATCTAAAATGGATACCCAATAAGATTCATTGACAAAAATGTCAAACCAAGAATTTGGAGAAATGAAACTTCACTTGGACCGAAAAAGAAACTCTACGTGAACTTGGATTTCAGGGGAGATTTAACAAGCCATATTCTCAAGAGAAGGATCACATCATCTCTGAAAAGAACATTCTTTGCAGCAACGCTAAGGATAATGTTCTCCAGTCGCCCACTGATCTGCAAAAGCCTTAAGGACAAGATCCCGCATCTGACCACTTCCACGTGCATATATTAGTTCACCTGCTGCTGTGGAACTAGGTAAACAAGTCGTCCGACGCGAATCCTGCTCAAGAGGATTCAACAGCACTATCCAGCATGGTTGCGAAAAGGCGATAGTAGTGCAATAAGGAGTGCGATAATTGAACATCTGGTTAATACTGATCATTCCATCTCAACAAACGCCTCCTGCTTCAAAGTAATCTACAGAGTCAAGGATAACCTACCAAAGGCAATACGGTTTCGTCTTCTTTGTATTGCTGAAGCTCTGACCATTCACATAGAAACACCGGAGCTGTGCATACAAAAGAGAATTACTCAACCACTTCTACTGTCATGGTAACAACTTTGTTGATTTTGATGACTTAATTTTGTTTGTTTGGCTGTTTCTTTAATTGCTTATAATTCTTGTATATTCATTTAGAAACCTTACGTAATTTCCTATTATCTACTTTGTTCCTATGTGTATCCTGAGTAAAACTCAATCATTAAACTATTCATATTATTACATAACTTCTTTTCAACAACTGTTTGTGACAACTCATCAACTTTGTTACTACTCTAATTTCATTAACAACCAATGTTCTTGAGCGATTTTGTATAATGTGACTCCAATTACTAATCTTCACCTGTTTAGTTAAAATAACCATAATCAATTGTATTTTTGTTTGACAAACTTAATGTACACAAACATACAAAATAACCCATATACATATATTTGCGATTGTACAACTAAGAAAATGAATTCACCGCCGAAAAGAGACTCTTCACTGAACTACGTGTTTTGTTTTCATTAATGCCTGGATGGGGATTATCCATGAATATTCTTTTTTTATGCTGCTTCAAGCTAGAGACTTGAAGTTTCGGTAGCAGTGGTTTCCTATTTTTTACAGGATGGGTTTGCTGCTAGCCTCATGCCCAGACCAACCTTCCCTCTCTACCAGTCTTATTACTGGCTTAGCGCGCTAAAATAGTGTATCTGTGGCTGGGCATTGAACCCCGAATAACATGAGGCGTGGCCGGTGAGCGTTCTATCGCTGTGCCACTTTTGACGCATACTTTGTATGCAATAACTGCAGCATAAGTTGTTGGTGTTCAGCGTTCTGTTGTGTAATACTAGAAGAACAATACGAGTGGCACAATCCAACCAAACTGACTGACTAACTCGATATCTTCGTGGATTTTCTGAGCCAGAAAGAGCATCAGTGTTGCCTTACCAGCAGAGCCTAAGCGGCAACTGATTAAAGCTACGCATACACGCCATGTTTGAAATAATTTTTAGAGTTGTGTTTTTATTTTTCTTAAAGATCTGACTGCTTCAAGGCAAATCAGGGTGTACACAACATTCGGAGTCTGCATTCCTTATCCTCTTTCCAGAGTGAAGAGGAGAAACCTGGCTTTCTGACTGACTGACTGGTTTCAACATAAAACTTTGCATAGATGTGCAGCAGTTCCAGTCACCACTCTCCTTCCATGTAGCACACAAACCAACAGAAGAGAATAAAGACAGATAATAAACAAAAGTACTTGTGAGGGAAAAGGAATAGTCATATGGAAGAACAATAGAGTTTTATTCTAGAAGACACATCACAAGGAGTGAATGCATCTGTACCAGTCATCACCGAAAACGACGATTTTGAGCCATATCACCCACCAATTGTCTCCAGGCTCCATCGGTCCTTACCATTTGGAGGATCGCAACCAGTCAGCCAGGAAGTTTACACCTCTCTACGTGGCTTGTTGGCTGGTTGGCTTAAATTAACTGTTGTTATGGATTTGATTGACTGATGAAGCCTTGTTTTAGTTTGACCACCACTACCTTGTCTCCAACCTAATTGATCCTGTCAGCCAACATTGACCGTCGAGAAAGGCGATCGATGGCTAGGTATGCATATATAACACATGTCCTAACCATCTCAATCGATATAACTTCACAACCTCTTCGATTGATTTTCCCTCCTTACCTACCACTCAACCGAAGCCTAACCTCAATATTGTTCACCTTCTTATAACACTTAACACGGCAGACAGAACGCAGACAGACAGCTAGCGAGGCTTTTTGTGTCTTCCACTCTCGATGGCCATGTCTCACTGACAGTAATAAAGCAGGACTGGACGAACTTCTGCTGTTCGGTACACACGTCCTTTGGCCAATAGCCAGTTGGATATCACTTCTACTAAACGAGAAATGGCATAAGTCGGCCAATAAATGACAAGCGAGCCTTCTGTATCCGTTCTGAGATTTTGTCAGCGATCTACCCGCTGGGGCTGACTGATGCAACTTCCCAAATAATTGAAGTGGTGGGCAACACGCTCCACCATTTTATTCCTGCCTATCTTTAAGCTAGGAGTGAGTCGATGTAGTCCAGTGATTGGAGTGAATCACATAGCAAACATTCGAAGGCTCCTCCTCCTCAAGGTATTCAGAAGACTCTGCATTTTTTCAGCATCTTCACCTAGGCGGGAGGACTATATCATCTGCGACGAGATTATTCCCTGATGGTAACAAGTCAATTCTGAGTCGATGAAGTCAGTTAAGGTGTTAAGTCCAGTAGTACATTTGTTGATCAAATTAAACAGAATTGGGGACAATGGGCATCCCTGACGGATACCACTGTTTATCATCACAGTTGTCAGATAGCAACTGTCCATAGGCTGTTACCTATAGGCTATACAAGTTCAAGTAGATTGCCTCGATCAGTGCACGATGTATCTTCTCGGCATTCCCTTCAGCAGCCATACATTTTACCATAGTATACCCATAGTCTTGTTGTAACTTTGTAACAACAGAAGACAAGGGCCAGGCAACAGATCGTTTATTAAGGAAAATCAACACATATTTATAGATTTTAATGTGCATTATTGTAAATTATAGTTAGTAGAAAATACAGTCTTTTGATTGGTTGTTTCTCACAGAAAGTTGACCTTGCATTTCTTTGTGGCTGTGTCAGATCATCCATGTGCTAACTGTATCCGTCTACGCAAAGCCTTTGTTCTCATTTTCTCACCACCAATATCGGGGACATAAACATTGACGTCAATTACTGTCTACTAACTTTGGCTAGCAGCCAGCTCTCACCACAACTTTATAACTTTGTACATATCGTGTATGTGTGTGTATATACCCTTTATATATTCTAAGCTCTAAAATTAAAATCTTCCTCTTTTTTCTCTCAGTTACTCCCTGTAGGTCAACTTCAAAATCTGCTTTATCATATCTCTAAATCAATACAACATTTTATTGATAATGAACAAGATCCGCTTGGTTATTCATCCGCGGCCAAATGATAACGATAGACATCTTCTGCTAGACAACCTTAATTAAAGTCTGTGCTCCATTTCCATCGAAGGCTGTCATTCCTCTGGCATTTAACAACTTATTGAACATTGAATGAACGTGCATTTTTTTCTTGTTTGTTTTAATCAGGTTGTTGTTGTTGTTTGAGCGCGTCAATCAATTGTCTGTTTTGTTACGACGTTTAAAAGAAAAGATTTTTAATGTGAATTGTATATGGTTGACTTTATGTAAAATAAAGTGTAAAATATGTATTATATTTTTTTAAAATAATTATTGTTTTAAAAGCAGAGAAAATACATGTGAAATTTTGAGTGCTGTCTCCTTTTCTTCTTCTTCTTCGTGTTTCTCCTGATGAATGTGTTGTTTGGTTGATTGAGTAGTGTATTGTCAAATGATTGATCGGGTTCACTCATTTGTTTTTCAATTGTTTTTTTTAAATTTATTTGTGGCTTCATTAAACAAACAAGACTTTCAGCTAGTAGTGGGCTAAGGGTTCGAATCCTGCTTCACATTATCTCAGAGACCTGCATAGCGTGGGAGGGGGATAACACTGCGTAGTTATGACACAAGCAGTGGTGTGACGTTTAGGGCTACTGCGAAGTTCGCCATCTAGGGGTTCTTGTGTTCATTTTGTTTTAATCAACTAAAGTATGACCTCTAAGTGACACATTGTTTACTCTCGCGGATATTTAAAATATTTGTTAAAAAAACATCATGGAGGGTGGTAAGGGTTGGCTTTCCCCGAGATAATGAGTAGGAGCTGCTCGTCCCTGCAATTTTTCATCATTCAGTTATGTCCTTGTGTGGCAAAATGTGCTTATGCACATTTTTAATTGGTTTTCAACTCTACTTGTTGTGCATTCTTTCAAGGAGACGAAGGGAAAGTATTATGTTTAGGAAGTGTTTTGCGCTTCAGGTCGAACATCATTACGTCATGTGATGTACTATTATTAATTATTATTTTCTCCTTGAATATCGTGGATGAAGAGAGAAAATTATGCAGTAAATCCTGCTGAGAGTCGAGCTCGTCATGTAAACATTATCTAGAGTAATTTGTGTATTATTTGAAACACGAACTTGCTACATCATGGGGATTAATAGATGCCCCACACGAAATCTCCTAGTTGCTGCGAGTGCTAGGATACCACCCAGATGCCTAGACCGAAGCAGGTGGTTTATTTTTTAAAGGACCCCCTCCTTTACTTGATGTCTGATCCACAAGGCAGTAGACCTGCGTTCCTATGGTTACTAGTTGACGAAAATAGGTTCATACACAATTTGAGCCTTCTGAAATCCAAATCCTAGTCCTAGCTTTCCAAGGCAGATGAGTACGTCTATCAGTCTGGTTGTAAGCGCTAGACATTTGCATTCTCTCTTTCATTTTTGCGAAGGGCACCGTAACTGCTTAAAGGCAGTGGACAGCACGACTTACTTGGCAGTGACTATGATTTAAAAGTTTTTTATTCCTTTACGTTCCCAGCGAACATAAGGCTTCAAGCTAGAGGCTTGAAGTTTCAGCAGCAGTGGTCTTTATTTTTATGGGATGGGGTTCCTAGCCTCATGCCGAACCTTCCCTCTTTACCAGTCTTATTACTGGCTTATCGAGGTGAAAGAGTGCATCTGTGGCCGGGAATCGAACCCCGATTCACACGAGGCGTGGTTGGCAAGGATTCTGCCGCCGTGCCAGCAACACACTGGTTCCAGGAAGGCGGAATCGAACTACTCCGACGCTAATCTGATACAGGTTTGAAGCTTTTTCCCGCCCCGAACCATCGAAGGTCATCATGCTAGTGAGAATGTGAACGCATCATAGCCAAGTGACAGTATATTGAGAGGAAGACTAAAGTATACACTCCATCGTCTGAATGGTGGACATCCAGCATAAATACTTTTTCTGTTATTATTAAATTTTTATCCGAACTAGTCACATCTAAGTAATGTTATCTTTGTGTTGATGTTTGTTTGTATTTTTTTCTCTTTTTAGTGTAGTTTAACAGAAGTATTAAACGCTGGTTGGTAAGTTTTTCTGTCTTCTTTGCTTAAATTAATTTGAGTCCTTGTTGTTGTGGTCGTCTTTGTCACACTGAAAACTAGATTTATTATAATAACATAACTGTACATTCCTTTGTGTTCGAAGTGGAACATAGAAAGCGCCTTAGCGGCACATCTTCATTGAACTTGATTCTCTGTGTCATTACTTTAAACAGGTTACACTATTCTGTACACGTACACAAACTTTCACTTCCTACTAATCTGATTTTTCTATCCACGGCAATGTGGGTTGATTTCTATGCAGGTATCAGTTGAAGGCCTTCCTGGAGTATGATGTCACTCAACAGCCTCATCAATAATCCATCTTCATTTCTTTTTTCGTGGTTGGTTAGGCGTCGAGTGCTAGGTACAGAGGGAAGGTCAATAGATGAGGCTGTAAAGTTACATCGACTGAGGTGATGGTTAGGGCATGTGTTACGCATGCCTATCCCTTGCCTTTCTCGACGGTCAATGTTGGCTGACAGAATCTATCAGGTTGGAGATGAGGTAGTGGTGGGCATGCCAAAACATGGCTTTATCAGTCAATGAAATCCACAACAGTTAGTTTACGCCAGCCACGTAGGAAGGTCTAGAATTCCTGACTGGTTGAGGTCCTCGGGCGGGTAAAAACCAATGAGGGCTGGAGACAATTAGTGGGTGGTATGGCTCAAAATCGTTCTCGATGATGGCTGGCGCAGATGCATCCACTCCTTGTGACTTATAAAACCCAATAAAACTATATGGTTCTTCGATATTACTATTCTTTCTGCCTCATATTTCTGTTTACTGTCTCTATTTTGCGTTTCTTTTTACTTTCTTCTTCTTCTGTGGCTTTGTGTGCTGAGTGTAGTGTGACGACTTGAACTGCTGCACGTCGATGGAAAGTTGAAACTAGTCAGTCAGACACGTACACAAACTTTCATTTGCTACTGACTTGATTCTTTCATCCACGGCACTTTTAGATATCTAACTCGTTGATTCCTATTCAAGTTTCAGTTAAAGGCCTTCTTGGCAATATGATATCACTTAACAACCTCCTCAACATTCCATATTCATTTCTTTTTTCATATTTATTGATCAGCACCTTCTTGGTTGGTTCTCTACACTCTCTGGACTCTTTGTTGCTTATATTTTCTAGCCTGCAGTATGATGTTCAGTGTCGAGCGTAGGGCGGTGGGGGTGTGTGGTAATTTTTGAAGAATGTCTACAGCCATCTGTTGAAAATGCTTTTCTTGACGCTCTCGCCAATCCTCTGAAGCATTTATAAGTGTTGACTTGATATTAGTATTGGTGGCTGGGATCTTATTCCTTGTGCTAATAGCCTACTTTACTAACTGGTCTTAAGTCTAGGAAAGCGGAAAGTTCGGAGACATGCAGCTAGCGACGTCACGATGTTAAGGTGTAACAACAGAAGACAAGGGCCAGGTAACAAATCTTGTTTTTTTTTTCATGACCAAGATTTAGGAAATAAACATTGACGTAAATTGCTTTCTACCAATTTTGGCTAGCAGACACCTCTCACCACATTTGTCCCCTCGTGAAAGACTTTCGACTGAAGTTTATTTGGTCTTCTTGGTTCTGGTGGCTTCATTCGTTTGTCTTGTTTTCTGGAATTCCGGTGGTCGCTGACGTTCACCTGTTTCTCGTTGTTTACATTTGCTATCGTTTCTATGTGACCCCGTTGTACAGTGACAATGTGTGATCCTTCCCACTTTAGAAGCTGCTCGCCTGACCCTGGCGCGCATTGTTCGGTGTTTCGCCTCACACTTCCACATGCTGCTTTCTCCCGACCTCGCAGCAGCGTTCCAAGTAACAGCCTCATCGTTGGCGCACGTTCAACTCCGCTCAACTGCGCAACAGCCTCGACGTCCTACCCGAAGACCCATATGTCTTCATCAAAAACTACAGGGCATAAGCTTTCTATTTGTCGGCAGACAGCAACACCAAATGTAACAACAGAAGACGAGGGACAAGCACTAATATCTTATTTTTTTTCATGACCAAGATTTGGGACACAAACATTGACGTAAATTGCTGTCTACCAATTTTGGCTAGCAGACAGCTCTCAGCACAAAGGTACCCCCGTCGCTACGTGCGTCATATGTTTTCACTTCCAGTAGCTAAGTGATGGTTAATGAAGCTGAGAATAGATTCTACCAATGAAGTTTCCGAAAGGGCATCATAATCATAAATAAATGCTGATCTATGCGCATCATTTTCATTGTCCTCTTATAACTAGTAGATAATGATCATCGATTAAAGAAATTTAACAATACGCAGTGAATACCACATTTTATGGTGTGGTTATTTCATTGTTAGTGAGAAGGCTGAGATTATGCTCAATCGCCCTAGACTGAAGCAGGCAGCTGTCTTAAGGGATCACCCACCCTAGGAGCCTCTAACTGGAAGTCTCATCCACAAGACAGTGGACCAACGTCAGCAGCTACATTCTTATGGTTACCACTGACCAATGCACAGATTCATACGCCACCCGATGCGTTTGGATTCTGGAGTCCATAGTCACCATGTTAACTGCTTCTAATATAACCACTATCCAAGCAACCTTCCTGGCGTCGTAGTACCTGCGAGATAATAAGTCCCAGTTAGTGTAACTTGTTGGATCACTGCGGTATGCAAGCCTGATTACTACAAAACGGTGGGAGCTATCAGCCTGGTATTAATTTGGATTTATTCTACGGAAAATTGCCAGAAATTATGAAATTTAAACTATTGATATCTTGTTAACTATCTCATTATCTTTCACACAGAATTTCTTCTATGTGTTCTTATAGGTTAATGATTGATACTCAAATCTTTTCACTTCAAACTAAGTATCTATAGTTATTGGTTATCATTTGATTCTTTAGGCATATAGATTATTTCATCTGTAGTCATTCTCCACTGTCGTTAACACCTCCGATCTTCTCTTAAGTGCTTTTATTTACCTTCTTTCGGGTGCATCTTAATCACTAACCTTCATTCCCCTGAGGTGTGGTCGTATAAAAATGAGTGGGTGAATAAAAGTGTAGTCAATGAGGTTTCAAGTAAGGAAGTTATAGAATCATGGTTGCTTACCGATTGTGCACATTAGCTCGAAGATGCGAAAGAAACGTTTAGTGTATGAACATGATTTCGTCATCTGAAAGCTCTGCGGACTCAGTTCCTAACACTTACACTCTTACCTTGTCGATCAAACTACAAGTCATCAAAATGAATAGTCTTCCCTTAAGACGTGATTGTATTGTACGAAGTTTATGTTTTAAGTAAACTGGGGTAGTTTCAACTACTGGCGGAAGGGACGAAGATGCGAAAGCCAGCCAGAATCGGAAAAGCAAGATACGCCTTCCGCATTGCACTCAGCATAAGGAACAAGATTCGGATTTTCAACGCCTATGTTAAGTCCGTTCTTCTATACGGGTCAGAAACTTGACCGGCGTTTCACGAAAAGGATTTCCAACAGGTTGCCAACTTTTTGGATCTTCACTGGATCTATACTGAAGATCAAATGGCCGGCCAGAAAGAATTAGTAACAAGAAACTGTGGGAAAAAACCAACAGGAGAGAGCCGATCGTTCAACAAATATGTAGAAAAAAGGAGGAGGCCGTCGAATGACATCGCACGCCAGGTCATTGCTCGAGTGGAATCCTAATGAGAAGCGACGAGCGGGTCGTCACTGCGAGGGTGACATGGAGAAGATCGTGTGAGGAGGAGATGAGGGAGTTTGGTCAATCGTGGATCCAGCTGAGGAGGATGGCAGACGATAAGATAAAGTGGAGATGTGTTGTTGAAGCCTATGTTCCACTCGGAACGCAAGGGAATAATAATAATAATGAAACTAGATGGTAGTACGTTGAGTAATCTATGTGTTGGAACTCATCACGTCTCACAGTATACACACGTTAGTGTGGTTGCATATGCACTGTATACAGTGGGCTTTAGAAAGACTCAATAAAGAATTAGTCGTCAACTGTAATTCTCATGTGTAACAGAATTTGCTGCTTACTGTCAGTGATTTGCTGATGTGTAGATGCTTTCAAGCAACTTACTGATAAGTCAGGCAGTCAATCGCCAAACATTGTGCAGATAAGATACCCACTCCAGTCCTACAGGAGGTCAATCACGAGCCCAAATAGCTGGCTCATTGGTAACGTCTCTGACTGCAACACTGGGTGACGTGGGTTCAAATCTCAGAAAAAGGGACATGAGTTCCTTCAACGTGGTTGCAGATATGCCTTGCTGACAGTTGAGTACCAACTAGCACTAAAGCTAGGTCCGGACAAGACTTCCTGCGGATTACCTTCAACTGTCTAATATCATCAAATAAGATTAGTTGTTCATACAATATCATTTCAGTTTCAGTCAGCCAAAGAGTCCTAGACTGTCGTCAGTACTATATTCCTAGGAAAGTAGTCCTATAATCCAATTATTTGCTTTGGCTTGTGTATCTAAGCTGCCGTCCTATCCATCAAATGATTGTAGCTTATATCTTGATGTCCGTATGTATACGCTTAAATGTGGTTGGACATGTCACTATATTACTGTGTGTTTTAAAGGCTTAATAGATGATAATTTATTGATTCCTGTTCTTATGCATAGCTGAATTCACTTACTGTCAGTGTCTTCTTGCCTTGATGTGCTAATGCTTTCGTCAGATAGTTGATTCGTCATTCAAACAGTCAGTTAGTTAGCGAACGTTGAGCAGATAAGACTAGTTGTTCATATTGTGGTGAGAGCTGTCTGCTAGCCAACATTGGTAGACAGCAATTTACGTCAATGTTTACGTCCCGAATTGGGGTCATGTGAAAAAGCAAAAACAAAGCCTAACCTTGAGGAACTCAACAACCAATCACAGAAGACTTTGCGTGGGCGGATACCATTCGCAGAAATATGGTCTGACCTTCAAATAAACGGCCAATAGGAGGTGACAAAATAGCTTTCAGCAACAAAAACAACCAATCAGAAGGCGCTGCTTCTCTGCTAATAATTACGCTAATGATAATGTACATAAAAATCTAAAAATATGTGTTGATTTTCTCAATAAACGATCTGTTGCCTGACTCTTGTCTTCTATCGTTACAATACGACTATTTTTAATCAGCTAAGATGTCTCAGACCGTCATGAGTGTACGCATCGTTTACATTTTTCATTTCAGTCTTGACAAAATGGCCCTAATGATAACACTGTCTCCTCTTATTTTTTTTTATTTTTTTACCAATAAAGGAATTTATCTCAAAAAAGTTTTACAGAATGTTTAAAGAAGACGGAACATGAAAGTTTTAAAGAATTGATAGATGTATTATTGAATGTAAGTTGATTGCCTGGTTTTATCAACTCTACTGTATCTATCTCTGTGTAACGGAAGCAGTTAAGAGAACTGGTCATGGATTATTTTTTTTCATTAAAGAAAACAAGCCGTATTTATACATTTTTAGCCACATTTATGATGAACTGTTAATAGTTCGGTTGAAACTCTCCTGATTGGTTGAAAGTTAAAAGAATGGTTACTGAAAAAAGAATATTTTTTTTAGATAACTTCATAACTTCAGGTTCTATAGTCATATGTATCCATAATAGTGAATGAATTAGTGTTATTAACAACATTAATGTTGCTTGAATAACATCGAATCAATAATTATAATATCAATAGATTACAGTTCAATAGCGTCAACATAACAATACACTGAATATCAGATAGAGAAATTAGGAAAGACAATAATACAAATTCATGAATTTATAGTCTCCACCGAAGGTCGATCAGGGCAGTAGTAGTGGCTGGCTGGACTTGCTTCTTTTGTACACAGTGCACTGGTTGTTTCACGCGAATTGCGATAGCCTCATTTGTGTGGAGTATGCGGTACCTGGATGGTTTTGGCAAATTATCCGGTACCTGATAGAGGTGATAGAGAAAGATTGTTCAATGCTAGATAGCTTTGTGGCCAGTTTGAACCAGATGGACTAATATTGATCTGTTGGTGATCGTTTTCGCTCTACCTTTAATCAGACAGACTGGTAGATGTTCCTAAGGGAGCACGACAAATCAAGTTCCAAGAGCAACGGCTAATAAAACTCGCTCCACAAGCTCAGGTGAATTGTTAGATACTTTATTTTATTTTATTTTGATTTACAGCTTGATTCCACACCGTATTTTCAGTACAAGTGTGGAATTTTCAGCATGGATATCGGTAGCCCAAATTCAGGCCGACCATAGATATCGGGTGTGCGCCGGCAGGGGATCGAACCCCGGACCATGTGCATGGTCGGCGAGAGTCCTAACCACTATGCCACCGACGCACAATTAGTAGTGTCGAAGTTCTCACCCTTGGCCTTAGATTTTGCGATACACGGACAGTGGTCAATCACTTAGATACTGATATTGAATTTGAAAACCTATTTAGTCAAACAAAGGATCTAGTTCCATCATCCACCCCGGAACTAGAACTCCTCAAATTCAGTCTAGTGGATTGTTGTTATCAGTACAAAGACATTAAACAAGACAGTGAAAGTTTCTTGACCAAGGAGCATAGAGAGGAACTAAAGAAACTGATAAATGGCGAAAGACTGATAATCACAAAGCCTGATAAAGCATCAGGAATAGTGTTCCTCAATAGAATCGACTATATTAGAGCAATGAATGATGTATTGAAAGACACAGAAGTTTTAAACTTGAGAAGAAAGATTTCAATAACAAAACAGAAATAATTAACCAGATGTTTGAAGAAAATAAGGGAGGAACATATGTTTCCTGCAAGTTTATATGAAGAAATCAAGCCAATGGAAACGTACACGCCAAGATTGTATGGCGTACCTGAAACACGTAAACTTGGGGTACCGTTAAAACCAATTGGGAACACGTTGCCACCCACAATCAAGCCTTTCCTAAAGTTTAGTAGGAACTTGTGAATCATAAGCCCTAGTTTCAAGTACGCCGTCCATTGGAATGGTCATATTCAGAAGTTCATTTTTCACATTGTTTAAAAACAGTAGGAGGCTGGAAGAAATCAATGTTAAAGTTGTTGCAGAATAGGTTTTCTTCACAGAACTAGAGATTCTTCTCTGAAAGATATTTGCCACTAATCCCCCCTTGAAGTTCAGATTCATATACAATGTTTTCTTTGGTAGTAAAGTGCATTCTTCCCTTTCTGGCTTTGGTTTCATGTTCTTTTCAACGGGAAACGTGCCGCGTATTCATTTTCAGCTAGGATATTTTTGAGAAATAAGAGCTTTTCTTTTGAGCAGTCAATGCTGCAAATTCTTCTGATACAGTGGTCGACTAGTGAGAACTTTCGTATCAAGTTGAAACGTGCTATCACTTTTAATCTCCTTCGTCGTTGTTATATTGGAATTAAATCAGAATATCTTTATCTAATGTTCAGTCGGGAAGCCTTTAGGCAGAGAGAGAGAGCTTTGTTTCTCATACAGTATAAAAAGAACGTAATCAGAGCAATACTGTTCACAATAAAGCACGCCAAAATTGGTTCTTATTTTACAAATAAATATGAAATAAAGTCACTGGAGGAGATTTTATCCTGGAATGGATATCCTGAAGGGTATATCAATAATTACTCTAAAGAAACAAGCTCGCAGCAAAACTATCTAAACAGTTTCAACGAAAGCTGTTTATATCAATTTACCCATTAACGGAGATGATGTACAGGAAGCAGGCAAACGAAGACTTGATGAAGGCATTAGAAGAACTTAATATCCTGCAAAGCTTGCATACCTTAACACTACAACAAAGTGGATGGTGCTCCGACTATCTGAGAAGGACCGGTTGCCAATCCTCGACACTTCAAACAGCGTATGTCAGTTTGAGTGTATCTTTCGTTAGAAAATATATCGATCGTACAGCAAGTTACATGTTGTTTAGTCACTGTTGAACTGCCTTCATGTCTGAACTTGTCATAATTATTTGCTGCTCAACTTGAGTTTATGCTCTAGTGAAGTTTTCTCATTGATCAAATAACGTTTTGAAATCAAAAAAATTATTTGCTTATTTAATTTTAATGTTTAATCTCTTTTTGTGTGTGTGTGCTTCGTTCTATCTCACATTATTGATTTTCAAGTCAGACATTCGAGAATATGGAGTACCATGGTTAGGAGATTATAAAAAGTCAACTCAAGTGAGTAAAATTATATTTTTAGTGAATAATGACTTTTTCTTTTCGAAGAATTGATTGTAATTTTTAATCTTGTATTCTAATTGTGAAAGACGGAGGTTATGAAAATAACCAACCATCAGCAACAGCCACAGCAGCAACATTCACCGCCAATCACCATCAACGGGAGAGATTTGAAAGAGGTTACTTCATTCACTTCACTTATCTAGGAAGCATTGTCTCAACTACAGGAGGAATGGACGAGGATGTCAAATCGAGAATCGGGAAGGCGAGAAACACATTCATCAACCTGAAACCAATCTGGAAATCTTCGTCACTCGGCCAGTATCAACAACAAAATTCGGATTTTCAATACAAACGTCAAGTCAGTCAGTTCTTCTATACGGATCAGAAACTTGGCCAGTGTGTCACAAAGAATATTTCCAACAGCCTGTTGCAGACCTTTATCAACAACTAACTGTCTTCGCTCTATACTGAAGATCAGATAGATGGCCGGAAAGAACAAGAACCAACAAGAAACTATGGGAACAAACAAAACAAGGACTTATTTCTTGTTACATGACTTGTATCGTTCGGACTAAAGAGCATTTTTCTTAAGTATACTGATAACCTGACTGTTTCGCTGATAGTTAGTTACGTCCGGATCTGACTTTTCCAAACTTGATAGATTATTGTCGAATATCACCAAGTGGTGTTGTAACGACAGAAGACAAGGGCCAGCCAAACAGATGTTTTATTGAGAAAATCAACAGAAGATTTATAGATTTTTATGCACATTATTGTTAGCGTTATTGTTATCAGAGAAACAGCGTCTTCTGATTGGTTGTTTCTTCGCTGAAGGTTATTCTGTCATCTCTTTGTGGCCTTTTCTTTGCGTGAGTTTCCTGTAAATGCACTAGTGTTTAACTTCCCGTCATCTTTCCTTTTTACGCTACAATCTAACATTGGAAGTTCCCCTTCCTGACTTTCCAATTCCCTCATAAGTGAATTGGATTGCTTCCACCTTCGAGTTGATGAGTTCGAAAAACCTATCTATATCCTGTGTTTTAAGCACAGTGAATGTGTCATCTACATACCTCCACCATACTTTTGGGGTGGGGCTAAACGGTTCAATCGCTATGTTTTCCCTACCTATCCATGAATATGTCTGCCAAGACCGGAGATATTGGCGACCCCATGACAACTCTCTCAGTTTGTTTGTGTATTTTCCCTAGTGTAGAATGCTTGCTGATCACGTACATTGCTGGGGAGTCAATTACCACCCGACTTACATCTTAACCTCACCTGGTTTACTAGCTGATAGGAACCTCGTGAAAGAGGGAAGTTTGGGTATGAGGCTAGCAACCTCATGTAAATCACGTAAAAGAGCATCAACTCTACTGGAATATGATGGATGGAGAAGATTTGTAGCTCAAGTGGATGATTTTGATGTAGTTGTCTTCTTTGACCTTAATGTCGCATGCTTCACTCAAATTTGTGTCAACAAAAAGACTCAACAGCTAATGAAGATATAACCAACATCATCTACAAAATAAGTTGCAATGACTGCGGAAAACACTACATTGGCGAAAATGGACGTCCTCTTCGTCTTCGTATCCATGATAATAAACTAGCTGTCAAAAGACATGACATTCACTCCCTCATATCACTCCCCACATGCAGAGGCAACCATGAACAGCAATTCGACTGGGACAACGTTCAAATATTAGACAGAGGAAACACCAAGAATGCAATGGAATTTTTAGAAGCCTGGTATTCCAGTGAATCGTCAATCAATAGACACATCAAGATAGCCAAAATTTAGCAATCGATAAAAAGGAAATCTCTAGGACAATGTAAGCTTCGCAAATAAACCATCATCCAGCTCAGAAAACACAACTACATAAAAAAATACTACTGGAATTTCAAAACTTGTAGTTCTATGTCCCACTCTGAACGCAGTGGGAAATAAACGAAAAAAGGTATGTAGGCAGAGAGAGAGAAAGTCAGTTTTTTATGGTGTTTTGTTCGTTGTAAGTGATACACTATCTTGTAAAATAGTTTTTTTGAAACCCTATCAATATCTATCTATTTATAATATTTATATTTATATTCATACAGCTTGAAGCAAATGGTAGAATTGTTCAACTTACTCGATTGCGTAATATCAGTATACCACAAGCTGTTGAAGATATGATGATGACCACTTCTGCAGATAATCGTGGACCTTGTGTACTTCGATTAACATTTACTGATGGTCGTAATACAATAACCGGCTTAGATATGCAGGATAAAACAGATTTGAGGTAAGCATCTCCTTGTACAAACACTTCTTTTTCTTTTTATTCCTTCACGTTCCCAGTGTCGGAACATAGGGTGGCTTCAAGCTACAGGCTTTTGAAGTTTCGGTAGCAGTGGTTTCCTATTTTTACGGGATGAAGTTGTTGCTAGCCTCATGTCCAACTTTCCCTCTTTACTAGTCTTATTACTGGCTTAGCAAGGTAAAGGAGTGAGTCTGTGGCCGTGGATTGAACCCCGAGCCACATCAGGCGTGGTTGGCGAGCATCCCAGCACTGTGACACCGACGCGTTCAAAATGTTCACAACCTACTAATTTGCCAGAAAAAGTTATTTAACACAAATACAAGGGTTAAAAATGTACGAGATTGAAAGAATAATTAGATAAAGCGTAGTGGAGGTTCTTCACAATCTATTTGATAACAGGGAGTGAAGAAATATCTTCACCAATGGAAGCAATTTCAAATCATGCTACTAACAGTCTCCAATCATTGGTTTTAAACATTTTGAGAACCTCACCATATGTGGTTGAAACGAATATTCAAATACCTAATGGCGGTGCTTATTGCTGAAGAGTCCCAGACTAAGACGAGACAGGTGTCCAACACTTCCTGATGCTTTCCAGTCATTCTCTAGCTGATTTCAGCTCATGATGAAACCTGTAACTTGATGGACTGATGGGAATGACAGCAAACATGAGTCAGATGGCAGGTCGTTTATTGAGGAAATCAACAGATATTTATAGATTTTTTATGTACATTATTATTCGTTATTATCAGCAGAGAAACAGCGTCTTCTGATTGGTTGTTTTCTTGCTGAAAGTTATTCTGTCATCTCTTTGTGGCTATTTCTTCGAAGGTCAGACCATATATCTGCGAATCGTATCCGCCCACGCAAAGACTACTGTGATTGGTTGTTGAGTTCCTCAAGATTAGGCTTTGTTCTTGTTTGTTTTTCTCATGACCAAGATATGGGATGTAAACATTGACGTGAATTGGTGTCTACCAATTTTGGCTAGCATACAGCTCTCACCACATGATGACGTGTTTCACTCTGACCAGGCTTAAACACTGTTCTTCAAATTACTTCTATGTTGGTTAACATTGTCCTTTGTAAAAGTCCGTGGCTGGGTATGCATATCACTTATCGATGGAGATTGAAAACCTTATTGATTAACTTTTTCTTGTTGCCTAGCCCTCTACTCCTAACCTCATTATGATTGGCGAGATTATGTGGCTTAAGTCAAGGCATTAGACTGAGTTATATACAGTCGAACATTGCTGATCACTAACGGCCATGCTTCACTGCCATAAAATACGATATATCGATCTATATTAGATAGTTGGAGGCGATCGGCAGGAAATCTTGAACCTAGGTTTCGTGCTAGTTAACACTCACCAGTCAGCAGGGCGTATCTGCAACCTTGAAGGAACTCATGTCCTTCCTTCTGAGATTAGAACCCGCGTCACCTAGTGCCGCAGTCAGAGACGTTACCATTGAGCTATTCGGCCTTGCTGACGGAGTGCCAACTAGCACGAAACTTAGGTCCCAGGCTTCCTGTGGCCGATTGCCTCTAACTATCTAATATCATCAAATCAATGTGCACCGTGATGACGAGCTACCTAGTGGAATGGTGGCCACATTGCAAACCTGACTGATTGATAGAATTCAGTCTGCACCAAAAGTAAGGACTAGCGAGACACGTCACACTAGTTACGGACTAGTGTCCATTCAAAATATATCGACCTTCTACACATTCAATTCTATTATGTGTGAATAGAACACGTATTATCACTATCACTATCATTATTATTTATCTTTTGTGTGGTTTTACTTAAAATAAAAGAATAAACATTTCTCTTTCAGTATGGATATACCACCTGGAACAAAATTTCGTCTTATGGGTTCAATTCCTATATCTATGGGATTTTTACTGCTGTCAAAAAATCATCTCAAAGTACTCGGTGGTACAGTGACTAATTTAATACGTGAATGGAATATGACCAAGGTAATTAATTAATTTGTTCCTTCCAAGCGGGTTGCTTTTTGTTTTTTTCAAGAAAAATTTTCTCAGTCGAAATATTCATTAAGTGATGATGGGTATGCGATATATCTTTAATTTGTAAATGAGTATTGCTCTAGGAGGCTGAAATATCAACACAGTGAGTGATCTTGTAGTAGAGAACGATTGAAAACTAGAGAATACTAGACAGCCGTTTCGTCCTCGCTCGGGACTCTTCATCGGTACGCACTCATGACCTTAAGAGACAGTTAACGCAGGAGATCTTCATGGTACCACTTGAGCCTGTTGAACGGTCATCCACTAAAAGAGAGGGATCTAATGGCTCCATGAATTCTTACTTTTGTCAATTTTTGATATACACATCGCGACCGTCATTGGTGAGTATTTGTGTCTGTCTGTTTTCGACATAGAACTTTGCAAATATGTGCGGCAGTTCAAGTCGCCACACTCCATGTATCACACAAACCAAGAGAAGAAAGTAGAAGAAATGCATAATATAGACAGTAAACAGAGGTGTGAGACAAAGGAATAGTAATAACGAAGAACAACATAGTTTCATTGGAAATCATGTCACAAGGAGTGGATGCATCTGCGCCAGCCATCATCCAGAACGATTTTGAGCCATATCACCCACCAATTGTCTCCAGCCATTGGCTTTTACCGTCCCAATGTCTCCAGCTAGGAAGTCTACACCTTCCTACGTGGCTTAGACTAACTGTTGTAGATTTCATTGACTGGTGCCATGTTTTAGTTTGACCGCCGCTAGCTCTATTCCAGCCTGACTCCATGTCAGCTAACATTGCCATTCGAGGAAGACGATGGCTAGGCCAGCATTCGTAACACATGTCCTAACCATCTCAGTCGATGTAATTTCACAGCCTCGTCGATTGATTTCCCCTCCTAACCTAGCACTCAACACCTAACCTCAATATGCCTCACTCTATCATGCCACTTCACACGGGAGATAGAACGCAGGCACCTATGATCAAAGACAGCCAGTCTTTTCATATCTTTCACTCTCAATGGCCAGGTCTCACAGCCATAAAGTTGGACGAAGCGGACTGATGAGCACGCCCTTTGGCCGTGTGCACTGCTCAGTTAGAATTCATGAGCTGGCCATTGAATCGGTTCCTATTGGCTGAACGGTATACGAGTCAGCTTGCCTTGTAACCGGAAGGTCCTGGGTTCGAACCCCACTGTTGTGGGTTCATACTGCCGATGATTCCTAGTCTAGGATGAAACAGATGTCCAGTACTCCAGTGCTGGTTTTCTTTCAATGGTTCTCTGGCTGATATCAATCCGTGATCAACTCGTAAAAACCAAAACTAGCCCTTACAAACCAAACTATAGAAAAATAATAAAGTGTAATAATATAATATTTACAAATAAAGTATAATTATATTTCAATAGTTTACGCACACAATGATAAGTTTTGTTATTGGTAGTATTTCGAGCGAAATTACTGCCCGTCTTCACACCACTGTTGGAATTTTTTTCCTTGAAATATTACCAATAACAAAACTTATCATTGTGTGCGTAAACTATTGAAATATAATTATACTTTATTTGATCTGTTCCACAATGCTCAAAATTTTTACTGACATTAGTAATATTTACAGTTATCCAGTGTCACCGGGAGAAATAACTATTTTAGGTTGGGGGTGAAGTTGGCCAAGGGAGGGAGAGGGATTGACCTAACCTTTTCTGAACACAGAAATTGGTTTGGTAAGGTTTTATAGCGACTGCCTCAGCTATGCTTAGCAGTCGATGACATACCAACCTAGGGAGAGTTGAGGTGGTCGTGTTGTGTACAGGAGCAACAACTTTGGTGAAAACATCTCGGTAATGATTCAGTTGTGATAAGAATAAATCTAGTAGTTTCTCTGTTCTAAATATTGGCAGGGTCACACTAACTTATAACATGTGAATTGATTTTTAATAGGTCAAGCGAAAGAAGATAACGATTTAAATATTGATTTTGTAAAGGAAATTTCATTGATTTCGAAATTAGAACTCATTACTGGTCAAGTGTTTCAATGTTAGAGAGTGATCAACAACTATGCAAGCGGGAATGAGTTCAACTTCCATTCTGCTCACTCGTAAACCTCATCCAGTTTACTAGTTGCAGCGAGGAGACAGGCATAACATGGACCCACACAAAAACTTGGAGGATCTGGATTTCGCCGATCATATATATGTCTGATTTCCCACAAACTGGAAGATATGCAGGTGTAAAGTAAAAAGTTGACAGAAGAAGCATCCAGAGAAGATAGGACTTCGGGTGAACATAAAGAAAACAGAGGTGATAAAGATTCCAGGAGAAGAGCAGCAGCAATAACGACAGACAACATTCAGCATACATGGGAGGAGTCTGGAAGAAGCCATCTCCTTTATCACCTAACTGGGAAGCATCGTTTCAGGTGGATAGAACTGATGAGAATATTGAAGCGAGGATCGGGAAAGCAAGACAAGCTTTCATTACTCTCAAGTCTGTGTGAAGATCAACAGCACTCAGCATAAAAAATAACATCCGGATTTTCAACTCCAATATGAATTCAGTGCTACTCAGTATACGGATCAGAGAATAGGCTCCGCGTGACGGAGTCCACTTTGAGCAAACTACAGAACTTCATCAACAGCTGTCTTCGCTCAATACTACTCAAGATCAGATGGCCGGTCAGAAAAGATCAGCAACAGGGATGGTTCTCTGGCAATGAATGAACCAACCCAGCAGGAACCGATTGTGCAAGAGATATGCAGGAAGAAATGGAGGTGGATTGGATTGGCCATACTCTGAGAAAATAAACCATCATCAAGTGACATCCATCACGGGCCAGGCCATCACTCGAGTGGAACCCATGTGAATAGGGGATGAAAGCATATGGACAGAGGTGGGGCCAGGTGAAAACGTTTGTGGAGAACCGAACGCAATGGAGACTTGTAGCTGAATCCCTATGTTCCTCTAGGAATTAAAGGAAACAATAATAATAGTTTACTAGACCCGAAACTAGACATACTTCAGATGATTCCCAAACTAGGCTGATGAAACAGCTGTGCAGTACTCTCTGCTTTTTTCCAATGGTTCTCTAACTGATATCAATTCGTGATCAAATTTGAAAAACAGGTCTTATCCTTACAAATCAACTTTTGAAAACTTCTTATTAACAGAGAACTTTTAATTGGTGGATGGTGACTAGCAGTGGAACCCACTAGGATGCGCGTTTCGCCTGTCGTGTTTGGGACTCGTCAACTAGCTGGATGTACCTGCATTCCCCAGTGAGTGATGATGATGTTCCCACCGAGGCTCGAATCCAGTGACCAACTGATGAGTCCCAAGTAGGACGAAATGCGCATCCTAGTGAATTCCACTGCTAGTTACATGACCAGACATCGTCAAAACATCTGCACAAGAAGCCGACAGACATGTCAACCTGAGACCGAGCACTTCGGTCGAATCAATCGATGGGAAAGTCTAAAATTCATTTTAAAAAAATAACAGAGAACTTTATTGGAAATAATACAATCCGTTGCATTTTTGTTTCAATCGTTTTCTTTAGTTTCTTAAAGATACTGAAAATCGTAATATCACTGGCGGAGCTCCAGTGTTTGTTCCATTCGGTAGTCGAGAAGCTACAGATCTAATACAAAGTGAAGGCAAATTTCTTAGTCAGCTTCGATCAGATCGAGAAAGTAATCAAAGTGAGTATATATTGGATGCATATTTTTGTTGATGGATGTGTGTTTTGCATGCAGTGTTATGATATAATGGAAGACGAAGTTATTACGGAAGGTTAATGGATTGTACAGTATGCAGTACACCTCATGTTTTACCATATACTGTTCCTACTGCCCTACGTTTCTACTCATTTAAGTGTTGGTTTGCAGGGATTTGATTGGTTATAGGATTTTGTCATGAGCTGACATCGGCCACAAAACCATTAAAACCCACCCGGGTTGTTTCTTTCTAGTTCGGGACTCTTCGCCAGTACGCACCCACCGCCAGGGTTCGAACTCCAAACCTTCCGGTTACGAGGCGATCTTGTAGACCATTAAGCGACTGGGGCCCGATCCAATGGCCAGCCCATGAATTCCAAGTTCTGCTAATTCACTACTCAGTGTCACCGGTGCCGAGTATATTTCCCCACACTCGACCTGCCGAAAAGTCATAAACTTGGATGAAACAGCTGTTCAATATTTCTTGGTGGTTATCCAATGGTTCTGTAACCGATATCAGTTCATGATGAAATCCTGTAACCAATCGACTCATTTAAGTTCGTCTAAATTTCTTCTGTCCTATTTTTTTCTCTACTTTTATGTGCTACATAGGTTGTGGCAATTTGAATAGCTGTACTTCTGTGCAAAGTTTTTCCTTTGGAATTCCGTCAATCAGTTAGTTAGTTAGAACAAGAGTTAAGCTTAGGCATTCCATCACTAGTATTGTAACGACAAAAGACAAGGGCCAAGCAACTGATCATCTATTGAGAAAATCAACAGATATTTATGTATTTTTATATACATTGTTATTCGTTATTGTTAGCAGAGAAACAGCGTCCGCTGATTGGTTGTTTTCTCGCCGAAGGTTAATTCTGTCATCTCTTTGTGGCCGTTTTTGTAAAGGTCAGACCATATACCTGCTAATCGTATCCGCCTACGCAAACAAAGTCTGATGTGATTGGTTGTTGAGTCAGTCTTTGTTTTTGTGTTTTTTGTCATGACCAAGATTTGGAACATAAATTGCTGTCTACCAATTTTGGCTAACAGACAGCTTTCAGCACAGTATAAAACTATTTCTTTCTATACTTCGTTTCCACTTTTATCCTAGTGAAATTCGATTCATTTCAAATGGCAACAGCACGTAATGAACCGCAAGAGGAGAGTGAATTACAAGCCATGTTCAATGAACAACGTAAAGAAATTCTGGCTGAATTGAAAGCATCCAACTCGTCTTCTTCTACGGCTGCTGGTGGCGGTGGTCGTGGTGGGGATAAAACTGTTTCAAATTATCATAATGCGAATAGAACATTCCCAGGCAGTACAACTAGACGATTTAAACCTGGTTTATCGAAGTAAGTAGAGCTTTTAATTAATTAATCCATGTATTTGTTGTTTTGTCTGATTTCCCACAAACTGGAAGATATGCAAGCGGAAAGCAACAAGTTGGCAGAAGAAGCATCCAGAGAAGATAGGACTTCAGGTGAACATAGAGAAAACAGAGGTGATGAAGATTCCTGGCCAACACCATCAACAGCAACAACAACAATAACAGACAACAATCAGCATGAATGGAATGAAACTGAAAGAAACAACCTCCTTCACCTACCTGGGAAGCATCCTTTCAACTACAGGCGAACGGAACTGATGAGTATATCAAAGCAAGGATCGAGAAAGCAAGGCAAGCTTTCATTTCTCTCAAGTCTGTGTGGAGGTCAACAGCACTCAGCATGAAAATGAAAATAAGGTCCGGATTTTGAACTCCAATGTGAAGTCAGTCAGTGCTACTATACGGATCAGAGACTTGGTGCGTCATAAAGAGCATCTCAAACAAACTACAGACCTTCATCAACAGCTGTCTTCGCTTAATACTACTACTACTACTACTCAAGATCAGATGGTTGGCGAGAAAAGATCAGCAACAGAAATCTCTGGCAGCTAACCAACCAGGGATCGATTGTGAAACAAATATGCAGGAGGAAATGGAGGTGGATTGGCCATACTCTGAGAAAACCATCAAGTGACATCACTAGACAAGCCATTGCTCGAGTGGAGCCCGAAAGAGAAGCGGCGAGTTTTTCGTCAGTGCAAGGGTGACTTGGAAGAGGTCATGTGAAGAGGAGATGAAAACGTGTGGGCAGACTTGGAGGCAGGTGAAGACTCTAGCAGAGAACTGAACGCAATGGAGACGCACGGCTGAAGCCCTATGTTCCTCTAGGAATTAAAGGAAACAATAATAATAATAATTTGTTGTTTTGTCACTTGGGAGTAAAGCCATCTGGGTAGCCAGTGACACAGCTGGTAAAACATACCAAACCGTCGTATTGGCTTACAAGAGGGTGAGGATTGGTATGGCATGCATGAATCACTGATTGTTTGTTTAAGTCTTGCAGAATAGAAGAAACCAGTTAGTAAGCCAAATCTGAACATTAATTAGATCTTCCGAAGTATAAAATTATGACAGAAAGTCAAAAACATTCGAAGTCCAAAATGAGAATAATAAATATTATAATAATAAATGTGAGTTTGTTTCAAACAGTATTGTTGATTCATTTTGGAAATAGATTATTATGGAATCTAATGTTCTGTTGATATAGTATGGTGAGGGGAAATACAAGATTAACACTTATAACACAGCTTAAATGATGTTCACACTTATGAAAAAATAAACAAATAAAAACAGAAAATTGAAAGAATTATAAATATAAACAGTTCAATAACAATAAAGTTCGATGTTGTAAGAGTGGAGGAAATGGTTTATTTATTAGTGCAAAGAAGGTTAGTTAGTTAGTTCATGCCTAACACTATTTTCATCACATAAAATACGTGCCAAATATGGTATAGTGGAATGTTTATGCTTAAAAGTCCGAGCATAAAGTCTTGTGAAATGACTTTTTGTTTTACCTGAGGAGGAGACACAAGGTTGAAGCTGCGAGTAAAGTAGATGCTCACAGTCTGACAAAATTCCTTAAGTAAATTTGTTACATGAAATCAAGTGCCTATCAGTGACGATGTCAACGATTTGGCCCAATGGGATACCATCACTCACCCTAATGACAGTCTTCAGAGTTCTGCGAAGTATGACATAGTCTTTTTTAAGCAATCCAGGAAAGAATACGGATAAACAGTATAGAGGAATAGGTAAGATGTACAAGTTGATAAACTGTAAGAGGAGGCGTTGGTTGACTTATGCCTGAGTGCCTTCACTTCTTAATGTAAAAAGTCAAACGAAATATTCTCTTAGAAATCGCTAAGACATGAAAGGACCAGGATAGGCCAGAAGAAAGAATTAATCCAAGATACTTAACTACACACTTGGTTTCTATATCGGTATCATCAATTTTGCAGCGATCATAGGAACCAACAGCTTCATCATTTAACTTTCTTTTACATCGGAAACTGAAATTAACAGTCTGATATTTGGAAGGATTTAGTTTAAGACAGACCATTAGACGAAGACCGTTTGCTAATTCCTGATAGAAACCTTTTCATCTTAGTACAATCTAACTGGGAGTTAACAGACATTGAAATAGTTAGATCATCGGCATACTTAACAAAGTTCATTTCATAATGAGAGTGAGGTTTGTCATGCAAGAAGAAAGAAAACAGAAAAGGAGAAAGGACAGCGCTTTGAGGGACACCAGCGTCACTAAACAACGAAGTGGACGACTTCCCCTGACATACAATGTACTGCTTTCTTCCTGAGAAATATGAATGTAGCCACCTGAAAATCCAACGGTCAGTTTGTATTTCAGCAAGCTTGTTTAACATGGTGACACTCACTATCCCCATTATCTTATAATGCACCTGAATGTTGAATGCTTAGGAAGCTTGAAGGTTAATAATAATTTGATAGAATTATTTACTGGAAAGCTCAATGATGCGTTTGAACTGAATCCAGGAGTAATAGATATAGCTAGCTATTACCGCCGATGATATTCTTGATTTTGGTGGACTGGATTACAGGCGGTAGAGGGTGAGGAGCAGGAAGAGAAGTATACGTTGAACTACTAACAAGAAGACTCTAGAAGATTTGAATTTCGCCGGTGATATGTGTGTATGTAATGTCATACAAACTCGATGATTTACGGGCGAAAACCAATAAGAAGGCAGAAGAGGCAGGGAAGACACGTCTTCAAATGGACATAGAGTGAAGGCAAGGGTGATAAAGGTAATTAACCGAAAATGCCAAACACCAAGAATTGGAGGTATTTTCATGAAGGAATTCTCCTGTTTCACTTACCTAACCTGAACAGTGTCATTTCAACTGCAGGCAGTCAGCAAAGAGGAGGATGTCAAAGGCAGCTGGCATTGGAAAGGCGCAAGACCTCTGAAAATCTGTTACACTCTGGATAAAGAATAAGCTTTGGATTTTCAACACTAATGTGAAGTCAGTCAGTCAGTGTGCTTCTCTATGCTCCTGAGACTTGACGTGGTCACCAGATGCATTTCCAAGAGGCGGCTGCAAACTTTCATCAAAGATTGCCCGCCTCTTCTTCATTCTGGAAATATAGGGTGACCGGCCAGAAAGCATTAGCATCAAGAAATCGTGGTAGTGCAACGAACCAACTAGGGATCCCTATGGCCCAACAAATGTATAGAACACAAAATAATTGAGCAAACAATATCCTTTGCGATAATTTCCTCTTCTGGCTCTACAATTATGCATATATATGTTTATATACATAGAATATTCTAGAATAGTAGTCAATAACAATATTATTGTGCTTTTTGAGTAATATCGATTTGTTAAGTAAGACCACAATGGAATTACAGTTCACTAAAGATGCTTAAATTATTATAATAATAAAAATATAATATCAAATAGAATATGAACTAAAATTAGGGAAATTTCTACAAAAAATTGAGGATCATTCAAACCTAGATGGCCAAGTGGGTAAGGACAATGTCTGAACTAGCTTCTTTTGGACACAAATTAGGCTTCTTAATGTGGATCCCAACCGCCTGAGCAATATTTACTAGTCGAAAAATTAGGCGTGTTTCTCGTCGAATTTCCGAAAATCACCCTGCACAGTGGTTAAGTAAAGGACAAACAAAATCTATTCACAAAGCGCTATTCTATCCCATCTTGTGGATACATAGCACAAGATTGGTGTCAACCGGGAGGATTTCAGAGTCATTTACCGCATACCAACCAACAAATCTTAGCTTCGCCTTAAGAGTTCGATTACTAAATATTACTGAGACTGGCCGTTGGGATCCATATTAAGAAGCCTAATTTATGTGTCCAAAAGAAGCTGGTTCAGACATTATCCTTACCTTGGCCATCTAGGTTCGAATAATCCTCAATTTGTTGATGTAGAAATTTTCTTAATTTTAGTTCATATTCTATTTGATATTATATTTTTATTATTATAATAATTTAATCATCTTTAGTGAACTGTAATTCCATTGTGGTCTTACTTAACAAATCGATATTACTCAAAAAGCACAATAATATTGTTATTGACTACTATTCTAGAATATTCTATGTATATAAACATATATATGCATAATTGTAGAGCCAGAAGAGGAAATTATCGCAAAGGATATTCTTTGCTCAGTTATTTTATATTTAGTAAGAATCAAAAGAAGTACCTTTTATGTTCTACTTAATATCTTATTTCTATTTAAATTGTGATTATTATTAAAATCACCATTCACATATTGAACGTTGAATTGTATGGTGATTTGTTGAACATTGACAAAATTGAAAACAAATTCAATTTCTTCTGATATTTAAACGGTTATTTAAGTTAACAGGAGTATTTAATCTTCTATACTCATATAAAATAGTAGAAAAAGATGAAATTAGTTAGTTTTTAAATATATTCTAGAAGTTTTTATGTATTTCTCATTGTTTTCAGAAGAGTAAGAAACACATATGTCAAATTCTGCGCCAGTGTCTGTTGAAGAATTGGATTACATTGGTAGATGGTATAGTGGAGTGAAGATAACTGACAGGCACTAAGATTCATGAAAATGTGGAGTGTTTAACAGAGTTTGATTATGATATGTTATTATTATCATCATTAGGGGTAGTAGTGTGTCTTATCAGTTAAAGAAAGCATGAAACTCATTCAAGCGTTACTCTTCGACACTATGACCTTTGATTGCAAGGAGGATTCCATCATGAGCTGACGACATTAGACAACCCCTGGAAAACCTGGGAGTACCGGACAGCTGTTTTGTCCTAGTTTGGGACTCTTCAGCATTACGTTTTGTGTGTTTTATAGATGTCTGAGTGAATATTTTCGCTATATTGAAATATATATAGAAGGAAATAGAGATACATTGGTGGACACACACTGAGGATGCTGTTAAGTGTCGTCAAGTGCCAGACCATCATCTCTCGAGTCGAACACGAATGAGAAGCAACGAGTTGGCCCTGATTTCGAAGGTGACCTAGAGGAAATCACCTAATAAGGAAATGAAAGCCAGCTAAAATAAATTGCTGAGAACAAAGTACAACAGAGGAGACGTCCTACTGAAGCCGATTGTGTTCTACTCAGAATGCAAGGGAATAATAATCATCATATAAGAATTTAAAACAATTAATTCCGTTAGAGGTTAATTGGTGGATGGTAACTAGCAGTGGAATTCAGGACAACGTGCATTTCGTCCTATTTGGGAATCGTCATCTAGGTGTGCCTGCATTGTGCAGTGAGTGATGATGTTCCCACCGAGGGTCGAACCCAGTGTCCATAGTTTCAAAATTGAATTAAATTAATTCATTTTATGAATTTCTACAAAACAGTACGAAGATGTCATTTATGTAAATCGTGTAATCTATTCGCGCAATACATTTCGAGTAATCTGATCAGCTATGATCAGAATAATTGAGAATGTGATGCCCATATATCCATCTAAGGCCTTAGAACATATGAAAAATGATATCACATCCCACACTGTGTCTGCCAATTTTAAATGCACGCATGGTCAAACATGCCTAGGGAGGACTTATTGATCTTCACAAGTAAGAGTTTCAGAAACAAATGGAATCCCAAGTACCCATTAGTGGTCGGAACAGGCTGCCTAGCCTCCTCTATTGTGAAACGTATTATAAAGACAGGACTTAAGATTGATATTTACACGTCTTTTAAAAGTGTCTTTCCATAGAATGTGTTTGGGATGTATCCTAAAGTTCATAGAAGCCCTAATAATTAGGAAGTTTAAACCACTCTTATGCCTGCAAAAGCAGTTTGTCATTACACTAAACTACCTTAATTGGTAAACTCTGTTTTGATACCATAGAAGATGTACTGTTACCTCTGTAATTTGGTTTAGTGATCTTCTTTATACGAGTTTGACCACTGTTTGGTATCAGTTAGAGGTTGCGGTAAATCAGGAATTGATAGAAGCTAGAATTCATCCGTTGGTCATTGAATCGGGTTGGGTCCCAGTGGCTGGTTGGTATACGAGTTAGCTAGCTGGCTTTGTTAACCGGAAGGCCCTGGGTTCGAACCCCACTGTGGTGGGTGCGTACTGGCGATGATTCGCAAACTAGGCTGATGAAACAGCTGGCTGTCCAGTACTTTGTATAAACAAATCTAATCTTTACAAACCAAACTCTTGGAAATTAGTGATCTTCATTGTTATTTTGACCTTCAATATGCCCTCCTTTTAACTTGACATAAATTTATTTTCTCACCTCTTAACTCTTTATTAATTTCGTAGATATTCCTATGACAAGTCCGTGTTCGTGTGTGATCAGATTGCATGAAATGTGTTGCGCAAATTATACTAAATTACGTCTTCTTATAGTTTTGTCGAAATTGTCACACATATAATTGTAATTTTCCCTGACAGTTTTAAATTTGATTAGCTCTCTCTGTTTCTCACGTATCTCACTTTTTGCTAATGTTTATTTCTAGATTTTATCAATTACAATTACAAAAATCTGAAGAATATAGTCTCGCTATCGCTCAGTTATTATCATTGGGGTATCCGTATCAGTTAGCTAGTAGTGCATTGAAAATTAACCGTGGTAATTATCAAGCTGCTGTTGACTATCTTCTTTCAAAGTCTACATCAACATCTATGCATTTGGATGAGAATCCAGGGAATAATCATCATCATCAGACACCGATGATTCCTTCTTCTTCTCCTTTGACACGTGGATCTAGACCATATGGTGGTCGGGGAAGTCGTGGTGGTCGTGGTCGATTTAATTCAACAGAAGGCGATGAGATGAATTCATCACGGGTAAGTTGATCCTTACGAGATTATGGTGGCTGACTGACTCACTGGCTGACTGAATGGTTTCAACGTAGAACTTTGCACCGATCTGCAGCAGTTTGAATTGCCACACTCCACGTGCGTCGGTGGCATAGAGGTTAGGACGCTCGCCGACCATGCACATGGTCCGGGGTTCGATCCCCAGCCACAGACGCACTCCTTTACCTCACTAAGCCAGTAATAAGACTGGTAAAGAGGAAAGGTTGGGCATGAGGCTAGCAACCCCATCCTGTAAAATAAACACTGCTACAGAAGCTTCAAGCTAGTGGCTTGAAGCCCTACGTTTTACTGGGGAACGTGAAGGAAAAAAACACTCCACGGGATGCACAAAGCAAGAGAAGAGAGTGGTGAAACATTCAAAACAGAGATAATAAACAGAGATGTGAGACAAAAAGAATAGTAGTATAGAAGAACAATATAGTTTTTTGGATATTATAAGTCACAAGGAGTGGATGCATCCGCGTTAACTATTGAAAACGACGATTTTGAGCCATATCACCAATTGTCTGCAGCCGTCATTGGTTTTGCCATCTCGAGGACCCCAACCAGGAAGTCTACACCTTCTCACGTGGCACACCTAAACTAACTGTTATGGATTTGATTGACTGATGAAGCCGTGTTTCGTTCGACCACCACTAGGTAGCTCTTTTCCAACTTAATCCATCCTATGTCAGCGGCTAACATTAACCGTCGAGGAAGACGATCAATGGCTAGACAGGCATGCGTAACACATATCCTAAACATCGCCTCAATCGATGTAACTTCACAGCTTCATCGATTGATTTCCTCTCCTTACCTAGCCTATCACTCGACCGATGCCTAATCTCAATATTACTCACCCTATTATACCACCTAACCCAACACGGGAAATAGAACTCAGGCACCTATGATCAAAGACACCTAAGCCAGTCTTTTCATGTCTTCCACTTTCAATAGCCAGGTTTGTCTCACTGATAGCCATAAAGGAGGATCAAGCATACTACTGCTGAGCAGTACACACGCCCTTTGGTAGATGGCCAGCTAGCCGGATATCACGTCTACGCTGAAGATGGCGTAAACTAGCATATGCCAAACGAGCCTTCTGTATCCGTTCTGAGATTTTGTCAGCGATCAACCCGCTGGGGTTGGTTGATGCAACTTCCCAAATAAGTGAAGTGGTGAACACGCTCCACCAACCACTTTATTCCTTCCTATCTTTAAGCTGGGAGTCAATGTATTCGAATCTTGTAGCATGGTGATGTGTGGAATAGTGTACAGAGCTGCTTACTGTTCAGTTCGTTATTATTTACCTGAATGAAGTCAAATGTTTATTGGATGCTAACTGCCGCTAAAAAACACAGTTGTTTCAAGTCTAGATAATTCTAGTGTTGCTGTGCAACTTTTTTTATGGAATTGGGTAGCTAGCCTCACACTCAACCTTCCTTCTTCTCCTAGCTTACTACGAGCTAAGCGAGATATAAAGGAGTGCGTCTGTGGCTGGGGATCGAATCCCGAATAACTTGCTTGGTTGGTCCAGTGTTCCATCACTGAACCACCGACGCGATGCCTAGTTAGATACCCTGAGAAAGAGGGAAGGTGGTTCTGCATAAGAGGCTAACAAGACCGCCCTAAAAAAAAGAAACACTACGGTTCACTGAAATTTCACTTAGCTTGAAGCCGTATGCTCCAGTTGAGACGCAAGCTATAAATGTAAAGTATGCAGATTAATGTCTGAATGGAAGACCACGGAATAAGATGGATTATACTCTTAAAAGAATCTTGTAAGCAACATACTTCCAAGAATAAAGCACGTGGATGTTAGTATTTCCTAATAGTGAACTTAATGCATTTTTTCTCATTTTATTATTATTATTTATTATTATTATTGTTCCCTTGGGTTCCTAGTGGAACATAGGGCTTCAACTACACGTCTCCACTTGCTTCTTCTGTCTTCTGCTGTACTTTGCACCTGCATCCATGTTAGTCCATACTGTTTCAAATCCTCTTCACACGATCTCCTCCATGTCACCCTTGGACGTCCCACTACTCGCCGCTTCCCTTTCGGGTTCCACTCGAGCACTGGCCTGACGCGCGATGTCACCCAGCCGCCTCCTCAGCGAGTGAGTGTCCAATCCATCTCCACTTTCTCCTGCATATTTGTTGAGCGATTGATTCTTGTTTTGTTTGTTCCCATAGTTTCTTGTTGGTTCTTGTTCTTTCCGGCCATCTGATCTTCAGTATAGAGCGACGAAGACAGTTGTTGATAAAGGTCTGCAACAGGCTGTTGGAAATATTCTTTGTGACCCACTGGCCAAGTTTCTGATCCGTATAGAAGAACTGACTGACTTGACGTTTGTATTGAAAATCCGAATTTTGTTGTTGATACTGGCTGAGTGACGAAGATTTCCAGATTGTGGTTTCAGGTTGATGAATGTGTTTCTCGCCTTCCCGATTCTCGATTTGACATCCTCGTCCGTTCCTCCTGTAGTTGAGACAATGCTCCTCATTTTAGCCAACTATTATTGTCTCTTGTCCGAATAAACATAACGTCTGCTCTCACCGGCTATTTGTTTTCTTCAATACAACTAGGTGAATCTTAAAACTGTAAATAGGTGTAAAACATGTACACTAACATGCTGCATTGACAAGTTGAACCACTCCTGTACAGTTACGACACCACGGGGTGGTGTATTTCTTATGAAATACTAAGTTATGAATATCTAGTTTGTTTCGCATTCTTGATTTGCATTTGGTTAAGTAATTGGCTGAAGTATTCAAGTCTCAACCACATTTGTCCTAGGGTTCGAATCTTATCCCGCTTACTTCAACCTAAGAAAATGGGTAATATCATCACTCCTCCCCCACACACATCTTGTCTGTCTGTTTTCAACAAAGAACTTTGCACAAATGTGCGGCAGTTCAAGTCGCCACACTCCAGTCCTTCTAGTACACAAAGCAACAGAAGAAATTAGGAGAAATGCGTATTAGAGACAGTAAACAGAGGTGTGAGACAAAGGTATAGTAATAACGAAGAACAAAACAGTTTCATTGGAAATCATAAGTCACAAGGAGTGGATGCATCTGCGCCAGCCATCAACAAGAACGATTTTGAGTCATATCACCCACCAATTGTCTCCAGCCATTGGCTTTTACGTCCCGAGGACCCCAACCAGGAAGTCCACACCTTCCTACGTGGCTTAAACTAACTGTTGTAGATTTTATTGACCGGTGCCATGTTTTGGTTTGACCACAGCGTGCTAGCTCTTTTCCAGTCTGACCCTATATCAGGTAACATCACCCGTCGAGGAAGGCGATGACTAGGCATGCGTAACACATGTCCTAACCATCTCAGTCGGTGTAATTTCACGGCCTCGTCGATTGATTTCCCCTCCTTACCTAGCACTCGACGCCTAACCTCAATATTGCTTACCTTATCATACCACTTCACGCGGGAGATAGAACGCATGCAGCTAATCTTTTCATGTCTTCCACTCTTAATGCCCAGGTCTCACAGCCATAAAGGAGGACTGAGCGGACTGATGAGCAGTACACACGCCCTTTGGTCGATAGTCGGATATCACATCTACGCCAGAGACGGCGTAAATTGGCATATGCTAAACTATCTCTCTGTATTCGTACTGAGATTTCGTCAGAGATCAACCCGTCGGGGCTGATGGTACTTCCCAAATAAGTGAAGCGGTCAACGTGCTCTACCACTTCACTTCCTATTTCTAATCTAGGAGTCGGTGTAGTCCAATCCTGTAACATCATCTTGCATTTGGCGGGAGCGAATCACTTGCCAAACATTCGTAGATTGCAGCTCAAGGTGTTCAAAAGACTCTGCACACACATCATGTGTGGATCATGACCTAGCACATAAGGAATATATTTCAAGTAACGGGGATTTAATAGCAGCTACCATTTTCTGTGTGAATTCCCCTTTTTCACAAATAGCTAAAGCATTATTCAGTTCAGTTTAGGTTTTCTCGTCGATTGATTGAACCAAATTGTTCAGTCTGAGGTTGACATGTCGGCTCCTTGTGCAGATGCTTCTATACGATCTTTGGTCATGTAACTTGAGAACGAGCACTTCGGTCCAATCAGTCGACGGGAAAATCTAAAATTGAATAAAAAAAAAACATGTACCCCAATACAGACAGATTCTGATATAATTTTCACATGCCTTTAATGACTGGCTATTTGTATTCTTCTAATTTCTCATGGATTTATAACTGTAGAGTCTGAGGTGAAGAAGAATTTATCGAAACCACAATTGTTCGCTCGAAATCATATTATGTGAGAGTTTTTTAAAGGTGACAGTATTCCATAATGCTAGGGTTCTGGTATAAGAATCAACCTCCTTCACCTACGTGGGAAGCATAGTTTCAACTACAGGTTGACGGAACTGACGAGGATATCAAATCTATGTGGAAGTCACTAGCACTCAGCATGAAAATGAGAATAAGATCCAGATTTCCAACTCCAATGTGAAGTCAGTCAGTGCTACTTATTATATGGATCAGAGACTTGGCGCGTCATGAAGAGCACCTCAAACAAATTACAGACCTTCATCAACAGCTGTCTTCTCCCAGTGCTACTCAAGATCAGATGGCCGGCCAGAAAAGATCAGCAACAGGGAAGGATCTCTGGCAATGAGCGAACCAACCAGGAAACGACTGTATGAAAAATATGCGGGAAAAACGGAGGTGAGTTGTGGCCATGCTCTGAGGAAACCATCAAGTGAGTGACACCGCACACCAGGCCATTGCTCGAGTGGAACCCGAATTGGAAGTGGTGAGTTAGTCAGTTGTCAGTGCGAGGGTGACATGGAGGAGGAGGTCATGTGAAGAGGAGATGAAAGCATGTGGGCAGACATGGACCCAGGTGAACCGAACGCAATGGAGACGTTTGGTTGAAGCCCCATGTTCCTCCAGAAACTATAGGAAACAATAATAATAACAATAACAATAAGGTTCTGGTATACATTCAATTTAATTTAGCGTCCAATACATAGAGATATCTGATTTTGGGTTTTTTTCTATACATATTCAACGTTTCATATGTAGTCTGTATGGTGGTGTTGAGTGTATATTTACGACTGACTTTGCCTATTATTCTATTGCCTATTCTATCATTCTCTTCCTCTCTTTGTTTCTTTATTGTATGTTTTACTGCTGCATTAAAGTTCCATTCATCGTCGGCAGATACTCCACAGAGTAGACCGTCAACTGGATTAGTACGACTTGATGATTTAATTGTTGATTCAATGCCAACAAAGTCATCAGCAACAGCAGCTGCACCGCCATCATCAACAGCCACAACAAAGGGCGTCCATCAGACAGTAGTTAACCATCATCGATTAAAACCAACGGCTAATCAGGTGTTGTTATCTGTTGGTTGTCCAATTTTAGCCCAGAATATATCTGGGGATTATGAAGAAGCCCAATTAATTGGTTATCTATCGAATACTAATACTGGCAGCAGTTCAGGAGAAAAGATTGTTCTCGTTGCCTATCTACATTCTGATAATGCTACAGGTAAAATTAGTATAGAAGAAGAGATTGTACCAATCAGTTTGATAAGAACAATGAATAGAGAGAAAGTAAGTATTTATATTTATATGTATGTAAATATAATAATTTATAATAATTTTATATTTCGTATAAACGGGTAACTTTACAAGAAATGCATGCCATTTTTACAGGCACGACCACTCATGTTATAAATTACAGTCGTGAAGTATCATAAATTAATACTTTTTCAAAAGTTTCAATTGTTCAATTATTGTACAGGCAATTAGAACAGGTTCTTGTAAATGTTAAATTGTAAACCGTTTACTAAGGTCACCATCGAAGTTGAGCGACAACCCAAACTTCGTTCCGTTTCCTGCTGACAGTTGTGGTCAACCAGTGGACAGCGTATATCTGTGTGAGTGCTATACCGCCACGTGATTGCACACTATTTCAGGAAGAGGAGAAAATTCTGTGCAGCTGCAAAATGGTATAAAATGCAATTATGAATAATACATTATTGGAAGTATATTTACAAGATAAATACAAGGAGAAGAAGCTATATAGTACTTGAAATGATAGTAAACATTTGCAATGTTTAATGCTAACTATATTGGTCTAAGCATGGAAACTATCACGTTTCCGATGAAAATATAGCTTTGTTCAAACATTGGTGTTGTTGTGTTTTTAATCAAAGCAACCAGACTTTGGGCAAGCAACAAATATGAATAAAGAGCAAGTTTTAGCTTCAATAATGGCCTAGGTAGTTAAGATCAGATAGAGTATAATAGCGCGTAAATAAAAAGATTATTGTGAGGTAGGTATGTGATATTTAAGTCAGGAGTGAATTCAAAGATCTGGAAAATTAGAAGCTGTAGAACAAGCTGACCTGTAAGGTGCCTCACGAATTTCTGTAGGGCCCAGTGGGCAGCATCTTGACAAGAAGTCGAACAGGCTTGGAGATGGTAGGAGCAAAATCACTTTTTTATTTATAATTTAGATCTGTACAACCCTTATTATTATTTTTTTGTTGAGGGTCCAGAGTAATGTTCAATTCTCGAGCTGTCAAGAAATGCATGTTGATGTGCTGCAGATTGGACCGATTCACAATTGTGACCACTACCATCAGCATGCGCCACCCTCCCTCCTTTTTTGATGTCAAGCTCTGAGATTTCTTTTGCAAACTGTAGTTGCAGTATTGCATTGCTTTAAGCCCGTCCCAATCAACCAGTCTTTGAGCCTATGCCTATGTTTGATATAAGGATAAAACAAGGGCACTGTGGTGGTAGTAGGGTAGTAACTCCATTTGTGGTGAGAGCTGGCTACTAGCCAAATTGGTAGACAGTAACTTACGTCAGTGTTTACGTCTCCAATATTGGTCATGAGGAAAATAAGAACAGAGACTGATTCAACAACCAATCACAGCAGACTTTGTTTGCGTAGTCGGATACAATTAGCAGATAGATGATCTTGATGATTAGACATTTGAATAAAATCAATATTATACATGATAAAGTACATTCTGAGAAGATGTCAAAGCCAACCAGCCAGAATCGTAAAGGCAAGATACACACACACGCCTTCATTAACCTGAAACCAGTTTGGAAATCTTCTGCACTGCACACTCAACCAGTATGAGGAACAAGATTCGCATTTTCAACACCAATGTCAAATCGGTCACTTCTTCTATACGGGTCAGAAACTTGGCTAGTGTGTCACGAAAAGGATTTCCAATAGCCTGTTACAGACTTTTATCAAAAGCTGTCATCTTTAATGGTTGGCTCCATACTGAAGATCAAATGGCCAACCGGCCAGAAAGAATAAGTAACAAGAAACTGTGGCTGGGAACAAACCAACAGGCAAGAGCCGATCGCTTAACAAATATGTAAGATAAAGTGGAGGTTAATCGGGCATACATTGAAGTGACTGTCGAATGACATCACGCTAAATGCAAGCCATTGTTCGAGTGGAATCCAAATACGAAGCGAGACGTGGGTGGATAGTTGGTGCGAGCGTCACGTGGAGGAGGAGATGAGTGATTTCGGGCAATTGTGGATCCAGTGTGGTCTATGAGTTCCACTCGGAACCCAAGGGTACAATAATAATATTATAATAATACATTCGGAATAAATAATAAATTACAATAAGATAGGAAATAAGACGAGTGTTTTTATAGTAAAAATAAGTAACTTGTTAGAATGTTATAATGCGAATTGAATTGAATACCTTTTAACATTTATCATCCTCTGATTTAACTGGTAATAATATCTTCATATCTCTGGTATTAACGTTGAGTCATTTCTGTTGCATGTGTTGGGTGTGTATATTCGATGAACCAGGATTCAGTAATCCATCTCTCTCTGTATCCACCTACCTATATTACTTTTAGCATTTTGACTCTGTCCTACGCACCTTATTGTGTAGTTGTGTGTTAATGCATGCAGTATTATTGCTGAGTTTTTTCTAAATTACTTATCTTCTAGGGGTCAACCATTTTACCTTTGCTAAATGCTTATATTCTGATTGATTGCTCTCTCTCTGGAAGTTATTCTGTGATCTCTTTGTGGCCATTTCTTTGAAGGTCATAGCATATATCTGCGAATCGTGTCCGCCCACGCAAAGTCTTTGTTCTTGTTTTTTTCTCATGACGAAGATTTGGGAAGTAAACATTGACGTAAAATTTTTTTTCCTTCACGTTCCCCAGTGGAACATAGGGCTTCAAGCTACTGGCTTGAAGTTTCTGTAGCAGTGTTTATAGGATGGGGTAGCTAGCCTCATGCCCAGCCTTTCCTCTTCAGTAGCATTATTTCTGGCTCAGCGAGGTTAAGGAGTGCGTCGGCCGGGGATCGAACCCCGGACCATGTGCATGGTCGGCGAGCGTCCTAACCACTATGCCACCGACGCACTTGACGTAAATTGCTGTCTACCAATTTTGGCTAGCAGATAGCTCTCACCACAGTAGTGTTGTTCAGGCTTAAAAGTCCTTTGGTTTATCATTTTGCTTACCAAAAGGATAAACTTTTTTAAAGTCCGATTACTCAATGTAATTTATTCTATTTATTACTTTAAGCTAACATGCTTTTCATGTACTGTGATTATGTTATTTTTTTTGCTTCAGATAACTATAGATATGGTACCTCCAGCACCATCTGACCGTGTAAAACCTTACGGTTCCTCATCGAATTCAGCATCTATGAATTCCAATCAATTTGATGATATTCACTTTAGCCATCAACCATATCCTCCTACATCGGGCAGAGGATATCGAGGGAACAGTCGTGGTGTGGTGGTCGCCGAGTATTTAGCGGTGGAAGAGGTAGACGAGGATCATCACGTGGTGGTGGTGGTGGTAGGTACAGTAACTTCTGAATGAAAGAAAAAAAGAATGAAACTGGAAATCTTTTGTCTGACATATCACATCGTGCTTCAATCAGTTTTATATCTGTTGTCTTATAATAAACCTGTACATATCCTTGTCGCTGTCGACCTGTTTTTTTCATTAGTTGCTTTCCTGTGTCTGTATTGTGGCTGTAAATTATATTTTTCATAGGCTGTTGTTCCTTTTTTTCATTTGTGAATAATATGCGACCACTTAGAGTAGTAGGAGCCGTGTATAGATGTAACGTTGGGCGTTACCATCCTGTAAAAACAACGCCATTGGTACTGAGAATTCAAAGTATAAACGTAAAGTCCTGTTTTTTACTCAGGACGCTAAGGAATGAAAAATTATCAGCATAGGACGTGGGTAACTTTATATGTACTGGTTGCCGTCACCATGCACGTCAAGTAGGAAGGGTAACGGAAAACACTGAGCCATACTCGTGTTGGTTGCAATTAAGCGATGATTTGGTTAGCAGCTAGATTTTCAAGCTAAGGTGACAGAGCAATACATTAGTAATTCTGAGACCTTTAATTCGAAGCCTGCCTCGATTCTGAGCGTCGCGAAGCTATAGGATTGTATTGTGAAGGGGACGAACGCGTAATCAGAGCATGGTTGTAAATCCATAGCCATAGTGGACCAACAGAAAATCTTGTGTTTGTTAGTGGCAGGCTAAACAACTAGACAGAGCTGAAGTGCTTATCGAGACAGTATATTGCCATCGCTGCGGTTAACGTTTTGCAATTTCCTACTATTCCATTCGGCTAAATACGCCCTTGGTTGGGCGCAAGCACTGCGTTTCTCTCTCACACTGGTTACGGCAGCAATAAGAGCAGCCTGTTAATCAGTTTGACTTTGTTCAGACTACGATGTCACCCACTTGTTTGGTCCTCTCACGGTAGTGCGATCACAGTAGGTTAGGGGCCTGGTGTACTAGCAGAGAGGATTTCGCATCACTTAGGGCATGCAGATTTTAACCTGAGAATGGGGGTTAAAGTGCGCAATGTATTTCACTGCATTATGAAACCCGGTGGTGTGTTAACATATACCGTTCTAAGTATGACTGTATGGGAATATTAGTTGGTTTATCATTAGGGCTCTGAAAGTTATCTACTTATGTTGCTTCAGGTAGCGAAGAAACATCCTTGCAATAAAGGTACCATTGGGAGATGAAATTTATCCACGCTTTTGTGACTGGCTGGAGGCCCATGTCTTACTGTTAGTATACGAGGCAAAGGCCAGTCATTTTATGCCACTGTCCAGCACTTTCAGTGCCAACTTTGACTTACCTAAGGTCAATCCCGTGTCTTGTTTCTATGCCATAGTGGGTTTTATCAATATGTAGCACAATGTGCGCAATGATTTCGCGTTCTTCTTTGAGCTTTATGTAGCGGGCAAGTTAGCATCAGGTTTTTCCTGTGCCTCTGATGAGGTTAGTTTAGGCATAACTGAATGTACGTGCTGTGGTATAAATGAAGCAGATAGAAGTAAAAGCAACAATTATGAGTTGTGTTACAAATGGTCAGTATGCCAGACTACTTAGAAAATTATGAAAGTGCTCGTATAAAGTGATAGTTGTTGGCTGCGAATGACTCATCACAGCAGTTGGTGTGCGGATAAACACGTAAAGAACCAGTAATACTTCAACAGCAGAAAGAAACCGGCAATTTTCAGTTTTTTCCTCAGTTAAAAACCAGCGTAACGTCGAGCGTCTCCGTACGAAAAAAACAAAAGAAGATTGAAGTAATCGTAATATGAGTCCGAGAGACACAGAACCTAATCTTCTGCATATTTTGCTTATTTCACAAATGTTTTATTGTTTATCACGCTGCTGAGCGTTGGAGGTTCAGTGGTAAAACAATGGCCAACCACGAAGGTGTTCCGGCGCTCGATCTCTCGCCGACGCACTCCTTTACCCCTATTAACCAGGAGTAAGCTGGGTAAATAGAGGAGGTTGGGCGTTAGGTTGGCAATATTACTCTGTAGAGAAACCACTGCTACTGAAACTTCAGAAGCTCTACCTTGAATTCTTAAGTTCCACTGGCAAGAAATAAGAATTGATTCTGGTAGCAGACGATTTTACTACGGGTATAAAGACGGTAACCCACAGCTGTCATGAAGAATGCCTCACATGTGTAAGCCTGCAGCTCTTATGAAGTAGTTTTAGGACTCATGGTCAGTGAAGTTTTTTAATCTGTTTCGACTGTTTTTGTGGTTCGCCAAATATCTGCGTTTACATTCATTATCATCCAGAAAGCCAAACAGGGCCTGAAATAGTGAAGAAAGGAGAGGTAGAAAGATGCACGAGGATTCCTCGACCGATAATATGTAAATATATATGCTTATGTGTTCACTTTATACAAAAATCACGAAATGTATTCAGACAATGACTAGTTCTGTCATGCTAACACCCATGTAACATATATGGGCTAATGTTTATGCTGTGTCTAGAAATGTTTGATGAATCCTTCCAATTAAATCAACATTTGTTGATGAATTATGACGTCACTCGTAATTTTAGTGAACTTAGCACGTCCTTGTGGATTCTGAATTATGGTTTGAGAGCTAGATGGCGACAGCATTGGCTTCTTTGATGATTCAAGTGACTATGGAATTGAAGACTGGGATTTCGAAGGTTTGTCGGTTTGTCGACGTTTGGTCGGTGCTAAGAAGTGTTTTGTGGGTGCCAGGAGATTTGTAATCCATTTATAACGGGATTTCAGGTTAATAGTGCACCGAAAAATGCAAGGGAAAGGTGAAATAAAAGCGACTGAGACCAGGCGGATCAAATAGTAGATGTAAAATATAAGTGAGAAACGAATAACGAAATGGCAGCGTTTTGTCCAGGGACTTAAATCTTGTTATCGAAAATTTGTATAGTTATACAAAATATACATAGTGAGATATCCAGAGCTGCTACTGATGTATTGTATTATATGCCTGAACACTAAGTTTGTCTGACAGTACGCAGGAATGTTAGGTTATACAGGGTTACGGGGACGCTATTTCACTTGCGGTTTGTAAAGAAGGATAGCATTGTCGCTAAAACTGGCTAAGTGAATGTCCAGTTTTTGCAGACATGAGAAAGCGCTGGTATGTAGGGGAATAAAGAAGTTCGTCTAATCAATCGAACCTTCAGATATCAATTTGTTTATCTCTGCAGGCTAGAAAACGCGGTGGAATATTGGATTTTCAAGGGACCAGAGGTCTGTAGCTTCCTTTTGGTGCGATTTTGTAGCAGTTTAATCTATTCGTATCATAACTTGTGAAAACACTTTTCAGAAGCCATAAACTTTATACTCCTCCTTCGCTAGTTGTGGAGATGTTAAGAACAGACTAGTCGCCAGGTGAGGTGGGCCAGGCTGAAGAGTCAGCAGGTAGTATGACCACAGCTCCGGTCTGGCAGAATAGACGGCTACATACCTAATCGTGAGTGTTATTTCTAGTCAAAACCGACTGGAAACGAGTCTGAAGTCGTTCCAGCAGCCTAAGTCCCTGGTATTCCATAGGTAAACAGGCTTTCTTCATGCTGAGAGTATAGTTTCAGAGCTTTGTCCTGGTAATTCCATTACTTAAGGTAGGAATTACTTTAGGAATATGAATAAATAAGCCAGTGGTTAATTTTAGAATGTAAAAAATCATTCAGGGGGCATTTGAACTGAATAGAAGGTCGGTAAAGTCTCACCCAAAGTAGGCGTTTGTCCCAATGTGATTTACATCGTAAAACAAATTACTAGGAATGCTAACAAAGGGGGAAGGGATGAGGGAGCAGGAGATGAACCAGTGCAAAGATGAACGAAGCTGAGTTCGCTTCGGATTACTGAATAAATGGGTGAGAGTGCCTCGAAAGGCAAAAGATGATATTATAACTCATTTGGTGACTGAAGCAGAACTGGCTACACTTCGGTTGAACCTCGGTAAGAAAATATCAAACAACCAGGTCACTATCTGGCAAGAGTTAAATGCATATAAAGTCAATGAAATATATCGATAGAAATCTACTTACCGAAGAAGTAAAACGTTGTAATGACATATTCAAAGGACTTTGAGGCCGATTACTATCTGCAACTCATCCAGAAATAACAATAATGGTCACAAAACTGCCACTGATCATCAGACTTCCAATAAAGCAGAAGTTAAGAATCCCATAAAGGAAGTGGGGGCCGAAAAATGATAAGGACACGATGGGACTCCTTAGGATACATTCACAGTGTATGTAAAAAAGACATGGCCGCTCGACTTTTGCGGAATATTAGGAAAACAAGAAAGAACTAACCTGTCAAATTCCCAAAAAAGTTGACTTAAGCATCAGCGGTAGTGAGCAGAGAATCATTATCTTGTCCAGGCCAAGGAAAGTGATCCTGGAGAGTTTGAAAGATACTGTGGATGCAAAACTTCGTCTGAAACAAGCCAAACTCAAGACAAACAAATAATATGCACTCCGAATCTCAGGGCTAATCGTTATCTTGGAGTAGTGCATAGAATGGTAGTCAAATCTCGAAATCGTATCGTTAAAATGTTGAATATATATATATTTATTCCTGTTTATGCAGGAACATACCAATTGTACAGGCATGGATAAGTTATTATATAAATTACAGTTTGTTTGTTCAATCTAACATTAGAGGGCAGAAATTAAACGCCATGTACAAGGTCATTGATGGAGTGAGACGCTCAAAGGTCATTTTCGTCCATGTTAGTCGGCCATGTTGGATTGCAGTTCCGTTGCTGTTCGTTTACACATCGATTTTTCCGTTTATCCAGCAGTTATTCACAACTTATCTTGATGCACATTGTTCACAAATGTTGCGTTTCACTTCATTATTGTTTCCATTTCTGTTGAAATTAGTTATTTCGTTTGTTTCGAAAGTTTTTGCCACCAGGTCAGTGCATTCGTTTCATTGTAATTGTTTCATACGTTGCATTCATGCATGGTT